GCATTTAGAAGTACTGATCTAAAATCTCTACATCAACTTGCATTAAAAGTTAAGAACATTTTTGCCTTCTGTAAACCTGCTGTTTTAGATGCGCTCTGTAATGGGCTTAAGACACAACAGCAAATGCTGTGATGTATCTTATTAAGATGAACCAACACAAGGCCTCTCTAGCAATGATGATTTCAAGATTGTATTAAAATAATGCAGTGAGTAATTATAAAATCGCCTATGTCTGTCCTGGTAGACTGTACAGAAACAAAGCAGAGGTAATGTCTTTGCAGGGAGCAGAAAGGGTCTTACTGTATTAAATCCTTATTCCTTCATTAGATGAGATTTTTCAAATTCCACGCAGTGCCTATGCAGAACAATCATACAACTGACTAATGTTTTACCTCAGATCGACTCTCAAAGAGAAGAGAATCCTGGAAAATATGTAACGCTCGCATGAATGAAGATGTCTGAATTTCAATTGTATCTCTTTATTTGTGTGGAATTAGGGAGCGAGAAGCTAGAATGTCGCCCATTTCACAGAATAAAAAGGCTGCAATGACCTCTAAAAACGAAATTGATCTAGTGATGAGAAAAAATGAACCCAGGCTTTTTTCTAAGACATCTGAATGAACACCATATGTGGTTGAGTGCTCTCATTAGACCTGTCTGGGCTTTATAAGGCCATACACCTCCTCTATTTGACACAGAGATCAGACAGGCATAAAGTTCATTAATTTACTATGCAACAGAAGTGCTCCTCAAGTACTCAAGAAGTTGATGAGCTTATTCAAGGCCGAAATACTGAACTCACATGCCATCTAGTGGTCCTGCTGCATAAATGCATTGGCACCATACAGAGCCCATTCTGAATCTGCAAGTCTAAGGCCCAATCCCATTTCTTATTTTTATGCCTACCCCCCTTGTTTTCCAGTGTCATTTTGTGCCTTGAACTGAGTTACAAGGGGTAGTGATTGAAATCTTCACCTGTGAAATGGGACCCTCAAATAAAAAAGAACATTACTTCATTAACAGGCTACTAGTGGTGCTCTGTGGGCAACCCTGTCAGTCTGCAGCGACAGCAGAGGAGGGTAAAGTTCAACCTTGCTGCTGGGCTTTAGTTAAATTTAGGGAATTATATGCCTTCAAAGAGGGGGGGGTGCGACAATTATTTATTATCGTCCACCCCTAATTTTTCAGGGATATGAAGCTGAAGTCATTTGTTAGCTTCTTGCTCAAATTTCCCTGTTCCACCTTAAATGGAGCAGCAGTTCTGACACCTGAGGCACCAGAATGTAACTACTGCACCATTTAACGGAAAATTTACCTAGCTAGCTACCGAGACATCAGCAAAGTACTAGCGATTTTTTATTTTTGTTATGAAGAAACACAATCTAATAATACATTGAAGCAAACTAAGATAATAGCCCTGTAGTCCTAACACTTCACCCTACCCCTTTATCTCACCAAACCAGGACACCCTACCCCTAGATGTGAACGTGCAAAATGGAGAGGTAAGGACAAAGTGGTAGGGGCAAGGAGTGAAATGAGATTGGGCCTAAATGAGAATGGACAATGTTGGGCCATGAACATCGACTGTCCACTTTGTTAGAAACATATACTTGTGCACTTACTGGCCACTTTATGTGTTCCACCTAGCTTAGGTTCCACTATATATGGGTATAATTACAGTCTTTAGTCTGTCTTAGCGGTTGATCAGTGGTCAGTTTCTGACTAATGTTGACCAGATATCAATGAGGTGGTTGATCAGTCTTCACACAGCAGTGACACTGACATGGTACTGGCACTGGTCTGGGTGTATCAGGCACAGCGATGTCACTGCTAGGGCCACCACCCAAAAGTATCCACCTGAGCACAGCTCTGTGATCAAAAACTGAACCCTGATAAAGGGCTAAGACGAAGGATGCCTCAAACAAACTGTGCGTCAGGTGGGCTACAGTTTTTAATTGTACACAAACAAGATGGACATACAAGCTAGGGGTATCTGATAAAGTCTCCACCATTCCAAAATATCCAGCCAAGAGCAGTCTTGCAGTCAGAACCTGACCATTGAAGTGTGGAGCAGGGGTCACCAAACTTACCCGCAAAGGGCAGGTGTGGCTGCAGGTTTTCATTTCAACCAAGCAAGTGTACGCCTTACATCATATCAGCTATTCAGCTGCTATAAGACTGAGACCAACTGAGTAAACATGTGGAATCAGGTGAGCTCCTGCGTGTTTGGAAGGCCTCTGTGGATAAGACTGGTGACCCCTGACACAGATGATGGCTAACACAAAGTCTGCTTGGAAAAAGATGAGCTACAGCAGGTTCTAAATAGAACCTTTGCCTTTACTAAAGAACCCTTGAAGAATCTTCTTTTTAAAGAGTGTAGTTCCAGTAGCTGTGATTTGCTATAAGCTCTGTAGTTATGTATTTTAGTTATATTAGCTATTATACTAATGCAGTTAAAAGTTGTATTGTTTTACCTACTCATAACACACTACAATAAGCATTAGAAAGTCCGCTAACTAGCATATTGATGGGAGACTATCATGTAACATAATTAGGACGTATTTAGTAGATTTAGTAATTTTTTTTTATGTTTTTTTCAGAAATCAGTGAGGATCAAGAAGCCCACAAAGTGGGAGTAAATTAAATAAAATCAATTTTAGCTGAAAATGAATGAACGAATGAATGAACGAATGAATGAATGAATGAATGAATGAATGAATGAATATATAAATTTAAACAAGCTAACTGCAGTCAAATCAACATTTAAGCATACAGTTAGGTATAAGGATTATTTTGCCTTTGACTATTTAGGTATACACTTAGGTGTATGAATACATTTGCACACTGTTGACAATTCTTCAAGGTTCCATTCTCTACACATTATCATTCTGAATCTGTAGGCTAGACTAACTACAATAAATTTCAGCATCCCTGAAATCAAAACAGGTACTGAGAAAACAGGGACAGACTAATGTTACACATAAGTAAAACTACAAAAAAGGCCCAGAGGACGGGAGAGCACCTGCGGGAGTAGAGCTAAATTGGTTGAGCTGTCGGTCAGCCTCTTCTCCTCAGGAGTAGAGTGAGTGACTCTTTGGGTAATGTTGGAGTACTGCACAGGCAGCCTGCTGAGAGCCACCTCACTGCTCTCCTGAAACAGAGAAAAGAGCTGTTCACAGGCAGTCTAGTCCAAAGGCCTGCACTCTCACAGCAAGACATGAATGTTTAACCAGAGGCTTCCGCTTCAGCCTGCAGGACAGAAGAGCTCTCGCAGGCACACAAGCCTCAAAGCAGTCAAAGATTTCACCTGCGGAAAAACGCAGGACCATTTCTAATGTGCATCCAAAAGACTATAAAACTGTTCAGTAGCTAAACAAGCTTACAGCAAGACTATAAAGACATTCATACAATTCGGAATTTGAACCCTTGAGTGCCTTTAATTTAAATGTATTAACCATTTGCTGAAATGAATGCAGCATTATTTTTGTAAAGATCTCTTGCTCCCCCTAGAGGCAAAGTTCTGAATCTGCATTGTCACAGCGCGATTTTAAGCATACACATACATATATGTTAGGGTTTTTAACTGCTTAAAATCTCACACACACACACACACACATATATATATATATATATATATATATATATATATGTGTGTGTGTGTGTGTGTGTGTTTGTGTACTGTGCAAAAGCTTGTATATCATTTCAACCCATTACCAAAAATGATGTATCATTACAATACATGCAAATAAACATAAATACGTTAAAAAAGTAACAAGAATGTCTTGTTTCCAGCAAGTCTGAAGAACAAAGTTTGGTTCCAGATTTCTCCTGGATGCCTCCAGCCATCGCCTGGATTTATTAAATTCCACAACCAGCACACCTGATTACACAGAATGAAGCACAGGTTGAGCAATAATGAACAAATAATACCTGACTGCCACACGGAGTGCTTAGCAGGATTAAACCAATACATTGACATACACACAAATGCACTACTTATCGTATTAATGTCATTTGTCTGTATTCTAATACTAGTGTTTTACTGAGCATATAAACACTTACTGCCCAAATACCTAAAACAGTACTGAATATGTAAGAATACAGTATTTGTATTCATGCATACAAATACTATGAATACACTATAGTTTTGTGAATCATTGTGCAGTTTGAGCAGGTAGGGAGTTTTGCTTCCATTAATAATAAAGCGAGTTATTCTATTGCTACAAGCCTGACAACATAGAAGAAGAAAATAGAAGAAAACGTTTTGGCGCTACACAGAACCATTTTCAAAAACATTTTATATAGAACCACATTCCACACGTTCTTCACCAATCTGAAGAACCATTTAAGCATGAAATGGTTCTATATAGGACACATGGCTCTTACTAAATGACCCCTGAAGAACCATCTTTCAGTGCGTAGGGCTCACCTAACCTGCTCCAGGGCCGGGATTTCAGATCATAAACAGCTCTTGGAGCAATGAGGCTAAGCTTCTGACCAATCAGAGACGATAGAGGCGGATTCTTCGGGTCACATTTGTGACCCTCGTGACGTTTGTGCGGTCAAACACGTGAATAACACCGCTCCAGTTTTACGGTCATAACTGCTTTACTTTCTACATATTTACGTATATTTCTTAAATAAGCTCCTCCTCACTGTCCCGCTATTGGCTGTTCGTCATAAACGTCACGCTTTCATGAGCATGCGCACAAGGACTAATCATAGGCTGCGTCCAAAACCACATCCAACCATTGTAAACTGTATACCAAACATCAATAGTAGGGTATTCAGCAATGTTGTATGTAGTAGTAGCAGCAGCAGCAGCAGCATGTAGTATATAGTAATATGCGGTTTTGGACACAGCCACAGCTTGAATATCTAAACCTGGGTTAACAGAGAAAGCTGTGAACCCCAGTTGTAAAACGAGTTAACCACTGGTCCATTTGTTAGGTTCTGTTGAGCTGAAACTCTAATCAATGATATACAGCACAAAACATAAGTGAGCATGTTTTAATAACTTTATTCTCTTTTTTAACAGATCTGTACAACCAAGAATCAAACCTTTATGAGTCTAGCAAAAACTGACCTGTACATGTCTATGCTGTGGGCAGGATTGCTTACACTCACTTAAATCAAATGATTAATCAACTAGCTAGGCAAACACTTCAAACCAGTCCTACCAACAGAGAACAAGGAGCAGATTTTGGAAAGGGGTCAAAAAGAAAAGAAAAATGTTCCCTTTGTTTCCTACACTCTCCCCAGTGTTATACAAAAGTACAGTGAAATCTTATTTACACAGATGTGGACAAGTCAAGAAACAGTTCGATGAAGCATTATAAGAATGGGGATGGTGAGGAGGAGATATCAGAATACTCTTTAACAGAAACTGTCTGAATTGAGGACATCAGCTGACAGTATTGCAGTATTGATGCAGAAATCAGTGGTTGCAATTCTACAATGAACTCTGAACTTGCAAACTGAGGAGTACACATACACCAAAACAGAGTCCAAAGTTTCTGCGTTTGGGTCACTGTGGTTCCCTATCCATTTGCCTGCTTAACACAGGTAGACACCCTTTCAGAGACTGAACACCATTAATTAGGCCGTTTAGTACCTCTATGTCCAACACAGACATATTACCACAGATTTAGACAATACACTAAACACAGCAGACAGGAGTGAAAGCCCATTCCTGAGACTCAACATAGATATTACAGTCCCTACAGCTTTCACAAACAGTCAGGACACTGCAACAAGTAGTGTAGAAAAGTGCATTCCCCTCTGCAGTTCTTCACCATTTTACAAGTGTTTATAAGGAGTTTACAAGTCTGTAGGTTACATTACATTATGCAGTCTTTACAGTTCATGGGAGTAACCTGCATTCCTATAGTAAAAGAAAAAAAATGAAGAGTAAATTCAAGTTTTCTGTCTTTATCCTGAAAAGTTCTTAGGTTGAAATCAGACATGTGGTGATAAAATGCTCTTATAATTGTTCAACTATTCAGTAATTCAAGCTGTGATATGAGCTGACCCCAATGGGAGCTAAAGGGCGATTCTCTGAATACAGAGAATACTAGCAGCACACAGGCAACCATATGGGACCATAACCATAGTGGAAAGTAGTGCTCGCCCAAAAGAACCCCAACAGACCAAATTAAAATGGTTGGAAAAAGTCCAATCAGGTTTGGAATTGCCAGAGTTCAACATCAGGAGAACAAAAGTGGCGTAGCAGCAGAAAACTGGGTGAATGAGTCCTGGCCAAGAAAGTCGTTTACCCAAATGCAATACAGATCATGATTAATGACAACTTACAAAAAAATAAAAACAAACAAAAAAAGCAAACAAAAAAGGTTTACATTGTGTATAACAAATTACAGGTACTGCAATCGAGTACATTGTAATTTCCATAGTCAAACCCAACAAAAGGGAAAAAAAAGGGAGGCTTCTTAAAGCTTTTATCTTCCACAACAAACCCACTGTGAGCACTTCTAAGAGCCAACGTGTGCCATCTCATGTGCCAATTGTAACACAGGGTTTATGGTCAGGGTGGATTTTCTAACCAACAATTCACAGAGTGTGTAGAAAACAGCTACTGAGCACAATAACCATTTAGATCTATGGACCCCAAATGAGGAGTGATGAAACTGCCTCTGGCATCGTTAAAGCAATACTTGCGGGCAGTTAGCCACACTACATACCGCAAACTGTGGACTCCTTGTGTGACTGGATGGACCAACAAAGGACTTGGCCAAAGGTGTGCTCTGAACAGGATTACATGCATACAACAGACACACAGACTCCTACTATATGCAGTTCATCTATCCAAAACAGAAGCCCACTCTCAGACATAGTGTTCTGGTTTAGAAGTCCCATCTGACCAGCAATTGTAGGGGTTCCGCTGGTCAGGAAAAACATGTAGTGAGGCCATGTAGTTCCAGTGAAGCGCAACCCAATGCCTTAGTGTATTCCTCCAGATACATGAAGAGGAACAAGATCAGAAATGGCCTTCAGAGAAAGTCATAGAGTGCCTCCTTGAATAATGGGCTACAGTTAGAAGCTGCATTTGGAGATGACGCTTGACACCAGGCCTATTCACACCGAAGGCAATTTGCAGGAAAGGTCCCACAGAGCGAGTGTTGGGGGTAGGGGTCACGTTTCCCCCCTAAGGCCACAATGCTGTACAGACAGAAGTTGGGGTGGAAGATCAGACAGGATCTGTGGAGCAGTGGTAGGTCTCCCCTCTCGTGACGTGGACAAGTCCTGTTCTACACACTGAATGTGCAGAAGCGTTTGGGGTGGCGGACAGCACTCTGGTTACGCTTTCCCACAAGGAGCCAGCCATCGTGAACCACCACCATCATAAAATAAATCTGGTTAAGCACATAAACTACTGAGACAGAGCTATGAAAACTGAAGTATGCACAAGATCAGTCCCAAGCCGAATATTTGACAGTCCTTTCAAACGTTACCAACGTTGAGTGTTGACGGCACCATAGTTATATTTTTAATGTACATTATTTTCTTCATATAATTACACTTTTACATCCATGGCATAATTATCCACAGTCAGATTTGTGCTGGAAGGAGTCTGGTTGGACGGAAAACATGATCAACTTTAATTTAGTTACAATTCTTTTTAAGATTTCTTTACATCTACAAGAACAATGAAGAGATTTTCCTCATTCACGTCTTATGGGATTTTCTCTGAATAAAACCTGGCTGTATTTTTAAATACAGTACATTATGTTGAAAGGGAGGAAACAAATCAAAAACCTCAAAAACAGAACTGAAAAGTACGTCTCCCAGTAGTCAGTGATGTGCACATCAGGTCAATCCTGCACGCCAAGACAAGATAAAAGGGGTGAGGAGGTGATAAGAGGGTGGGACGGGGGGAGGGGGTCAGATGGATCAGAAGCTGTCCACCCAGGTGGCAAAGCCTCGTTCTGCCAAAGTGCGGTTCAGCTGCACCAGCTGCAGATGTAAATAAAAAGAGAAATTAAATTAAAACTATAACCACCAATCACTTTCATGAAAGTACAGCAGTCTGTCTAAGTATTAGCAATTAAAGTTAAAAAATAGATCTGACAAAGCCAAAAATCCTGGTCGAGGATGGATGAGAATCAAATTGAGAAGTAAGAATATTTGGGGACAATGCAAATGTACTCACGTCATCTCCAACCATGTTCCACATTTGTACTAACGGAAGGCCTGTGTTATTGTCATAGTTCGTCACCTAAAAAAAAAAGAAACCAAAGTCATTTTTTGGTTTTAATCTGACATCATCTTATTTTGAACATTAATGTTTGCCACTTACCTGTGCGAGCAATGGTACCCCTCGTGTCATTTCTTCCAAAGCAGAGGTGGCTTCAGTTGAAAACCGATCCTCTCCTGTGAGGACATGAAGGCGCTAGTTATATAGCAGTTACAGGCAGCAAACTTTCCTTTGAGTAAAAAGAACAAATCATGCAAACGTGACAAAAAGCATCCCCACCAGGAAGAGGAGCTATGTTGTCCAGTAAAACCTCTGTTCCTTGGAATGGTAATGTCACAAAGTCCGACCTAAAAGTAAGAAATTATTTAAGAAAAGGCTTAAAGAAAAAACAAAAAACCTAAAGTGTCATACTCAACACCAAGCAGAAGGAGCAGTAACCTAATCTGACGAAGGGTATCAATCTTCACTCGGTCATAGCCGCCGTAGTCCACGTATCGGATCTCCACTTCGTTGGAATCCTTGCAGAACGAGATGACCTGCGCTCGCCACCATGCGCCATCAACTGCGGGAGCTGCACAGATCACACCAACTAGAGGAAATACAGAGAAAAGAAAATAAATAAATGGGTGAGGGAGTTCATGTGTGAAATTCACAGAGGAAGCCTACTTTTCTGTGTTTCCTACCCTCAGCTGGAGATGGCAGGGCGGGGGTGCCAGGCTGGGAGTAGCACAGGAACATCTGCTGGTCCAGGCTGCGCAGGGCATGATATGTAGGGTGGGTGTGTTGCTGGACAAACACGTGGCCAGCTGAGACGATATTAACCACAATAACCTCCACTGTCACACCGTTAGGAAGGAGGAGCTGTTAGATGAACAAAGACACAGCATTTACAAAATCTATTCAGTTATTCCAAAGAAATCCATCCCATGCCCATTCCCCCATCTAACACATCTGATTCAGTTTTATTAACTAATTAATAAGTCGCTTGTGTCAGATCTGCTGTGTTAAGAGTAGAGAAAACACAAATGTGCAGAGTTTGTCTGCAGAGAGGAGGACTGGGAACCACCAGTCATAGTCTGCTGTGAATATGATGAGTCATCATGAACAATACTGAGAAACCATCCTGAGAATGCATGCATACGAAAGCAGTGAGGAAAATTCCTGGTTTCTGGGACATAGATTAAGCCTGGGCTTAGGCCAAGCTGCAAAACCAGTGGTAATTCACCACAGAAGCTGTTTCAGTCCAGACTGAAGCCTAATCTGAGTCTGGGAAACCAATACTCCAAGTCCATAATAGCCACTGCGAAACAGCGCTCACCAACTTTCTTCCTAGAGATCTACCTTCCTGCAGAGGCCATTCTCGGTCCAAATCTAGAGAATCACTTGGCTCATCAACTGTTTCCCAAGAGTGTCATCAACTGGACCTGTGCCACACGTCACAGAGCAGGATTTCTTAATTAAGCTGCAAAACCTAAACCAAAAGTAAGAACAAATGTCTCTTCGGTCTCCTCCTATTGGACATGCCTTATCTTAGACTTAAATTATCTGGTTAATTAAGAAATCCCACTCTGTGAAACATCTTCTAGACGTGTTGGATTTGGGTCAGATCAGAAGAGTCCAACCTTCCACGAAGGGTCGGTGTGGCTGCAGCTCTTCTATTCCGAACAAGCTGGAACACACGTGATTCCACGTTTTAATTAGTTGGTCTCAGTCTTCAAAACAACTGATTGTGTGTGCTCCCACTTTGTTGGATTAAAAACCTGCAGCCACACTAGTCCTTTGCTACACTCCTGAGTTAGAGCTAAACTCTGTATGATTGTAGATCTCCAAGGCCAGAGTTGGCAGCCACTGCTATAAAAGATAGAAGAATCTAAGAGCCTGTTTGCACCTTGCATTAATGTGTGTTTCGTGTCCGGATACAATCTAGATAAACACTGGCTGGAGTCCATTTACCCTTTTCACATTGTACTTTACCCACATAAGAAGCACATCAACACATATGTCGTTTCCGTTTTACTTTTGTTTACTTTTTCCCGTTATGACACAAATGGACAAGATCGGCTTTGGGAATAACTCTAGCCTCGCATATCCTACTTCTTTTGTTGTCCTCTCACGTAGTAGTCAGCACATTTCCACTCACATAATTGCATATGGCTAATGAAAAAAACATTCCATTTACACTTGTGCTACATTGTGGTAAAGATCCATCTCTGACAACCGCCGAATGTGGTTTAAATGATTTGATCATGATCTGAACACGATACAGCAACACGAAGCCTGGTGCTATTTACACCTGGCTTTTCATGCAGTCAAGTTTAACCCGAACGTGGTCTGATCACCAACAACACATGCTGATGCAAGGTGTAAACAGGTCCCAAGAACAGACGAGAATTTTCAGTCTTCCTGCTCCAGATGGCTGGAATAAAAGACAGCAGAGAGTCCAAACTAGTCTTACCCAGGACGTCATGGGCAGCGAGGGCAACGTGAGTGGCAGTGGTGGGGGAGCGTACAGGTTGGTCAGGTCCAAGTCTTTGAATTTTTTACCAATCAATGCCAGTGCTTTATCTACTTGCTGCTGGGTGCCTGAGAGCAGTGGGGAATAATAATAAGAAAAAGATGAAGGAGAAGGTGGAGGAGAAGGAAGAGGAACAGTACGTTTACATCTAACTTACAACACAAATCAAAGTCATCATCAACTGGGCCTGGCAGAGCATAATGGCATATGCCACTCACTCACCTTCTATATGGCAGATTTGAAACTCTTGAGTGTAAGGCAGGGTGGAAATGTAGATCTTTGCACCAGAGCTCTGCTTCAGAAAGCTCACGTACCTCCCTTGTTTGCCAATTAGTCTACCAACTAGATGCTACAAACAAAAGAGGGAAAGGATATCAGCAAAGTCAATATTAGTGAGAGAAATGCCATATGGGTCCCATTAAATTCTCAATAACCAAAGAACACATTAGACACTGCTGTAGGTCAACAAAAATCATGGTTAGCTAAGTAACTGTTAGCTATTTACACACAGAGCTATTAAAAATGTTTTTCCTTTCATAGCTTAAAGCTAAACTACTTCACTGTGATTTTGCAATTGTCAAGCACAGATAGTGCATCTCCAGTCAGTATTGACCTAGGCTGAAAAATTAGGAGTGGTACTGAGAATGCTCACCTTTGGCACCTCTATCTCCCACACAATCAACTCAGAACTCTGTGATTGGCTGGACTGGCTACCACTCTGCTGGCCATCTCCTGTCCCCAAGGTGGAGCAGCTGTCAACTGAATCCATACTGTTCACATCCGAACCTAAATCAAATGGATAACATAAAAACACACAACCATCACCTTATGTTAATCAGGACTGAAAATGCTAAACAAAGCTGTATTTAAATATGACACATTGTATATTTGTTGTTTACTAATTATATTTTTAAGCTCACCATTTCCCCAAGCCTTCACTACACTATAGGCCAACCCACATACCACTTAGCAAAGCATAACTGAAGCACAAGTTCCATGAAATGCTATAATAGGGCGCACAGCACATTTGCAGACCATAGTAATGACTAACCTCAAAGCCTTCACAGGTATTAACCTATGCCTCTTTGAAGATCAACGACAAATAGCTGCTTAGCCATGCCATTACTGCTTGCTAAGCAACAGGCGTAACTAAAACATAACTGATACAGATGAATAGCAACAATACTTAAAACAATTGTGCTTTAGAGGATGCCACCTACAGTCACACTCTGTACGAATACCAACACCCAGTGACAGAAGCCCCTTGACTATGCTTTACGAAACTAATTGCTTGTATCTTTTAATCAGGGGCTAATTATACACATTGATGGAAATCTCACTTAAAACAATGAAAGGACAACATTTTTCCTACAAATAGGAAAACATTCAACTTTCAGGAAAGAGAAACGTCACTATAATGTAGCAGCAGGAAACAAAGTAAATTATAACCATATGGGGAGCAGGCAGGCCAGCATGCCTCAGAAGGAAAACACTGTCTGCAGAAATGACACAGATCTAAAATTTCATTGAGTGAAAACAAAACAGACAGTGAAGACTGGGACAGAGTCATGTAGCAAAACTCTTGGCTAGGCATTAAAAGATCACACTGCTCTAAAAGTTCAGGCAGATCTTGTGCATAATAAGATCACTACAGCACTACTGCAGCTTTTACTATCCTGCTGTGAGATACTATGGGGGAGGAATAAGATGGCAGGCAAATGACCAGGAGCTGCAAGAAACAACACCTTTTGTAAGGCACAGGCCGACGGGCGGATCACAGAGCACCAGCTCGAAAGACCACACTTTGCAAAGCATCAAAGAAATGACAAATGAGACAAGTGCTTCCTGCCACAGGAAGAGTAAAACACCTATACTCCTCACCTTTTGCATAGTATAATTCTATAATGTAACACATACACAATAAACTTTCAAGCCTCTACCAAAATGCTGAGTTCAAGAACAGGTGACAGGAAAAAAAGATCTGCTGGTGCACCCTGTAAGAATGTGCATGTGTAAGTGGCGGCTCTCCTCATGTAACATGCACTGTTTGGGAATTTGAGAAGTAGAGGTTTCCATGGGTCTAACAGTAAATTAGCTATGCCGCTCCACTGTTAAGGGGTAGCCCTCAGACTGCATTCATATCATCAGTTCACACCAAAATGTATTCCATATATTACAATGTAATATATAATTTATAGTATTACAATAGTAAAGTCATTATATCATGACAATACCTTGTACATTCACTAAATATCCCCAGCTCTTAGGTATACTGTAAAATAGTGTTTGTACAAAAACGGTTATATTTTCAAAACACAGCATGCATATCTACCTCCTATGCTGGAAAAAGGCATATATTTGGTTAATGCCTAAATTTAGACTGAAACTGAAAGTTTTCCTTTAATTAACTGATACTACAGACTTCTAGTTTTCCTTTCCTCTTGCATGCTGAGACCTACTGAAAGTTTCTCACAGTTTATTAAATCACGTCATTCTTTACAGTGCAATAATCATGGCACTCACCTCCCGACTGGTCAGCCTCTGCTTCACTGGTTCCGTTCCTGAGTCCTGCCCCGTTCAGTCGTGCCACCTCACACACAGCAGCTACATGCTCTGCAGTCAGCGTTGGCTCTTCCACACCTGTTAAATCAGAACTCTCCTGCAGTCCATCTTCCTTTTCTTCTGAACTCCTGGAGATCCCTGAAATTTGAATAAGGTCCTCTTTGCTCTCAGGCACGGCTGAAGACAAACCTGTGCTGAGGAGAAGGTCCTCACTGCTGATGCCGTCCTCCGACTGGCACGTGCTACATCCAGAATCTTCTGTTCCGGTTACGGCCTCCTCAGCCTGAAGCTTGGGCAACACTGGGGTTGATTCCAACTGTCCTTGAGAGGACTGCACACACTGCTGCTCATCCTCTGACTTCTCCCAGACTGAGGGGACAAGGCAGCCATTGATGACATCCTCTGCAATCTGTGCTGTCCGCTGCTCTACGTGATTTGCTTGGCTTTGGGAAGAAGGGCCCACCTGAGATTCACGGTGCTCCTCTTCCCTCATGGTGTCCTTTCCATTACAAGTGGGTGTGATGCTGCTGGTTGCCTCTGAGGCTTCACAGCTGCTCACCGCCATGACCTCCTGTGTAGCTGCTGAGATGACCTGAGTGATGAGCCCGGTAGCCAGGCGGTGAAGTTCCTCCATGCTGTCGCTGGTCTTAGCTGGCTCACCCACGTCTCCATTCTCATGGTGCTGGGCTTCTATAGAGGCATCAGAGACAGGTGTGCTGGCAGACAGGGGAAATGAAGCAGAAACCACGGGGCTCTCTGTGAGAAAAGAATGCTGGAACACAGCTTGAGCACACTGATCCATAACTGTGAGTGTTTTGGGGGGCAAGTCATCTTTGGTGGAAGAAAGGCTGTCTTTCACCAAGTCCGCTTGGACATTCTCAGCAAAAGGGACAGCCAATATGTCATCAGCCACCCCTCCTTCAGGCTCCGGGCGCTCTGCTTTGGGCAGCTCTGCACTCCAGGATACAGCAGGTGATATTTCCTTAGTGTCAAGTTCCTGTTGTTTGTTGGCCGTTTGATCCTGAGGCTGCCTAACTGAGTCCAGCTCTCCAACTGTGGACTCATCGCTTAAAGCAGCTGCCACTGGTCTCTTATGAGAAGTTTTCTCTACTACATTTGACGGAGTTGAGGTTGGAACGAGGGGCTTTTGCCTGACAGTCTCAGGGCTGCTCTGCAAGGAGTCTGTAGTTGCTTTGCTGTGAGAGGGTGAGCCAAGCTTTCCAGATGCTACCACTATTACAGGCGAGCTAAGAGGTTCTCCTGACGAGGCCTTTGTTGCAGGTGCATGAACCTGTGCTACGACCTCCTGCTCAGCAGGCCTCTGCTCTGTGGCCTTAGGTCTGTCTTGACTGGTTCTTTCATGTGTAACGCTGATGGCTTGACAGCCCTTATCCACTATCCCATTGCTGCCCTCACCAGGAGAAGCCAACAAGCCCATGGCTTGTCCCTCCTCGCTGTTGTGGCCGGCGATCCACTCTTTCTTGCGTGAGGTGTACCACCACCAGCCTATGAGCGCTACCACTCCAGGAATTATGTATGGGACAATGGAACGTAACCTCAGCGGCATCTCCTGTGGACCCTAGCTACAACTCCTAAGAACAAAGGAGACAAAAGAGAGGAGTTAGAACACATTTAGACAGGAGTTAGAACTCATTCATAAATCAGTACAGTACTCAGAATGGTTAAAAGGAACACCCACCTACCAAGACATGTAGACCCCAATGTGGGTAAATATCCTAAACTATTAACATATGTTGTTAAAAAATACACACAACATTTTATTTACTATGAAAAATCAATGGCTTTGTTCCAGCGGACCGCCATTATTTTAAACACACAATGCAAGCTGATGACTTCAAATGGCTGCAGTAGAGGTAAATGTGACAAGAAGAAGAGAAATAATGGGAAAGCATTTCTAGACAAACAGTCAAACCGGGGCAGCGTCTTCCTCTCCTGTCTGTCCTTCTTGACTTTAACTGTAATACACTCTCAGTGTCAGCATTTTTATTTATTTCACTAATTCTACTTGACAATAGCTAATACTGCTGTCATCAGTGTTTTCTTCTTGGCTAATGTCTCATTTCAGACTGAGCCAAAGTGAACATATGTTATATATGCTTAACTAACCAGCAAAAGCTCATTGGTCAACAACAAAAGGCTGATTCCAATGTTCCAACTGCTTGACGTCACTACTAGGGGTGGTCAGATTATTAATGACTTAAGTGAACTGAAACGATAAGATTATTACAATAGGTGACTTTATATGTTATTATATTGTTCTATTACATTGTTATTACATGTTGCTACTCAATTTATAATGTAATAACTATCACCCAAAGTAAAATCTTTCCACATTGCGCACAAAAATATGACTTGATTGGAAGAGGATTTTATTACATTATCAGCAGTTTATCATCATGAGCCTGCGTTATTACATTATGAGTCTTACTTGTTGATGTAACACACAAGTTCACTGTATTCAAACAAACGTGAGAGTCGTGCATGCAGCTAGTTATCGGGTGAGTAGGCTGACTGTGTACGGGAGAAACACAGGAAAACAGGCTGAAGACTTGATGAACCAGTTTTTATGGTAACAGACAAAAAATACCTCTGCAAAAATAATTAACAAAAGAATTTCCATTTGCATAGGCTACATACAGGAGCTGACTGCATTTTTTAGCTTGAATAAAACAAGTTTAAATTGTAAATGATTAAAGTTGACATTAAAATGTTTTCTAAAAGCATTTCTGCTCCATACTCTTTATCTGTGAAGGGCTCTCTTTTTAAAGTTTCTGTCTCCTTACATTTTTTCATCATAACCTGGAAGCTCCACACACTTAATCTTTCATAAAGGATCAAATATTTAATGTTATTAGTTAATTAAGCTTCATGTTCCGTTAATGTTTCTTTTGTGCAGGAACTGTGTACCTGTACATTTTCATGCCATATACTTCAAATTTAAGGCAAATTAATATTGACACACTTTTATGGGTTATCAGTCTCCTTGTTTACTAATAATCAGTATCATCCTGAAAAAAAAATTATATATATATATATATATATATATATATATATATATATATATATATATATATATATATATATATATATATATATATATATATAGGTCGACCCCTAGTCACCATCCAGAGTGTAACAAAAACTGACCTGTGAGCAGCAAGATTTTTACAATTTTATAAAGAATAAAATATTTTGTATGTTTTTCACAACATATTTTAATAGTTTAGGGTATTTACACCATATAAAGGTCAAAACGTCTTACCAGTCAGGGTTCCTTTTAACTTCACACAGTTTCAGCTCACTTTTCTAGCTGCTTCGATTACCTGGGAAAAGAAAAAACTTCCTAATCTTCCACACAAATTTTGAGCACTGCCTTATGACAAGTAAAAGTTCTCATTCCAAAACGCATCACAGACCACTTTCAAGTGTTTCAATGTGTTTTCCATTATACATCAGCTATAATTCTTTTTGAGAACTCATTATATCCACAATTGTTACAAATGGATATACAGCGTTTTGGAATGAAAATCTTCAAATGCAGCTACAAACGACTGAAACCAAACTACTGCTCATACCCAAAGGTGACCATCACTCATCCTAAAGTAATACTGCCTTTATGACACAGTATACCATGCATAAATTCTACTGGACTGTAGTTTAGTTCAATAATGCAACATATCTTGACCCAAAGAAAATGAACCCAACTTACGCAAGCATGAATTCAGGTCCTAAACTAGATCCCTCTAACATTAAAGGTGGATGACAATTTGTTGTAGTGCTGGAAAAACTGTATTATCAATGAGGATTCCTAAAAAATCCTTTGACTCCATCTACACTGAGAAAGACACTCCAGGTACACTGTTTATATTTATGGTGCAAGAAATGTTTTTAGTAAAACTATACAAGCAATGCTTATCAAGGTTAAGATCTGACTACTATAACAAGCAAGGAAAGGATTTTTTTTAATGTTGATATTCAACAAACACTTCAGATATATAACTCTGCATTTTGTTCTCTAGTCTTAGCTACATTATCACTATGGACAATGTAGAAGTCTACATGACTCACTCTTCAGAACATAGGTTTGCTATATCTAAATCACATTCTAAAGAGTTTTTTGCATCTAAGGTTTTGTTAAATATACAAAGCAACTCTGTACAGATAAAGTAAGAGATTGTAACAGGGCAGCTGGTTGCTCCTAAGCAAATCAGATATGGAGCTCCATGGAACTACTGACTTAAAAAGACAGCAGTATAAAGACTGAAACCAACTTAAGATGTTAACCACTTTATTTACCAAACTAATGAACTTGAAAGCAAAGGTGAATATACTTACATACTTGTACAATCTTTTAATAGCTGCAAAACAGACACTTTTCTTGCTCCAGGGGCCTGCTTAGCTATGCTCACATATAGTACACATTAGGAATGGCTGGCCTGTAAAAAAGGGGAGGATTCTGTGTACTACACTAGAGTAGAGAGGGCAGTGCCACACAGCTTCAGTCTAAGCTAACAGGCTGACTGGACTACGTGCAGAGACCCCTCCTGCGCTCATTGGCCAGCAGCCGCTACATGTTAAAAAAAGGACACCCAAGCATGCCTTTCCTTAACTGAGCCAGAGAAGCCCAGCCTGTGGAAAGGAAGGAATGCATTGAAGGGGGCGACATGCCTCCTTTCTACATTGCACTACATAAAAAGGAGACTGTGCTAACACACTTTGAACTTGGACTTTGACCCCACAGAGATGGGCTGAACTGGGGAGTGCCAGTACCCTGGTAAAGAGAAGGACAAACACTATGCACCACATGGCATTCTTGCCAAGCTAAATTGTCCATATTTAAAATGACTCTCAAAACCTGGATACAACTTTCTCTTCTCAATGGACGGCATCTCACAATATGGACGAAGGATCTCTTCACTGAGATTACGCTCATAAGAGGCTCAGCTATGAATGACGGTGGATTAAGACAGGCGTCTGAAAAGTGTGATGTGTTAGTCCCTTTTAAAATGAAAGCTAAGGGCATCTATCACTGAAAAAAGCAAGTTAGAAGACCAAAGCTTGTGTAATGATCAACTGTTACAAAGTCATTACACTAACTTACTAAAAGAAAACAAAGATTGCATCAGTGACTACTATGTCCAGAAACAGAGTGTAAACATGAGCCATATCTCTGGACTAACTGACAGCATAACCCAGAACACCTAGGTCTAGGCACTGGAACGTCTATTGAGTTTCTGTTGACTCTGGCTATTATTGACCAGTGAACTGGAAGGAGAGGGCCTTAACTGGGAGAGGATAAAGATGGTCAGTCTTACTGCCCTGAGCTGCCTTGTCTCAACAAACACCCATGGCCCCATTTCTATTCAACAATGGCTTAACGCACAAACACAAGCAATAGGCCTAGGTCAAAGAGAATAGGAGTGTGCTATATGATTGTATGGAACAAACAAACAACTGGTCTAACTCCCCTTCAAAATGGCAACAAAATAACAGCATAATAATCAATAATATCCACAATATCCAAGGCACGTGCACTAACTGAGGAAAAGAAATCTTAAAATGATCAGCCTTAGAGCACTATTGCTTCCTAAATCCTGTCATGAGGCAACAAGACAAACAAGCAAACCACATGTCATAAGGAGCACTTCTATTTTCTCATCAATAACCAAATATACTGACAACCAGTGCTGGGCAATATATACTATGTACCAGTGATGCTACTTTTCAGTTTTAGTGATATAGCTGATAGATAATAAGCAAGACACCCATGATATTATACCTGTAACAAAGTGCAGCCCATTTTGTCAAGTGGCTTGTTTTAGTCTGTTTTTATGTAATTCTATTTTGTGCACTTTACTCAGGGTAGCCAGGAACTCACGGTTAAATACAATGCATGTCATTTGCTGGATGCTTCAGATTGTTTTGAAAGAATCCATATAAATTAAATAAACAGTAAGTTTCCCTTTTCCATTTTCAATACTGTACAAGGTTCCTTTCAGTGTCATTTTAAGAGAAGATGAACAGAAACCAGGCTGTCAGGTTTGTAAGACATTCTTTTAGTACCAGTACTCAGGAAGAATATGTTCTTTTAGTTTGTTGACACTAAGAAATACCATCCGATATTGTGATATATGTGGAAAACATCTAGAGATTATCAATACCACCCAGCACTACTGACAAACACCCTAAATCATTCAACCAAAACAGAAGTGTTTCTACTTTCATATTAATAACCAAAACTGTATATTCGACAACCAACACACTGGTCTTCCAACAATGACACTGGCCCCCTGTAAAGTAGCCCCCATGGCTACCACACATGAGAGTCACTGTCCTCAGTTCGAGACCAGTCACGTGTCTCAGGCTGCAGTGAGACTTGAGCGTGTGCGGTCTGGTCAACACAAAAACACGTCAGTTCTTATTTTTGCTGTCCACAGCCGACGTTCACCTTCGATGAGGTTAAATAAACGGTCGCAGAGTGGACGTGGAGCGCATGGCCGGCCGTTATCACGGGCCTGGGCGCTTTAGAGCACACACCGAGTCAGGAATCACGGTGCGCCGCTGTACGACCTTGGTGGGGAGAGATAACGGCGGGGTCACCGGATTCACTCCACAAACTCTCAGTGCTAAAACGCACCGACAAGTACAAGAAGCATCTTAAGCAGCTTATTAGCCAGTGTGTCCGCGTTTAGATTACAAAACAACCCGCACTGAGCCTGTGCTATTATACGCACCAGACACTACACAGCCTGCTTCGGCTCCCCAGATCAGTGTGAGGAGAATTTTGAACCAGCACTGTCGTTTTTCCCCTTTTCCGACATAACAAATATGGATAATTGCGAGAAGTGTTAGTAAAGGCGTGGGGAATACCACAGTAAGGCAGTCTGAAAGCTGTCCTGAGAAGTGTAACCGTGCCGAGGCATCTGGCGCATATGGCTGAAGTTGGCTTCTTATTCGTTAGCTCCTTGTTTTAGTTTTTCCCCTTCCACCTTAAATGGTGCATCAGTTACGGCTGCACCATTTAAGGTGGAACGGGAAAATTCGAACAAGAAGCAGGCGAGTACGAAACCGACTCCAGCCTCGTCTTTCGCCTCGAGGTTGCAGCAGGCTAGCTACATGTGCGCTAGCAGGCTAGCACGCTACTGCTAACCCAGCCTGGAATGAGCTAACTCACTCCTTCACAACGGAAAGCGAAACTGTGGTGCTTAAAATACAGACAGCACTTCTGCAGCGAATCGTAAGATGCAAAATCTGCCGCCTAACTTTAATAACCGGTACTGGACGCGTGACCGCGCTGCTGCTAACTGCTGCATTTTGACCTACAGCGTGTTTATTAGAGTAACGGTAGGCCGAGGCGCTGGATGAATTAATACAGTGCAGCCAGCAGAGCCATTAGCTGCACACAGAGAGGTCATCCACAAGTAAAAGCCACAGAGATGGGATTAGTGACTTTAGAAAGTCAGCCCAGAAACCTCGATCATCGCTTGTTAGAAAAAAAATATATATATATTATCGATATCTGACTAAATCTCTGTCTATAAATAGCAGTAGCCACTCGACTGCTGGCGTGCGCAATATATAGAAATAAGTCTGTAGTTAACACGAGGCTGTAGTAAGTGACTGAGCTGAAGCTTCAAATGTCAAAATTAGCCCCACGCATCGTGAACTGACTGAGCTAAGGTTAGTTAGCTTACCTCGCTAGCTAAGGGACATGAATGAACGAGCCGTTCACCGCAACTCGCTGCAAACAGCCAATTACTGTCGTGAATATTACTAAGCTAGCCTGGCTTATTACTCACCCCTGTAACACTGTGAGCTGGAGTTAGAAAGATATTAAAAATACAGGCTGTGAATCTCTCGCAGTCACTTGCCAACCACATAACGTTACTGAATGAGCGCTTGTGCAAAGTGAGACGGCTTTAAGTCGTGTGTTGGCTGGGAAGCCATAATTAGTTATCTAACAGTTCTGTTTTAGCTGGTGAGAGGCGTTAATACAGTCTAATGAATGACAGCCGGATCAATGACAGTGAACAAATAGGTACAAAGCAAAAAAAAAAAGCACCGAAGACATATAAAGCATGGATGGGCATGTTCACTAATGTTAACCACACCGCTAGCTAAAGTAGAGGGCAACACTGAGACACTGTAAGAGAAAGAGCAGCGAGCTAACGTTAACCTAGGCAGCTAGCGCCCGTGTCCCACATGAGCGCTCTCTCCGGGTCGAGCTGTGCTCTCAGCACCGCAGCAGCTGCACAAACTCACCGTGTCTGTAAGTCCTCCTCGCCGCCACCGTGAACCGCACAACCGTAATGATAAAGCTCAATAACCGTTTCGTTCTGTGGGCCCAGCACAGCCCCGCCGTGTCCCTCAGCTCGGTGTGTGTGTGTGTCTTTCTCTCCTCCCCACGTGTTGACCGACCGAAATCACACTAAAACACAGACGTATCAGCTGATCAAATCTCGCGACAGTTGCTCGTCTCCCTGCGACTGTGGAAGATCTCGCGACGCTTTGTCCTGAAATTTTAGTGTCAAACTTACACGGTTAATTAATCCTCCGAAATAACGCAAATCATTTTGCTGTTCATAATCGTGTCTGCTCTGGATTAACTTAATATTTGTTTGGGGCGCTGGTTCCACAGACCTGACTGCCATTGAGAATGCACTACTACAGATTTATAGGCCAACTCCTCGTGCTCCTTGCTTTAGAGCTTTATAATGACAGTCTTATTATGGGACAGCGAGGTCTAATTGATGCCTGGTGGAATTACGCAGAAGTACAGACTAAATGAATAAAATAACATCCACACTGTAAAGAATTATTTCTTTACAGTTAAGAAGCTTATCTTTTTCAGTTGCCCAAACTTTTTGTGTCGTAACTTTTTGTGTGTAACTTTTTACAAAACAGTACACAAATAAAGAAGGTAGGCAAGTTTTATGAATGCATTTTATAACCTTACACTATATGTTGCTACTAAAATACTTAAAAGTACAATTATAAAAAAATAATGTATTATGCAGTTGCATATAAGTTTCAAGTATGAGCAGCCTATATTGTATAAAAATATATCCCTGTCCCAAATAGTCCCCAAAACCCTGTGTTCCTCCTCAAAGTGCACACTTTGGTGAAGTCAACAACATGCAGATCTATAGGGTAAGGGGGTTTTCACACTAGAGTCTTTTTCTGGTCCCAGGACTGCTTACTCTGTGAGTTTGGTATGCTTAGTCAAGTGTGAAAGCTGTTATTGAGCCCGGGAGTGGTCCAGAGAACCGATCTCTGATCCACCTGAAATCAATGGTTGGGGTTCACTTCCAGCAAACTCTGGTTGTGTGATTGGTTCATTGAGGTTTTATCTGGGACAGGCTCATGCTACACACAGCACATCAGTCATGCTTTTTTTTCTTAATAAGCTAGTTTGTTTACCTACAGTATCTGAGTTCAGATTACAAGCATAATGCACCTCAATGACAAGTTAAATGAATAAACAAATATACTTTTCCCCCTCACATCTAATATCTTCCTTTCTGCTGCGTTGGTCAGACAAATGTAAAACAAAACCAGTCTGATTGGTCCTTATTTGTATCTAATGGAATTTTGGGTAATAGGCTGAGTCTGCACTGATGTAGTCTTCACAACGGGCTGCAGTAAGGGTGCATAGAGGGCGGTCCAGAGCACCTCTTTGAGCAGGAAAATGAGAAATGCGACACCCCACAAGCCTGTGTTCCTTGTGTGCACCAATTGTGGACCACAGAGTCTCAGGCGCACCATTTGGGACTGGGCTTATGTTTGCTCTCTCATTGGGTGAGGTAATGGGGTTAAGGCGACTTTCTTTCACACTTTGGGCAGCTGTGAATTAAAGCATCTGTGAAAACAGGAAGACCTAATGCTGCAGCAGGTGATGAACTGCCTGTAGATTTGTCAGATAACTAGGCCTAAACGTAAATGCCCCATTCACTTGCCTCATATACATGAAAACTTAGAAAACACTGATTTTGGTGTTGACAAGAGGTTTGCATCTTGTAAGCTTTCTAACTCTGTCACTAGTACAGGGGTATCTAATATTGTCCATGAAGTACAGGAGTGGCTGCAGGGTTTCATTCCAAACAAGCAAAGGCACACTTGATTCTGCTTGTTTAATCAGTTGGTCTTGGTGTCCAAACAACTGCTCATGTGAGCTCCTGCTTTGTTGGAATGAAAACCTGCAGCCACGCTGGCCGTCTGCTGAGAAGACTGGACACTCTTGCACTAGAGAGTTGCTACAGATGGGAGGTTTTCTTGTGATTTGAATGACAGTTGCTAATGTATTATTATTCACAGTTTAGCAGCATTTTTTTCCCCTGAGTTCATTAGTTTTTAAGTCTCTATGGTCTTTTGTGCCTGTTGACTCAGAAGACAGAGTCCCACAGCAGAAGCTTGGTGATGTGAGTGGGCTTGATGCAGAGGTGGGTAGAGTAGCCTAAATCAATACACATTGTGAAAGTTGTTACTTCAGTGAAATAAAGATTGAAGTACAAAAATCTTTTCAAAGAATAACTCAAGCAGAGGTACACAAGCATCAGGTCAAAAATGACTAAAGTACTGCAGAAGTAAAGTGAATGCAGCATCTATCAGCATAGAACCTGAAGTTATATAAGCTATTCCTTTCTTTTCGATGAAGTCTTGGTCAAAAATAAATGATAAATCAAAGATGACTGACTGCGGAGCAGCACAGATGCTGTCACCAACAACACAAAATGAACTTAAGCATAAAAAAGGAATTAGTTAATTAATGTTAATAACTAAAATGTAACTGGAAAACAGGTAGAATACTTTCCTCATGAACATACTTGAGTGTAAGTCAAAGTATTACAGTTTGAAAATATCAATTTCCATCAAACACAAATACAAATACATCAAATTTTTACATGAGTAAATGTAACGAGTAAGTACAATTCATCTCTGGGTTGATGTAATAATTGTATGAAAGGAATGTAATAGTAAATTAGTGTGTTTATCATACAACCCTGTTTGCAAAAAAGTTGGGATGCTGTGCAAAATGTAAATGAAAACTGAATGCAATAATATGCAAATCATTTAAACACTATATTTTATTGAAAATAGTACAAAGACAGCATCAAATGTTGAAACTTATAAATTTTATTGTGTTTTTTAAAAACATATTTTTCAAATTTAATGCCAGCAACATGTTTGAAACCATGGTGTTACATCACCTCTTCACTTTGTGAAGTGTTTGGGAACTTACACACATTATCTAAGCCACATATTCTTCTGGGTCATGGGGGGCGGTGCTGGAGCCTCTCCCAGCAGTCATTGGGCAGAAGGCAGGAAACACAGTGGACAGGTTGCTAGTCCATCGCAGGGCAGACAGACAGACATACAATCACACACACATTCACACCTAGAGGCAATTTAGCTTCTCCAACTGATCTGACTGCATGTCTTTGGACTGGGAGGAAACCCATGCAGACATGAACATGAAAAAGAACATGCAAACTCTACAGAAAGGACTCTGGTCGCCCAGCCAGGAATCAAACCCAGGACCTTCTTGCTGTGAGGCAACAGTGCTATCCACTGCACAGGTGCTCAGGTTGGGGTCTCTTTTGTTGTATTTTTCATTTCATAATGCACCAAATGTTTTCATATGGTGACAGGTCTGGACTGCAAGTTGGCCAGTTTAGTATCCAGACTCTTTTACTACAGTGCAATGCTTTTGTAATATGTTGTTTGTCATTGTCTTTCTGAAATAAATAAGGCCTTCCCTGAAAAAGATGTCATCTGCATGGCAGCATATGTTGCTTCAAATTCTGTAAATATATCATTCAGCATTAATGGTGCCTTCACGGATGTGCAAGTCACCAATGCCATGTTCACCAATGCACCCACATACCATCACAGATGCTGGATTTGAACTGTGCACTGTTAACAAGCCGGATGGTCCGTCTCCGTTTTAGCCTGGAGAATGCTGCATCCATGATTTCCAAAAAGAATTTCAAAGTTTGATTTGTCAGACCATAGGACACTTTTCCACCTTCACCTCAGTTCATCTTAAATGAGATCAGGCCCAGAGAAGGCGGCAGTGTTTCTGGATCCTGTTTATGATTTCTTCATTGCATGATTTTTAACTTGCATTTATGGATGCAGTGTTGAACTGTCTTCACAGCCAATGGTTTTTCGAAAGTGTTCCTCAGCCTATGCAGTGATTTCCATTACAGGATTGTGTCTGTTTTTAATGCAGTTCCGACTAAGGGCCCAAAGATTATGGCCAGCCAGTTCGGCCTGGGTGACAGGGTGATGTAATCAGATATCGTCAAGTAACCTGATGGCAATGTGTAAAAGGCAATTTTACAGAGAGAGAGAGGGAGAGACAGAGAGACAGAGAGAGAGAAGTTTGTTAAGAAACTGCCTGTATTAATTGACTTTGCATCACGTTTGCTGACTTTAAAGCACAGATTCCCCTTCATTTACTTTATGTGAATGGAACAGAAAATGAATGCTGATGTGCTTTGGAACTTCAGCTCACCTCAAAGTGACTTGCGGCTGTAAAAAATTAGCTAAAATGACTTAAAGTTAGCATAGAGCAACTAAGTTAACTCTAACCTGAAGAGAAAGTTCCTCTGATCCTTGTTTACGGCCGGTGTTCTCAGAAAAAGATAATAAACAATATTAAATAAAATGTATACATAATGTTTTATTCACTTTGACTCCTAAAACATTGAGTAATAATGGGGCATTTAAAAGCTCCAGTAGAGTAAACTCACCACTTTGTCTGCTACGTGTGTTTTAAAATATGTAAATTATATAGAATATTTTCTGTACAGATTAGATGGTTACCTGAATTATGAAAACGCCTTGTTTCTAACATGGAAAGCACGTAGGTATAGTTTCGGAAATCACATGCAGTCTGAAGTTTCTCCAGCAGGGAGCGCGGTTAGGAGGCAAGTAGCCGCAAATCTGCAGCAGAAGCAGCTCATAAACGTCTGTGTTTACAGTAACGTTTATTAGAAAGACAGACGTTGTTGTCAGAAGATGTTGGGCTACTCCACATCATATTACTTATTATTTGAGTTTTAGTAAAGATTTTCATGAAAACAGTTAATATTAAAAAAGCAAATAAGTTAAAATGGAGTAGAAAGTAGGCCAAAGCTGTGCTTGCCAAAGATTGTGTTTTAGGGTGGGTGGGTGTAGTGGGGGGCGATATTATCGATAATCGCGATTTTCACAGTAGAAAATATTGTGCTAATTATTTTTAGATATCGCCCAGACCTACAGCCAGTATTGTTTTTGACGTTGTCCCTTACATACAGAGATTTCTCTGGATTCTCTGGATCTTTTAATGATATTATGTACCGTAGGTGATGAGTTCTTTGCTCTATGTTGAGAAACGTTATTCTTGAATTGTTGCACTATTTGCCCACGCAGTCTTTCACAGAGTGGTGAACCCCTCCCTGTCTGTATTTCTAAAAGTTTTTTATACCTGGTCATGTTACTGACCTGTTGCCAATTAAGCTACTAAGTTCTAAGTTCTACCAGTCTTTTGTTGCCCCCAGCCAACTTTTTTGTGTTACTGGCATCAAATTCAAATTGGACATATACTTTTCAAAAAACAATCAACATCAATTCAACATTTGACACGTTGTGTTTGTACTATTTTCAACTAAACATGGGGTTTAAATGATTTGCACATCATTGCACTCTGTTTTTATTTTATTTTGCACAGCATCCAAACTTTTTTGGAAACAGGATTGTAATATACCCATCTAGACTGGGAAAACTGAACACAAGACCTATCACTGCAAAATGGCAAAGCACATATGCCCAGTATTGGTTGACACCCTGAACGCACTTTATGATGTGTGAGGGTATTCTGGCCAAAACCCAAAAAACTCCCGCTTTAGGAAGTACTTAAACACAAATAATTTGCTTTACTGTGAAAATATACTCACCTTTAAAAAAGTTACTACATATTATGGTGTTACCACATTACTGATGATGAGGTCAGTGGTTTTATAACCTGTGGCCATGGCTCCCCAGGGGGGCCGCAGTGGTTCTGCTTGGCTGCTGTGGCTGTTTATTTGTACTTGTATTTATAACCACATTTTTTACTTGCAAAAACAGAACACCTTATTTAGGTCGACCTCATTTATAAGTCAGCTTATTAGACAAAATGCCAGCTATGTTTACATATCAGTGCAAGTCAATGTAAAAAGTTTCTCTTTTTGTTTGTATGAAATTCATCCATAATGGATAAATGGTTACAAACAGGGTATTTCATAAAGAAAGATCCTGAGGCTGAGCCGTCTACAAGTGAAACAGCCACTGTATTTCAGACTTAGAAAAACAATATAAACAAGCAGAAACTGAAACGAAGAAAACACAGCAGTGAGTAGAGTTACTAAGCTCTGACAAAAACAGACAATTTCTTCAGGTGAAAAAAAAATATCTATTGCTCCTCACAAAACTGACAAACTGACACTGAGTGGGCTTCTTTCTATTCTGGAAAAGTAAAAGGAACACAGAGTTCCACCACCTCATTCAAGATATGAAATTTATGAGAGCTTTCGAATACAGCACGGACATTAATAACTCAGTCTGAGCTGATTTTAGAGATGCTAACACCTGTGAGAAAGCAGAAAACAGACAAATCCTGATGCCAGTGAAAGACAGCAAATATCAGTTAAAGCACAAATAAAATAGTCATTCAAAAAATTGCCCCAAAATACTGCATGAATAAATTGTGTTCAGTGTGAAAAGGCCTTCAGGCTTCACATATCTGAGAACAGAAAATAAGTGACTATTGCTCAGTGCTGTACCCTTCAAAGCCAAACAAATTAGGCCGTCATTTGGAAGCTAAACAAATATTTATCTAAACCTATTGAATTGTGCCAGACCTCCTTTCGCAACTTTTGTTTCTTTAGTGTGTCATCCAGCACTTGATAGCTGCCAAACATTGATAAGGATGATAGGCAACATTGATTGCTGAATCAATGTTCTGGTCTGGTTAAATGATCTGGCCAGTTAATTCTTGTGGGTTGTGTAAGCTTTTGTGGTCACTTGTGGGGGCCGCCATTTAGAAAAGGTTGGGGACCTCTGATCTAGGCATTGCATCAAAGCAACTATGTTACACTGCAGCCCCTTCCCCTAGTCATATACCTGGTAAAAGTATTTAATAGCAGTGCTGTTGGGGGTCTCCCCAGATCGACGGTACTGTCATGCAATAAGGGAAATGCCTGCTGTATTGCATATTGCATTATTGCATAACTAAAAAGAGAGAATTGGGGGCAATAAACACTATCACATCCTGGGAAGAGTGGGGCTCTACTTGATAGGGTATTATTATTTTGGTATTAATATAGGCACATATTCTGAGGATATGGAAATAAAATGAATAAAGGACAGAGATAAGAATGTAGTGAGAGATGTGATGAGAATCTTTAGTATTTTAAACAGAATCCTAAAGGATGAAGCTTTTGCAGTTTTTAAACAGACATATTCTAACAATAATAAGCCTTTATTTGTGTGTGTACTTGTGTATTCCTTCATGGTAGCCTCTTGAAATAAATATAAAAAAAAAACAAAAACAAAAACCAATTAGTATTAAATCATCTCTTTTTCTCCTTTCTATATTTCATCAATGTGGGGAGACTAAAATCCTTAAAAACATTTTTAAAAGATGGAATATGAATACAAACCACTGACATTAAAAGAAAAAAAAAAATGCACATTTGACGTAACTGACAGGGTAGTGGACAACTTTTATTATGAACACAGGTATAATTAAATTGCCATGTTATACATGTACAGCAACTAACTGCTTTACAAAAAAGCAATACAATGTCATATTTACAATCATATAACTTCCAATTTTACACAAAAATATGTACAAATGACAAATGTGCTGTTTACAGATGACTGGTGCAATTAAAATGTGGCAAATGCTTCAAACCAACACAGCTTTGCATTATATAATACACATCATTACTTATTTTCAATGTACGCAGTGTTTCTTAACCACATACTGCGATGAAAAATGAGCAAGACGTCATCTTGCGTCGTAGTTCATACACATTTCAAAAGGCTGAAGGGCAAGCATGCTTCCAATAAACTGCAGCGCAGGCAGTCACCTACATCGTACCTGCATCTATAGCTTTACATATTAGGCTTCTATATATCCTGAGAACTTTATGCAGTTAAATTCAGCTGTGTACCATCAAGTCAATGTCTGGGATTAGTGAATGCATAACTGATAGAGACAGAGAGAGATTATCGATTTGGTTAGCTGAAACCCATCAGTCCTTTGCGTGGAGTGCAGGTGTTAAAATGCTTCTAACTTGAATTAAAAACTTTATAAACTGCCCTGTTAGAATATTTAAGGTAGCAGATAATAATGCTTACATTTTCCCAAACTGCCTCTGCACAGTCATCAGCTGAGAGTACAGACACCATTGCACCCTTAAAATGACTATAATTATATATAGACAATAGGGTTACATATAACAGAGCATAAAATACTGAAGCTACATGACTTAGACAATGGAAAAAAACACAAAAACACAACATTTACACAAAAATCAGCATAAACAAGCCAAAGAAGAACAGACCATGGAAATGCTGGACAGATTTGGTCCCAATTCCAAAAGCAAAGCATGAGGCACTGTTATTTATAACTGGACAACACAGAAATGACATAAGCAAACCATTTAAGGCAATTAACACTTAGGAGATACAGTGGTTCAAGATATATAGGTATAGTGGTTGAGGGGAGAAAAAAAAAGAAAAAACAAAATTGCAACCGATTGTAAACAGATAACAGACTTTGGTTTCCTTAAATAAAAAGTGGGTAATGCTTCATGCATTTGGTAGGTACCCTTTTGTAGTGCTAGTTTCCCTTTAAAAAACAGTGTCAGTGAGGAAAGACCTAACAAGAGAAATAAAGTCTAAGAAACAGTATTCAAGGTACGATAGTGTATAGCAATGATTTTCACCTTTTCTCCAGGAAAAAAGAAGGGGCATGTACGAACATATTAGAGAATATTGCACATCAGCAAACCTCCACAGGTCATGAGTATTATGTTGAGCTGTACATTGTAGTGGTATTTTGTTGAAAATGTAAGTAAAATGATACATTTGTCATACATCCATAGTGGGGAGGGACATGAATAAGCATGCAACATACATTTAAGCCAAACCCTTTCTTACAATGGCCTGAAATAAACAAATAAAGAAAAACATACGTGAGACATCATTATGAACATGATCTATAGACAGTCACAAAGGAAAACAAGCCATCCTCTTCTCTTTTTGTGAACTATCCTTTGGTGCAATGTCACCATGCCTCCCTCTTAATATCCTGGGGTTTGGGGGGCTGGCACTGATGGCTTTGCTGTGCGCTTTGTGCCACTCATCGGGATTAGTAGATAGAGTAGCACTTCATTCTGAAAGGGTGCCAGCAATTGAGCGTATAAACATCACCTTATCTCCCTTTCTCTCTTTACTTATGCCCGTTAAACACATAATACAGACAAAACACTATATATTTGCATTGAAACTAAAATCATTTGAAGTTACTGGTGGCCGATTACAGCTCTGTTCATGTCTGAATCCCCAAAAACTCTCAAGTGTCAATCATCATTACAGAAATCTGACCACATAAGCACTCTATTCTCAGTCAGTATTCTTGGTAATATTACTTGAATGATTAATGGTTATAGGAGAACAGTGATTAAGAGATAGTCATTTGATTTTGAGTTATCTACCTCCACAGAATAAATATCTACAGTAAATGCAGCAAGTAATGATGCATATATATTTGAAGATCATATGATACTTTTTTCCTCTTTACAGTGCAGCAATGTATGGACATATGTATATGTGAAGAACACTTCTCTATAATTAGTACCTGTTTTTCCCTTCCTCAGCTTATCTTACAAACTATACACAGCTGATAATCCTGACAAAGGCACACAATGGACTAAACAGCAACCCAAAATGTGTGATCATCATCATCCTCTTCATCCTCCTCCTCCTCGTCCATATCGGTTCCATATATACATCTGCTTAGTATCACAATGACATCCGATTGCCAGTCTAGACAGCAACCTGTGGATATCAGGTTCTCCAAGGACCTGCTGATTCACTCGTCTACTCTCAGGACAAATGGATCCTGCCAAAGACTTTGAGGCTGTCTTTCTCCACAGTCAGTTTTGGTCAGGCGTAGTGGTCGCTTACGCAAGTCCCTGGTTTTGAAGTTTTTCCAGACCTTACTGTCGCAGGCCTTCAGCGTTCAATCTCAAAAATCGTAGAGAACTTTCGAGGGCACGCTGGTGGCTTGTTCTACAGTCTGTATGATCTCCTGCTGATGCTGAAGATTAAAATAGCAGAAAGTGTCTTTAGACTCATGTGGGCTCCTTCAGGCTCCCCTGACTGTGCTGGGGGAAAAAGGATGTGAACTGCAGAGAGATGTGCAAGTTTACAACGTCTTCCCTTCATGCACCCATCAAAAGCTTCTCAAGACGGCCAATTCTGAACTTCAGTGCTGAGAGGTTCAGTGATCATCTCAGTCTCTTAGATCATTATCCTCCACATGCAAACATACAGGTAAACATTGTTCTTTCTCTCCCGGCTTCCGCAACAAACAAAAGCTCAAACGTAAGCGGTTCTTCTACTCGGGAACCTTCTTAGACTGGTAAACATAGCAACAGAAACTGTTAATGTAGAAAGGTAATTAATGCAGCTTCCTGAATACCGAATGTGGTCTCAGAGCATGTTCAGACGATCTTCTTGATGCTGGTGCGTTTGAAGCTGCCAGCACTGCGCTGTTTCTGCACCTGGCTGGCTGAACCGTGACGGGCTCGGCCACCACTGCACAGGCTGGAGGTAGGGGACAGCTCCACGTTCTCCTTATCAATACCTGCAGGGGAGAAGACAGATAAATGACATACATTTCTACTCACAAACACTACACTCACAAATTAATGGAGATTAACATTATGTGAACCCCTGCAACTTCTATTCTTTATTCTTTATTTGGATCTCCATTAGCTTCCACAAAGTGGTTGCTGGTCTTCCTGGGTTCCACATAACTGCATAACTTTAGGTTGAACACAATTGATTATCTCAGTAACTGAAGAGTCAATTGAGCAATCTGAGTTTTTCCCAAAAGGCCAGACAATAAAAGTGGACTTAGCTGACTTAATGGACATATATACAGATAAACAAGGATACTTTAGAAAAAAACAATTCAAATATATGAGGCTGTGTTAAATACTGTAGGACATAGCAGTATGAGAATTTTAGAATAAGCATTTTAAATCACGCAAATTGCAATCCAATCACCACCAATTCAGACAATTAATGGAATTCCTTCATTAATTGTGACCTACATAATATACTGAATAATAAGTCTTAATGTTGTTAACTGAAAAACAAGCCTGCAGTTTAAGGGCCTACCCTGCAAACTGTTCAGGTATTAACAAATTTCTTATGGGCAAACTTTCATCCTTCCACCATATATAGTGGTCATATGTCATATCATCACACATCATTTAACTATTAAACCTTTGATTTTGATGTGAGCATCAATAACCATTTTGGTCAACCACTTACCTAACAGGTGCATCAATATAAATATTACATTTTTTCTTAGAACCATTAGAACTATCAATTATAACAAACATCAAATCATGCTAGACCCATAAATGAAAATAAATGAAAGTAACAGAAATGTGTCTGGCCAGATGGTTATATGGCTTTAATACCAGCATCAACCAGAAGGGGTCTCAAGACACAATAGTTCTGCATGCTGACAAAGTCTAAACTCAAAGAAACACAAGGAGGAGAATTCTTTTTGATGAATTCATGATTTTGCAACAATGTATATGACCTGCAATTTACCATTAAAATGTTAAACTGTGTGAAACACTTCCTAACACTCTTTTACCAGAAACAGATAATAGAGAAGGGTAATTTATTTTCTGTGTGTGCTGTTTGTTCTTGTGTCGACATAGGACTGAGTACGGAAAGTCAATATCTTATGGTACTGACCGAATTACTTCAGTACTGAATATCAAAAACATTCTGTGTCACTGAATACCAAATTCCAATATCTAAGCAGCTTAGACTCATCAATATCCATGAGCCTATAAGCATGCTTGTTCCAAAATCTACAGTGCTGATTGGCTGTCTAAAGTAGATTCCGTGTGCGATGAGTGAAGACCTCCACTTCCAGTACCTCACATTCATTTCTGGTTTAAGCCACACCCACTTTCGGTTTCTACCTTAAAGGGCGAGATCAAAAACGTATTGTTCAAGAACTGCTACTGAAGTCATAGTATCAGTACTGATATCGGTTTTGAAAAATTATGAGTGATACCCAACCCTGCCACTGCATCTCTACTCTAGAAATAGCTACATAGCTAGAAATAATTCTAATATTTTTAAGCAGAAGCAGTAGTTGATTACAGATCAGCAGAAAAGGGAAAGTTCTGGCTTTTAGCACACAGCAGCAATGCTTGAATACCTGGGAGGACGAGATGTGGTGGAAACACAGCCGACTTAGAGCAAGGCAGAGAGGCTTCACACACACACATACATACACAAAGGGTGGAAAAGAAAACAGACATGAGTGACATTCACAACTCAAAAGAGAGAAGAAAAGACAGAATGAATGGAAGAAACCGAACTAAAAGCAAAAGTGACGGCTCATTCTTTTCTTACATGATCCTTTATGCACACTGAAAAATAGATACAGCAAATAACTGATCTTAACTAGCTTGAATGATTATTAATATTAATGATATTGACTTTTATATTTAACAGGTAAGCAAGGGGACTGTACTTGATTATTTTATAATGGATCCACAGTAAGAGTAAAATCAAATACTGAATGAACTATGAGCAACTGGTTGGTTCGCATATTAGAAATTTTAAAGGGCCCATATCCTACATTTTTTGTATTTATGTGTGGCTTTGGATATCAAAAACAGTTGTTTTACATGACTATTTGCCAGCCTTTTCTGTTCCTTAGAATTCAACAGGCTGTCTTTGTTATTGTTATTGAATTGTAAATGACCTGTTTTAATTAGCTGTCCTGTACTGTGTCTGGGCTAAAACACAACGTTCAAAATGTGAATGTGCAGGGCTACGCTCCTGTAGGCTGAGTACATGTAATATATGAGTAAATGTGCTTGTTTTTCTGACATCACAAAAACAATGAATTCAAAACAGGCCATGTTTGCAGTTTAGTTTCCATATGTGGACCATATGAATGGTACGTTTTAAAACTTTAACAATGCTTACATAGTACATAGAGCTTTTTTATTTAAAAAAAAAAAAGTCAAGAACATTTTCCATGATATGGGCCCTTTAATATCAAGCTTTTAACGGCCACTTCAAGCATCACTACCACTACAGAAAGAAACGTACAGAAGCGGTAGGCACTTAAACCAGTTACCAAAGTCTGCAAACTATAGAACTGGACATTAAATGCCCATCACAGCTCTATAGTTTAGACTTGTACCAGCGGTTTTCGGTGGCATCTCTTCTGTTGTCCTGGCATGAGACATAGTCGGGGAACGTCTATAAACTATAGGGCCCTCTGAATTGACAGCACATTCCAAACAAAGAAGAGAAAGTGCAGTGAAGTTAATGTAGATCCAAACACAAGGATGAGACACACACACACACACCTTAGCACACACACTTTAGCACATTTTAAACCACTGTGAAGTAGAGAGACTGGAAAAAAAATGTCTGTTAACAGGCCAGGGACACAATATGACAAAGATGTATGTGGGTAACCTTAAATATGGCACAACGGTCCTCACACTTAGTCTTAATCATTATGAGAAACAGTTATCATTATTATAAACATGCACACATGCTAGTAGGGGTGTCCATGTGTGCATGTACTCATATGTGCTGACCTGGTGAGTGCTGTGAGGTTGCCAGTGAGGTCATGGAGTTGGAGAGGTTGAGGTTGGCTGTGATGCTGAGCTGGCTCTGAACACTGGGGGGGTATGGAGAGGTGGGTGTTCGCTGGGACTCCTCCCCTCCCTCCTCTTCAATACCTGGAAGGTAGGTGTCAATCAAAGCGTCCAGGAACTTCACCACTAGTTCAGCATAATCTGGAATCTGGGTTTGCTGCAAGTCAAAAAGGAGCAGTGCTTAGTGATGTGCCCAAAAAGCTTATCGCAATACACTCTATAAGCCAATAATATGTGGACACCCCTCCTTCGAGTTCAGGTGTTTCAGTCAGACCCACTGCTAACAAGTGTATAAAGTTAAGCACATAGCCACACAATCTCCATAATAGGAGTAAAATGGGTCGTTCATAGGCCTAAGAACTATGTGTTGGGTGCTTCATAAAAAGGGTTTTCATGCTGCACACAAGCCAAAGATCACTATGCGCAATGCCAAATGTCAGCTGGAGTGGTGTGAAGCACACCAACACTGGACTCTGGATCAGGGAAAATGGAGTTTTGAATCACGCCTTATGATCTGGCAGTCTGATGGATGAATCAGGGTTTGGTGGATACCAGGAGATCACTACCTCCCTGCATCAATCTGCTGTCCCATTACTCTAAGCTGCTGAAACTACATTTTTGGCAATAAAAATATACACACACTCACACACACATACACACACAGACACACTTTCTAAACCGCTTATCTTTCTGGGTCGTAGGGGGGTGCTGGAGCCTATCGCAGCTGTCACTGGGCGGAAGGCAGGAAACACTCTGGACAGGTCGCCAGTCCGCAAAATAAATAGCCAAAATTAAAGCTTTTATTTGAAACAATGCTTAGCACTTCTTTGCTTTACTTTTATGAACTGTTGTATAAAAGCAATAGAATATTTAAGGTTGCGCATTATCCTGAATAACATACAGCACTACCCTTGAGGTGAAATGTTCTTCACTATAACACAACCTCAAGTGTCCCGCTTAAACAACATTTGATATTGATTATCATACATTTTAATCATTTGGTTAACCATTTTATCATTTGATAAACGATTATCAATTTTTATATAATCATAATATTTTTTAACACTCAATTTGAAAGAAATGGTGCACAGAATACACTACTGTGATGCATAATTGTGTGGTTTCCCCTTAACACATTAGTAGCTGACTGCGCAAAGCATGTTTGGTGTCTGAAGTTTGCTTGTATTTATTTGCAGTAGAGCAACGATTCTAAAGCAATAGAGAACTTCTCTTTTTGTACGACATACTCTTCCACTATTTTTAAGATACATACAAAATCTTCATATGTCAAAATAAGCCAAATATGTCTTAGCTAATCAACTATATTTGGGTTAAGGGAAAAGGGTGTAAATTAGATTGAACCATTCAGAGGAGTATTTTAAAAAAATGCCAAAGGTTTGTTCTAGTGTAACATTAACAAGCTGAAAATCTAAAACATCCATAAAATAAGTATAAATTAAATAATAAATCTGTAAATAGAATATATCTACGTAAAAACCACACCTTTAAAGCCTTTAGTTAGTAACAGGCGATTTGTAACGTTGTAAGCGAATGGCTAGACTTCTGCTCCCTAGCTGTCTAGCGAGTAAAAGGCGCACATCAACCCCTACTGTTTTAACATAGAAATTGTTAAGTTCATGTTGTTGCTGCTAATACTGGACTGAAGAACACTGCATCAATACACTTGATTTTGATAACTAATTGTCGTTTTATTGTGCAGGCCAACAGGAGAATCAAACAAGTTTTACAAAACCAGCCAGCACTTGACTTCTTGGTCTAGTTGCAGGCTAAAGCAAATGGATGGTGTCATTGATCGTAAGCCACTCAATAGAATGAGAAATTCTTTCTGACTGCCTTTAGACTACCAATAGGCAATGACTCTGCTGCCTATTTCCTGTCAGCAGCCCACAAAGAGGCCCTTTAGAAGTCAAAGGCTGTGGCAGTATAGAACTGTAGCAGATTCTATGAGCGGTACATAAATAGCACATAGCTTCATTTGCCTTGAAGTAGTGTGTGCTTTTCAAACTACACCGCAATGTGCAGAAAGCTCTGCGTATGCAGTGAGAAATGCAACGGATGCAGAGGGGGTTTGGACATTCTGCTCAATTAATGCAAGCAAGCCGCAGACACTTCAGTGGGAAAGCGATAACTTAGCAGGCTGAATTTCGCATTTCTTGGGGAAGATGAAAGGTATATATAAGGACAATTAATCATACCTTAGAGAAGGGTCCAGCAAATCTCCACAGTCCATTAAAACCAAAGCCTGCAAGAGAGAGGGAAGTGACAGTGGAGTGATGACAGAGTGAGAGAGAGAGCGAGAGAGATATGAAACAAAAGAAAGAAGGCAGCACAAGTTTCATGTTTCATTTTAAACTAAATTTCACTTAACCACATCCACTTTACTTTAAGATATCCATTCAATTCTTCCAATTAAGTCCAAAAAAAAATTAATAAATAAAATAAAATAAAAAAAATTCCCCAAATGTGTTCATATTAGTCATAACAAGCAGATATTCAAATGTCAAAGTTTAATTTTCAAGAATATCATCATTGGCACACAGTTAAGAGACTCATCCAGCTTGCCTCCCCACTAACTAGTATTCCCCCTTCCTCTTCCAAGTGAATGTTATTCTTTAACTAGAATTCTAATAAGTGAACGATGATCTGACCCCATCTGCATTTATCTCATTTCTTTCTAACTTAATTCAGAGTCAAATAATGTATAAGGTATGAGTACTCCCTGACCTGTTTATTATTATGTGTACATATGTATGCATGGTTTTTGTGTAATGGTAATGTATATGTATATAACGTATATATACAGAATATAATAATGTATATATATAGAAATACTTAGATGTCATAAGAGCATGAACAAGTGTTTTTACTCTGAAGGCAGGAGGGCTGGTACTGAGGGGGCGACTCCTCATGGTAGACCACACTCTGGACAATGCCATGAACAGGATTCAGGAGGTTGGGGTCCTGGCACATGGACAGCAGGGTGCTGATCTTGGAGTCCAGCAGATTGTACCTGGAGCACAAACACCACACACAGGTGAAATTAAAGGCAAGTTATTGTAAGATCCATATCCATGAAACATGCAATACATAGCCTGGGAGACAAAACACTAACAATGATTTATTTATTTATTTTTATATTACAATTTTTTAAATTTGCAATAGAAATGTGGACAACAGCTACTTCAGCACACCAGGCAGCAATGAGCACTGACTACTTGCAATGTAAGGAGGGAGATGAAGTCTAGCTATATACAGTACTGTGCAAAAGTCAGATGATATCATCCCTCATTTACTTTATTTCCAGTCAAAACGGTCATTTAGAATAATGATTTATCAGATGTTTCTGAGAAGACACGATAATCCACTTGCATGAGGAAGGGGAAAGTCAAAGGAAAATAAATGAACAAGGAGTTTTCAGGACTGGAGTTTAAAAAAATGTGAAAAAAGATGTAGACAAAATGGAACACCCAACAACCATGCAAGACCTGGCAGACCACCAAAACTGTCCCCCATCAGATAAAGCTTTCATTAGTCATCAGATAAAGTCTTCATTAGAACTTAAAGCTTTCATCTGTGAAAGACAGAAGATCAAGCTCCACTTTCACTTCAGATCCAAAAAAATAAAAAATAACACCGGTGTTTCTGTTCATCCTACTGAAAAATGAATAACTTAACGGCCTGTTTGACAGTAAATGAATATAAGGTGATCTCTAGTTTTTGCACAGTACTGTATATATAGTTATTTCTTTTCTGCAGGGACCAGAAAACTATTCAGATGTATAACTGAGCATCATAAAATGCATCAATACCAAAATATATGTATGCAGAATATATATCTATGCACATGAATATCACCCAGTCAAAAAATAACTTAACTTTTAACATTTTGTTCACAGTTCATTCAAACATTTGCATGACAAAGTGAACAGGGTGGCCCACTGAATAACATGACACTTTCTACTCGCCCAAAACAAGCTTGATCCATCATGACATATGTACTACAATACTTGCCACATTATGGCACCCTGTAGAGAACAGAGCTCAGATAAGAATCGAAATGTCAACTACTATTTTCGATGAGGCTTCTAAAAGAACATCTTTCACAAAAGCCACAAGCAACAGTCTTTACAGTCTGCCTGGCTCAAGGCAGTTCAAGCACATGAGTGCTTCTGTACAAGCATTCTACCTCAGAGCAACCTACTCTGCAATAACCTCAGTGCTTCTTTTTTCCCCCTCACTGTTGGAGCTCACTTCCAACTTTCTTCCACTTTCAGTCATGGGAACTCCAACAACACAAGTTTTCAACACTCATCTTCTTCAAATATATTCAGCTCAGGCCACAGATGTCTTTTCCTGTGATAAAAAACACGGCTTGGAGGCCCAGACACTCACACAACTGGAAACACTTTTGGGAAGACCACGCTGGCTTCAGCCAAATACTCGTATAGGATCCTCTGGTGGAACTCATCGGTGGTGTATTTCACTTGTGTGGCCTGCAACATACGAGATCACTCAACACAAATGCCAGAGCACAAAAAAAGGCCCTAGAGCTTTTTTTTTTTAAGACAACTAAAATTAAACAATAAAACTGTTCATAATGATTCTCCATACATTCTTTCCTCTTCTAACATGAAAGAGATCAACAGAGAAAAACTGCTACAGCTTTGTTTGAGAAAGAAGTGAAGAGAAAGAAAATATAGAGGTTGTAAGCAGAGGTGAGCAATATGTGGATATGTGGATAAGCAGAGGTGAGCATATCGTGGATACTCTCAGTACGTAAAGAACACTGACTCCCAACGTTTCACTACAAAGTGAGCATAATTAGTGAGCATAACTCACTGTAGTTGTAGGATTGTTATTATTGTTATTATTATTATTATATTTTTAAACATGGCACTACAGGTTCTATAGTGTCTGTTCCAACTTATTTCATCTTAGAAAAACTAAGTATAGTGATGCATATTGTGTATCGTGAAAATGTCTCAAAGTATCTTGATATAATATTTTGCCATATTGACCACTCATACTTGTGAGGGAGGTGGACAAGGGAGGGTAGAGGTTCTCACCAGCACAGTGAGGAGCAGGGTCTGGATCTTGGGGTCAGTGAGCACTTCTTCATCCAGCAACACATTGGATTCTGACACGGAGACCTTGCGCAAGTGGGAGTTGGCTATTCTTTGAGTTTCTGAGGAGAGGAAAAACTTTGAGCCACTGTACTACTTCATAGTTTGACCTTGCTCTTTAGTGTACACTGAGCATCAAACATTTGATGACACATCATTTTCTTAAAATTTTTGAGTGAATCATTTTCATTCCAATTAAGAAAAAAAAAACATAACTCTTAGTTGTTCCTTTAGATATGCAGATTTTGCAAGGAAGTAGCAAAATCAAATCAGATGTCAATTTAATACGTTAGGTTATTGCAAACTGACAAGAAAATGTGATCATTTATTTAAAATGCTTTTATTGACTGATTTATTCATTCACTGATAGATAGATAAAGACAGGTCTCCTAAAACATTTGATGTGCAACGTCATGTATACTTGGATAGTCATTTCACATATAAAGGTTAAAAAAACTGCAGCACTCTATTAAATTGTAGTACCAAAGTATATTACATTATTTCGAAATGATTCACATCTTGTTACCTAGATAAGCTGGGAAAAAAGCGACATATTGAAATGTCTCTTTACAGCCCATTCATAGTCTTGTTCATCTCACTGATAATCTGCAGCGGTTCCTGAATAGTCTTACCAATGTCGTAATCATTCTCAGCCACCCGTCTTATCTTTGGAGGAGTGGTGATGCCCGATTCCATCTCTGGTCTCTTTGGTGCTTTGGAGTCAGATATTAAATGGTCAAAACTCTTCCTGGTGCCTGTGAAACAAAAACAAATTAAGAATAAGAAATGTGAAAAACTGTGAAATTTAATACTGAATTATGGTTTATAAGAAATAGATCCACAGAAGTCATCAAACACCACATGATCATGTTTTAACATTTTCAGTTTCTTTCTTTACAACTGCATACACCAATCATTAAAAATGCAGCATAAAGATGCTGTAATTTCAGTAAAATCCGAGTTTACTGGAGTCTGAGAAAAAAAGTCCACTTGACTGGTAAATGCAACAGTACATGTGACAGCTCCTCTCACTGGATGTTCCTTACCCAGTAGTTTTTTGGCATTGGCCTGTGAGGGCTGCCCCATGTCCACGCTCATGGACTTGCGTGTGCGGGGGCTGGTTTGCCCCACTGTGGGATAATATGCTGCCAGGTAGCGCTCTGATACTTTGGGTGAGGTCCATGGCTGACTTTCCTTCAGCGGCCTGACATGACAGAAGTACAAGAAGCAAACTCAATAATGTCTTATAAATAAACTTTGTCAATACAGGGCTAACAGAGGTGCTGCAGTACCTAAATAAAGAACAAAACTCAATAATTAATTACAAAAAAATTAAAACTAGGTCTAGTTTTCATCAAATTGCTGATGCACAGATGCAGACCTGAGATGATATCCCAATATAGACCATAAGAGGAAATATGTATGCAGCACTGCCTCTAAAACTATGGGCCTTTACCTGCATTAAAGCCATAGCAGGTAACAGATAAACACAGCTCACAGATTTTTTTTTTTGCTCAAAAAATACCATGTTTAAATACAGCATCTTCATAGGTTTTCTTGAAAAAAACAATTATAATAAAAGCATTTCATTTAAAGTGAAATGTAATTTAGATCATTTCAAATGGCACCCCAGCATCAGTTCCATTTCCTGATGAACAATATTTCCCTGACTAATGCCTAGCTCCATTTAAAATACTCTGTGGAGAAACAGACAAAGGAAAAAAAGAGACCAGCGGAAGTAAAAGGGATCCGTTTCTTTCACCTGCAGCCAGGCTCAGGGTGATAAACTGAGTATGTGTCCACAGGGAAATTCTCCATGGTAACATCTGAGAGCAGCAAAGACTTTCTGTGCTTGAGACTGCAGCGGCTGCGCACCTCCTCTGAGACCGTGAGAAGTGCTATAAAGACAAACACACACACACACACATGTATCACATGAAGCAATATGAAAGAAACAAAACATCACAGTGTGCTTGATGTGCAGTTATGATAATACCACTCACCTGCCAAGTAGGCCACACTCTGAGTGTTCACCTCAAACTTGTCACAGTTGCGGTGTTTGCCCACCAGGCCCAGAAGTGTGTGAAGGATACGGACAGTCCTGGCCACTGTGGCAGAAGATGGGTGTCTATAACCTTCAGGAGAAAAAAAGCAGAGATGGGGAGAAAACTAATTAAACACTTAGATAAAAATGACTATGTTAACTGGTTTATTCTGGTGATAATTAGCTGTGTCAAAAGCCTGACACCCCTCCTGAGACCCACATTAGCACAAAAATCCAATATGACACATTAAACATAATTACATAGAGAATGTTGCATAATTTCACAAGTTACAGTATATTACCTGTTTAAACTGCAGTCAATAATAGAAAACAACAAACTAAAATAAAACTAACTAGTAATTTATCAATTTGTTTCATCAAAAGGCCAACACCGATATTATGCTCCAAGATGTAACCTGAATGTTGTTTTTCTACTTAATTTCCGAACACATCTTTAAGAGATACACTATCATCATAAAGTTTGGAATCACTTATTACATTAATAACTGGTATTTTACTCAATAATACCTTATGCAACATAGACTAAACTACTATAAGATAGACAGCATAAGGTTTTTGGCAGTTGTACAGTATTAGCATCATATTAGAATCTTTCACAAAACTTGTTCTACACTGATGAAAACACTGGTTGAATGGTAGTGTACACTGATCAGAGAATCTCCAACAGGGTACAGGGTGTGTGAAAATCAGCAATACACACAAGAACAAAAGCAGTAAAAGAGACGGTGAAAGCTCAGAAAGACGAAGATATATGGCTACTCTGCAGTGTAACACAGACACTCATTTCATTTTTCTGAAAATTACTGTTGTTTGTGTCAACTTTTACCTTTCAGCAGATGTCCCACTAGTGCAAAATTGAAGTTGGAGTTAAAGTTGAGGCCTACAAAATGGTCCATTTGTTTACAGTCCCATTCTAGAGGCTTCCGAATTTCCATGAACACCTCCTCAGGACTCTGCACATGGATAAGCATAAGACTCATAACATTAACCTAAATGTTTCAGCACAGCAGCAGATGAAAAGGACTATGTACATGTAGGGATTTGTTTAGTACCTTGTCATTAAAAACCCGTAGACTGTCTAGTGTGTGCAGGTTCTGCTCCAGCAATGCGGTCCCAGCAGAGTACAAATTCACCTCATCCAGCTGCAGCACTGCTACTGCCACCCAGAACAGAGCCTTATGCATGGGAGAGTCCTAAAAACACCAACACACAAAACTCTTGTGTTTAATCACAGTGTTGTATGTACCAGTACTATCTATACCTTCTAGGTTCTTCGAGAAATCCAGAAACCTCTAGGAAATTTTAACTATCAGTGTTTATCATCACAGTCTTAAAAAAACCTTATATGCCAGATTCCTGGACATGGATTAAGCCTAATCATGTATTAAATTTCAGTCTCAACAAAGAATTAATTTCCACCGGAAACTCTTTTTAGTCTAGGCTTAGGCTTAATTAGTGTCTGGAAAACCCATTTCTATTGGTCTATTCATCATGAAATATTTGCACAGTATAAAGGGCTGTTGGTATTTTCAAATAGTGTAAAAACATTAAGCACGAAAAAAGAGATGAAGGTTTTCATATAACAGGAGTGACATTATGGATATTATGCTGCTCTTATGCAATTATTCACTGTTTAACCAGCACAGTACCTGGATGAGGAGGGGCTGTAGTTTGGTGAGTGCGATGACTGTTGCCTCAATGAGAACCTGGCTGTTGTAATTATCTGGCCCCTTTAAGCAGCTCTCCAGTCCCTGCAGAGGAAGAGCATTAATCATGCTGGCCAGTGGAGCATGGCAGCAGCAGCTCGAGATACACAGCCACAGTGAATGACACAACAGCAGTTTCCCCAGCACGCTGCATTCTGCAGATAGGCCCCCCTGACATTCATGTGCTTTGCAGAGAAACAAGCTGTCTGTCTAAACTCTCCTGAGAGAGAGAATGAGATGCGGACAAGAGAGCTGAGCTGGAGAACAGTCATTCTTAATGAGTGGGGTTTTCTAAAGAATCACAGAAAATGACTCAGCATAATTCTGCAAGGTGTTTGTGTTGATGCAAAATATAACAAGAATGACTGCACCTACATACATTAAACTGCTTATTTTATATCATCCATCATTTGCAATGTTAAAAGTTTATTCTATTTTAGCAGCCTGAAAAGACTAAAACTAAACTCCACCAAGAGATTTTATAGTAACTAAAAACAATCAAAGCTCGAAATTCAATAACCCAAATTTTAAAACTAGGGCTTTTGTATGCTGTGTGTCATTTTAGGTTTTACAACGGCAAACTTCTCCTTCTTTGCTGAGCTACTGGCTAGAATTAAAAAGCAAAGTTAAAGGAGACACATTTTGCTCTTTTTACCAGTTAAATGTAGTTCCCTGTGCTTACTGAAACTGTGAAAAGTATAAAACAAATAACACTTCAATTCAGTCTTATTTTGTATGCTTTGACTGCTGTTCTCATTGACTGTCTCAGCAGAAAGCAAATTAAGCGGTGGGGTCACTGTTAACTCCTTTGGTAAAGATATAAACTCAAAGCCTGTCACTAAATATTATTGGACCCTTTTAGCTTATGCAAAACTCTAGTGAAGACAGAATATGGCCTAATAAGCTCACAGAAAGACTGTTAAAATCAATGTAAAAGAGTCTACTAAATTAGTTACTAACTTAAAAATGCAGGGTTTTCATATGTGACATAACATTGCTGTTTTACACTGTTCTATCCTTCAGTATGTCGTATGTCGGTGCATGAAATGGCAGCTGCAACATCGAAAGTATGAGGGCTGGGTGAATGGGCATGTTCATTCAAGAGTGGGGGCTGGGACGTTTGCTCAGTATGATGCAGAATCAAGCAGCAAATCTTAACTGCCTGTAGAATCACATGTTTTCTGAAACAGGAAATGTGCCAAAATGCAAGAGACTTCACATTTCAGAGTTTCTCAGATGGTAGGTCAGTTCTTTAGTCATGAATCATTAGGGGGAAAACAAAACAAAATATATTGTGAAATGCGTCAAACAAAACCTTTTTAACTCAAAGGGATGTGACATTCACAGACACTCACCCGGTCAATGCTTAGAAGGGGACTGGCCTTGCTGAGGATTCGGATGATCTGTTTGATTTGGCCATGAGTCACTCGCTTACTGATGCAGCCAAACACCACCAGCGCCCGTGGTTGAAGAGATGGGTTATACTGGAAAGCAAACCTAACCGAAGACACACATCAAATGAATCAATGAATACATATACTAGCCTAGCTTCTGGGGGGATGGAGACATACAGGGATTTACACATGGTTAGATAAATTCAGATAGAATGTTTACGTACTTTTGAGCTAACTCTGTCCACTGGTCTAGCCACTTGCATCCAGGAATGTCCCTCATACAAGCCTGAGGAGAACAAACAGTCACCCAATGCAGCACAGACCGAACACCGCAAGAAATGTGCCGTCAATCATGGTCTAAATATAATGCACAAGCAAGGCAGCATCAGCATTTCAAATAGCATGAAAACACTATACTGTCCATCAAAGGTTTGGGGACCTATAGCTTTTTAAAGTGATTAAATACAAATGAGGATCTTTTTTGGTCAATTTACAGTAACATACTAACAAGTAATTTTGCAGAAATTAGTGTTACGCATGTAAATATGTGTGACAACATTCATGGCTATACTGTTTCAATGCAAATTTCAAGGCAATGTGTCCCAAACCTGCGACAGACAGTGGTTATTTGTATGATCCTGAATGTAGAGCAGTATATCTGTCATGCATGATAAAAGTGGACACTGACCTCCATGATCTCCAGCAGGGCTTCAGTAACTGTCTCTAGAGAGGACAGAGCAAAGGTCTCTCGCTCATATGAGCCCGGGGAGAAGGAGCGGTCTCTGTAGCTGGAGCGGAAAGCTATGACCGCTGCTGACTTTACCTTACTGATGCCGAACAGCAGGTAGAACTTGGGCAGTGAAAACTCAGTCAGGCTCAGCCGCAGCACCTGTTTAGTCTCCTCTGCAGGCAAGAGAACCAGACCAAGTCAGAAAAACCATTACATAGTGGAGACATGTATAAAATAAACTCAAAAACAGAAATAATCACACAGACCAATCAGAATCCCAAAAGAAAAACAGCTCTTAGACTGTTGATATTATATAAATTGACATACTGTTTTCCTGCACAGAATGTAAAAACAGATGTACATGTATGTGTGAACAAAGATATGCAATTATTATCCAATAAAGTCACATCATTTATGAAAAATGTTTTTTTAAAAGCTGGCTGTTAGAGCAGAAAGTGTATTAAATATTTGGAATGATTGCTTTGGGAGACCTCTATAAGCATGTTAAGCCTCAGTGACAAAATGGAAACCTTAAGCAATAATGTAGTGCTTGTACAGCGGCTGGATAGTAGACCATCCTGCACAAAGGAGAACTGGGTTCAATTCCCCATTCAGTCGGAAATACAGGCAAGACTCCTATCTCCACATTTGTTGACTAAAATTAGTACCACATCAAACAGCCTGGCTTTTTACCCTTCATCCTTGAGTAAACGTTGTGAAAAACAATCCAAATTATGTCTCTTCCAACTGTAAAATCACTCTTGAGCCATTTCAGCAAGAAAGCAAGAAAGAGTGCTATATACTAAAGGAAGTGATATAGCTTCTGTTGCTTCGTTGCACCATATAAAAAAGAAATTTACATGATAGAGGTGGCAAAGAGAGAAGAACCAAGAAGGAACTAAAGGTATAATATAGTTAAGATTAGTTGATTAATTAAAGTTCATAGGTTAATTATTTAACAGGCATTGTAATAGAAATAACTGTTTTCATTCTCTTACCACTGAAGTTAAGCTGAGAACAAGTACACAGTGAGTGGATGATGTTGATGACCAGGCCATGGGTGGAGGCTCTGAGGGAGAGGGGTCCCGTAGCCACAAGCAGGGTGACCACGTGGAAGAGGTATGGCAGGTGAGCCGCTACGTCCAGAGAGTTATTAAAGGAGAGCATGAGCATGTAGCGGGCCAAGATGGCAATGTCATCCCACATCAGGTGCTGCTCCAGTGTAGGAGTGGGAGACAGGCATGTCTTATCAATGATTTTACACATGCGGCCAATGACCTGCGGAGAAAATGAGAAAACGCCTTTGTATAGTTGTTATAGCCAAAGAACACTGGCTAAAAATTCATAAAGACTAAATAACATCACAAACATTTTCCACTGCTCTAATTTCTCTCTTATTCTTTAAAGAATTCTTTTAAGATAAGGTAGAATTAACAATACAAAAAAGAAAACAAAGTTAACACATATCTTTGACCTCTTTGGAAAATCGCTATACCCAGAAAAGATTAGTGTGTAAAACATTTGAAACAATGTGCCTTTTGTCGTCATCTCACTCTGTGTCATGCACCTAAACATTACTCGCTAGAGGCGTACGACCTCTTCAATAAGGTTATGTTTGGGTCTGTAGTTGACCTCTGAGTCCTAAAGCTGTGCGAGACAGAGAGAGAAAGCAGATGCAAAGACTGGACAAAGCCTACCCTTGTGCTCCTAAACTGGCATGTTGTGACATCAGCAGTGGCTGGCACATGCTAGCCAAACAATGCTCAGCAACCATTCAGTGTAGCTACAAACTTGAAAATACAGCTAAATATGACAAACGGGGATAAGTAGACAAGAAGACAAATCCTAATGCATTTGCTGCATCGCTAAAGGACTGCAATGCTTGAGACACTTGAGGTTAGTGGACTTTAAATCAGAAGAACCACCCTTGCGCTGTCAGACACCCTTAACTGTCTGACAATGATGCCCATTCACTGTAATGACTAACAGTTGTTCATATAATAGGAGAGAGTGGCTGGTTGGCTTACTATTGTGTTTCTGTTTGAGAGTGTGCATGCACGGATTGGGAGCAAGCATTTGTGTACAAACACTAGAGATAATGGAGTAGTGGAGCGAGGTCGGATAAGATCAGTGAAGCTACAAGAGAAATGGTTTCGGAGCACAAAACGCAAGCAACCTCAAAAGTAAGTCAAGCTCCATTTCAAAGAGGGCCAGTAAAGTGGTACAATGGTACAGCTTATCTTTGCTGTCAAGATGAGAATAGGCATTTCTTAGATGCTTTAAGATTTGGTATGCTCATATAATAGCACCAATATACTGAAATTCAGATCAGCTTTAACAAAACCGTATTTAAGTATATTGACAAAATGTTAATGTTTCTGAAGGTAAATTTACAGTTCATTAAATGCATGTTTTAGGCACCAGTGCTGATAAATTATCATGAACAGTACAGGAAACAATTTCTGGTGAAAGATGAAAGACTAACAGCATGCTGACATATTTTTGAAAGAGTAGGTAAACAAACAGAAAAGCTTTCCATTGCATGTTCTGCTCTAATGAGTGACTAACAGTATCTAATATTTATACATTTAACACTTATATTATGTTAGTTCAGCAATTAAGACCTACCTTGCTGGATACCAGTTTGACATTTCCTGAAGCCAGAGCAACAGCTGTATCTGCCATTACTTCTGCTTTGATGGATCCCAGGCCGCCAGTAGCACTGGTCTTTATGAAACTATCTAACACCACATCAAGCAGGTCTGATATCTAGAGATGGAAAAACAGAAGTCCTGTTTAGGAGTCATGTAATTCTGACAATGAAAGTAAGTTTTAGGAAAGCTTAGCCTAGAAGACCAAGATCATATCTGAGATCTTCTAAATAAACATAAAAATAAAAGGACTGCAGAGAAGAGAACTGGGAATTGAGCTTGGTGTGAGGAACCTACCTGTCCCAGGCTGCCCCATATCTTAGCCTGAATTGAGGGGTACATCTGCTTCTCATTGATGGTCATGGTGATCAACTTGTCTAGAATGGCAGTGACGCGCTGCCGTTTGGCATCATCATTGTGCTTACAGAAGCGCACCAGGTTGCGCAACCAAGGAGTCATGTACTCAAGACACAGGTGCTTCAGTTCAATACCTGAAAGCCCACAACAGGAAGAGTTAATTACACAAAAATACTAATTATAGGTGTGTAACTGTCAATATGCAACTTTTGCAGCACTGACTTGACTTGCTGAATCCAGAGATGCACTCTTCCAGAAACTCCAGGGTGAGGTGAGGTTCATTGGCTGCTAGTGTCTTACTTATAGACACAATAAAAAGGGTGTTGTTGGCTGGGATGCATAAGCCAGATGTCTCCAGAAGCTGCCCTTCAATCTTGAGGTTAAAAGTGCCGGTTAAGGCACACAGGAGGTTGTATGCTGCTGACCTAGTGACGATGGAAACAAATATAATGTCATGCAAATAACTAGTGTTAGTACTAGTGTATATGTCACATCACGTATCTAGCAGTGGTGTTTTGATTATTGGGTCATGAAAGAGAAGGACATAGACTAGTGTTCAAAACTCTATAATCACTTGTCATAACTGCTGTTATTTTACTCAATTTTAATTGCACAGTGTAGACTGAAAGTATAAAGTAGAGCCAGAAACCAGTTTTTTTTTGAGACCACCACAACTTAAATGTTAAATACCATAAAAAGTATACAATATTAAAAAATTAAATGATAAATAATATACTGTAATTATTTATTTTTAAGAATTTCTTCATAAGTAATCTGCCTCCACACTATTTCAAATACGAGGTTCTCTAGGTTTTCTCCCTTCCCTTTTCAAAAAATTGTTTACTGATTTTCATAAGGCATCAAAATAAAAATGATATTACGGAATGCAGATATTCTCAATGTTTTACCGCTTTCCCAGTAATTAAGGCATCATCTACAGCTCTGTTTATCATTCTGGACACATCTAAAGATTTCTAGATTTCTTATTTACAGCTTTCTACTAAGTAGTTGAAATTGGTGAAGGTCATTTAATAATTTAATCACATTTTTTATTTAATCAAAAACAATGATTTCAAACTTCTGAAAACTAGTGTATATTTAAACACGAAAAAAGTATTTATCAAAGCAACAAAGCACATGTCAGTGGTTTTTGGCTCTCAAGCAGCTCATTTTTATTGCCCTGGGGACGGCAAGTTCAAGTGCCTTCCAGTTGAACTAAAGATAGCAAGGCCAATATTAGCATTTCTAATCAGTTCAAAACAACAAAGACAGAAGCTCAGTAATAGAAGGCCCATTGTTACAATAAGCACTGGGAGATGCATTGGACTATTCATCCATGACTATCAAAATGGCTAGGCCACAGGGCAAAAGCAAGCTGTGTCCAAACGTCCAGGCTTACCAAAATCACAGTGCCTCTTACCTCAGACTAGGATCGGAACTCCCCAGGTTGAGAAGGGCAATGTTGAGCAAAGTGCCAGGCACATCTTTTGGCCTGATCTTAGTGTGCTGGGGAATGGAGTCAGGCTGAGAGAGCTCCCAGCGTGTGCGGATATGGATGATTGATTGCACTATGGCATCACATTCCTGGTGCATGAAGGTTAGGGGTGTGCCTTGATTGGCAATGGTCAGAGTGAACTGATTCTCATCCACAAGGCAGATCTCTTCAATCTCAGAAGCGTAGTAGATATCGTTGAGAAAGACTGACTGGCCCAGAACACGGGTACGCTCAGCTGACGTCACCTGCACAGCTGTGGAGCCGACCTGAATGGAAACAGAAGAGAAGGTGGAAAGAGACCCTCAAAGACTGACAATTTTCTTTTAACCAAGAATTGAAAAACCAATGGCCAAGTTATACAGTGGTGCCCCAAGGAGCTTTCTATTATCCATGAGAAAGTACCTTGATGGACACTTTTGTGTCTTTGTGGGCAAGCTTAAGGGCATTATGGAAAACTTTGAGGTCCTCCTCCAGGGCCAGAGTTGCAGCAGGAAGCTTCTGCTGGTCAGGCTCCACATGTTCAGCGAGTCGTGCAGGTGAATCAATAAACAATAGCTTCTTACTCCCCTTGAGACCAGTCAGCAATCGCTCATGGTATTTTGTGTACTCTCGCACCCAGGTGTTGCAGTTGTAGATGAAGACTGCAGCGACATTCTCATAAGCAAAATTCGGAAATACGACAAACCACTTTGAGAGGAAGTCTGTCTTGAAGCGGTTGCTTGGGCCAACATGAGTGAGGTCCACTACTATCTCATACTGTTTGGCGTAGTATGGCTTGAGGGTCAGCAGCACATGGTAGATCAGAAGGTCGCCATTGATCTGCCCCGTTTTAAACCTAAGGGCAAAAGAAAGAAAAGGTGCTAAATAAACAAACAAAAAAATGTTTTGGGTTTTTTTTAGTTTTCAATGCCATAAATGCACTTCTCATGTTTAAATATTTTTTTCATTTTTGCTTAAGGTACTAACTTGTTACATGAGGCGTTACCAATTTAGAAACATCAAATAATTCAGACAAAATTATTTATTCAGCACTTGCGTTTGCAACGCCAATGTCTGTTTTACGTAGTTATTTATGTTCTACTTTGTTCACCCTATTGTTCTACTTTGTTCACTCTCTCACAGACCCAAGTGAGCCATTTCTAAATTCAAGGACCCTCAAATAACTTGAGCAGGCGATGGGCAGGAAGTGACTATTCTGCATCTCAGTTTGTTACATTCACTGGCTCTGTTCATAAATTCTTCATCACGCTCTTCATCCACATTCTTCAACAAGCTCTGCCAACACTGCATGCAGGTAAATATTGCAGAACACATATAACACATTTTTTGTATTTACAAACTGCTAATGTGCTAATGTGATTTTCAGCATTATTCACACATTTATTATATAAAAATACTCAACAGGTAAGATTGTGTTTCCCCCCCCCCACATAAACAAGAAATTCAGTGATCTTGGAGGAAGAAATGTCATACTTGGGACTCCAGACTTAAATCAAGAAAAATGCCAAATTACAATCGTTTTTACCTTAATTTTCATTGTTAAACTAACCCCCACATGGCTTCTTTTTGTGAAGTTTTGCTCATTTCAGTATGAAATTTGAGTGGTTCATTTCCAACATTAAGTTCTTCTTTCTCCACATTTGCACAGGCATGGAGACCCCTTTTACCACAGGCTTTACTAAAGAGCTTTTTAAAAGCACCACCACTGCCTCCATCACTGATGGCACACAGAACCAAACTGAAGTTCCAACAAGTGTGTCTCCTGCTGGTGGCCCAGAGGGGTGGTTCTTTGACCCTCAGCTAGCATTCATTGTGGCCGTATCTTCTGGGGGTCTCATTATCGTCCTACTAATATCAACCTTGGTGCTGACCTGTCAAGTCATCAGTCTGAAGCGACAATGCGAGGCCCGGCGCTCAACCCGCAGTAACGTGGACCTGGTGAGTGGAACAGGCTACTGGGGCACTGAAACGATAGAGGGAGGCATTGTAGGACCATGCGAGACCAATCTCCTGTTAGAGGAGGTCAGGACCGACGCAGAGGACGAGGAGGTGCATGACGAGGCAGAGGAACCTATCCTGCACCACCGCACCACCACAAACATGGATGTGGAGAGTGCCCCAGTCGCTATGCAAACCACTACCTCCAGAGATTCCTGCCTAGATCCTAAGGAACTGGAGAACATGCCACTGATGGTGTGAGCTTGAATAGGTGCATCCTTCCTTTCTGTACCACATAAACCTCCCCAAAGGCAACAAATTATAGATCCAGTCTCTGGCCTTACCAACAGATCTAAAGATTTTCTCCTTGATCTTCTCTTTTTTTTATTATTTCATTTCACTTCGTTTATGATTTAGGATTGGACAATTTTCCATTAGGACAACACAAAGATTATAACATAAAATGTCTAGAGGTATTATAGGTATTTAATTCACAGGCATTTTTAAACAATGTCAAACATTTTTAAATGTAAGATATACCTTTTATGTAAAATAATCATTAACTGAGCTAACAAAACTGTGCTACTAACTTGTTCAGGAGATTCATGTTTTGAAAATGTATTTCTGGTTTGGTTTGAATATAACATGTTTTGGTGTTTTTGATACCTATGCAAATGGAACTGGAGAATACCATATTACAGTAAAACACCAGATGCCATATCTGTTAAATAACTGCTAACTAAAAACAATGCTCTTTAAACTCACATTTATAGAACAATCTAACCTTAATGTATTAATATTGATACAATATTGGGATAGTGAAGTGCATTACATGTTCTGGACACAATTAAAGCTGAGTCAAAAATTGAAAAAAAATCATCAAGTAAATACATTAGTCCAAGATCAGTCTTTCTTGCAGATTAGAACTGTAAGTATAGCCTTTGGCAACACACAAATACAAGACATATTGCAAACAAATAAATAATTCAATTAGAGCATATTCCAAAAATGGCTAAACTCAAGAGAATTCAATGTCAGAAATCTATTTCTCTGTAAAAGAAGTGTATTAGTCACCCAGCCATTCTTAAATCTGCTGTTAAAAAGCTGTTAAAAAGCTTTCTCTGTGTACGTCACCATGTGCCAGACAAACTGCAAAACTGCTGTCTGTTCAAATACCCCTCTTCCTGTCAAAGGCTTGTTGTCTTGTATGTGTATGCCACCATAAAAAAATAAAACTAAATGGCAATTACAAATAACTCCATGTGCATGCTGTATTTCTCGTATCAAGTAATTAAAAAATGTGTTCTTAGAGCATTAAGATGTTTAATTTTCAAAGGCTCGCAAAGGAGAAGCTATTGGATTACATTTAACTGGAATCAGGTTGAAGAATATAAACTGGGTGTAAAATTCCAAACACACCACTCACCTTCATGATATGAGTGGTCAGATGTTCCATTATATAGAAAAAACATACAAAACAGGAACACTTCTCCCCCTCATCTAACAGGTTTGTACTTAAATATATCAAAGTGCAATGTGCAGTTAAATTTTTTGCATATTACTGCCCTTTTTACTTTGTACGGACAGTGATGGTTTAGTCAGAATAAAATACTCATTAGTTAAGAGAACAGAAAAAGCAGTGGTTTCACAGCTCTCATTTCCTGTCAGTGAAACATACTCAAGTTCCGTATTCAAGATCACTGCCGCTCCCTCTGTCACAACCTTTAAAAGGGGCTCTGCGACTGTAACGTATAAATGCTTTAATTTTATCAAAACTGATATTTAGATAAATCAACTGCGCAGAAGAATGTCTGAATTTTATTAGAAAACTACATTAATACTGGTAAGTGACACTTTTCATGCCTTATTTGTGAGATAATATAATGCAACATGGACACTTAATGCTACAATTCTTGTTTGTCTAAATGTCGCCTCAACCTTGCCAAGTTGGGTTGACGGTTAGCCATACATCACTTTCATTTCTACATTTATATACTTGGGTAAACCTTGGTTTTCTGTTTTAATAATTACTTTTAAACAGCATAACAAAATCTAAGAATTCTAAAATAATAAAAACAATGATAACGCTACCAAACATTCTGTGTTGAATACTGTGTACATATCTTCAGCAACATTGGTTAAAGATTACCATTGGTGATTTAGAAGCATTTGCGTAGATCACAAAGACGTTTGTCAGTTATATTAGGAAAGCAAATGGGGAACATTTCACAATGTGTCTACAGTTGCTGCAACTTGCTATGTCTTCTTTTAAACCTTCTAAAAGAGTTAGTCACTAATATAGATCATTGACAAATATCCACATTTGTCTGGAAGTTTTCAGGAGACACCACCTATGAGGAGTACACCATGAGGACTGTCCTCTGTATGTGTGTGCTGGTCCTGCTCCTTCCATGGAAACTAAATGGTACTCTAACCCTCAACCCAAATGTCTCCACACTGCATGAAGGTACTTCTGAAGGTCATGGGTCTTCCACAAGACGTCAAGAATCCACAGTTATGTCGACAAGACATCATGCTCAGCACACCCCAGAGTTCAGATCTGAAGACGGCGTCCATTCTTCAAAATGGCCTTTAACAATCTTACAGGATCACATTACTACAGGTCAAAGTCATACAGAGCACAAAACAATCATCACAGAAGAAAAGACAGCTTCACATTTGTCTCCCTTGGCCACCTCAAGACGGCAGACAAAAGGGAGCTCTGATTACTCTAACCAGCATGAAGGTACTTCTGAAGGTCATGGGCCTTCCACAAGAGGTCAAGAACCCACAATAATGTCCACAAGAAATCAAGATGGGGACACCCCAGGGCTGAGACCTGAAGATGGTGTCTTGTCTTCAAAAATGCACTCACAAATCACCCAGGACCAACACATTGGTAAGAGTAACACTGAGAATAAAACCACAGAGGTGCAAATCACCACAGGAGAAAGTGAGTCACCTTCACATTTCTCCTCCATCGCCAGCTCAAAAGGGCAGACGAAAAGAAGCTTGGATTACTTTCAAAACAACCAAACCACAAGTACACCAACCGAACAGACTACGTTAATGTTGCAGGAAAACATTACCACTGGAGATCAGCATCAAACATCACATATATTCAAATCCACTGACAAGGCTGGTGTGACGGATAATCAACTACAAGAATTTTCAAGATCTACAGTTAAGATCTTCAACCCAGAGACCAATCACACACATTTCCAAACTACTGAAGCTACTACATATGAATCTGAAAAAGTATCAGCAGTTCCTCAGACCAACATAACGACTACAAAATGGTCCGCACAAACCCAAGAAACTGAAGGAACCAAGGCAACCCCAGGTCACCTAGTACAGTATACAACCAACACAAATACTAATTTGACAACTACAAGCAACAAAACAAATCACACTGCTCCTGCTGTCAGTACTTCCACAATGGAAGTCCACATCACAAGAAACAGAACCATGACTACAGCAGGCTCTTCCACTGGTCTCATTTCAACTGTTAACACAGAGACTGTCACCACTGCCACAGCCACCACGGATAAGAAAACAGACAAAACCATCACAAGAGGTATGACTACCTTCACTACTACATTTATGACCACTTTCTCCACTCAATCGAGCAAGAAACAAACTACTACAAAAAACAAGCAAGACACCTCAAATAATTCACAGCAAGGAGGTAATGGTAATGCAGGTCCTATAGTAGCAAGTCTGATTGGAAGTGTACTGGTTCTTATGCTCATAGCAATTGTGGTAATCTTAGCAAAAAAACGTCGGCTGGATAAAAAGAAGCTGGAGAACTCCGACTGGGCTGGTCCTTCACCGTTCCTCGAAGGTGATAGCCAGCCGGGCCCGCATGGCAATGGTGAGGACGGGCCGTTCCGACGCGACACCAAAAGGATCTCACTCCACTCGTTTTTTCCCCAGAGGTTCTCTCAACGGCTTTCGTTGCTGGTAGAAGAGGAGGTCCAGATGAACGACATTGCAGCAAGTAGCACATTTGGCAGGAATGAGCAACCACAGAATGGAAAACCAGCAGTGGAACAGGACCAGATCCAGACACAAAAAACAGACAATCAAGTTCCAGCTCCTGAAGCATCTTCAGACTCAACAGTCCCCGAGACGGTAACTGGGCCTGCTGTTCTGGACAACAATGCAAAATACCGAACCATCGCCTAAACCTGATGATGAAACCATTCCATCTCCATCCTCACAGACAAATACTACCCCTCCACGTCCATTCGAGGATGTGGATCTCAATCCCCCACAAACAAACGTTGTTGATGCTCCTCCTGCTCCACCACTACCCTGAACTCTGTGACATGGAAAAACCGCTTCCTCACCAGAAACCGCTAACCAGAAGAGAGCAAAAAAAACCCCAGCAGATTCTTATCTGCGTTCAAAAAACAAGCAACTTAAATGTAAAAACAAAATGAAAGACACAGAACTGGTGTAACATAGCAAAGGTTTGCATTTTGTTTAGGATGGACTGATTTGATTTCTATAGCTTTGTCAATTAACTCCTTTAACAAAAGAAAAGAAAAAAGAAAAAAAAAAACTTCCTTCACTTAAGAGTAATAAAGTAGATTACTCTGCCTCATTAAGGCAAATACTCACTTTAACACACTGATTAATTGTCTCTGCTAAGGCCTTGTTTTCATTTAGACCACTATTTTAAAATAAGGACATGTAGATCTGCAAATACAAAAATGGTCTGTCTTTAGCAAAAATGTAAATACTCTTAAATTAATGACTTATGATTGTTAATTTTGAAGGTTTTCTTTGTCATGTTTTCATCCATCATTAAATGGCTACATTGCAGTATTAAACACTCCAGTTATCTCTAGATTGATATTGGAGAGACTGTGAGTGTGTAGGATGCCATTTCCTCTCAGTCTCTGCTCATGGAACAGGAAAGCCTGCAACCCTCTAGCTGACAGTGCACATAAAATCACAATGAGGTGTGTTTGTGTGTGTGAGACAGAGGGTCCAAGAGTGTGCATGCGAGTGTGATGGAGCGGCAGAGAAACACTGAGAAAGAGGGAAAGAGAGTAAAGCATTGCTGAAACTGTTTGAGTGAGTTACTGCAGTGGCACATGCTACAGCATCTGATCGCTTCTCTGAGCAGCAAACAACCTGTGATCTACAACCAGGCCAGCCCAACTGCAGAACGCATCCCCTTTTATTGTCACCTAATTCTGATAGTGTCATAATTCTAACAAAAGGATTAGGTCTTTTTTTCTTGAATGAAAACCGTAAATCGACTGCGCTAAGAAGATGAATCTGAACCTAAATTAGGGCTGGATCAAACACATAAGTCAATCAAATATAGGAATTTTAGTTTGGAATACATTATAAATTCATTACAGGTATCCATGTTACCTTGCTTAAGAGTGTCATGTGTCTGATCAGAACCCAGATCAGTCATGTAACAGCTACAAGCAAGACTTATATTTCTTTTTTTTTCTAATTTAACTGTTTTATAGCAGGTTTAAACCTTGAGAGAACAAAAAGCAGGTCTGAGAAAAGCCTGCAACTACAAGAAAATTTTGAATCTAGATGTTTAAGTCATTTTTGTCACAACTGGAGATTACTTAGTTGTACATCTTAAATATCTTTTTCCTTTTTTAAGTGAAAGTTACCAAAACTGGTAACTGTAAATTGTAAACAGGTCGTTAGTTTTTTTTAATACTGTATCTATTTTAAGTCTCACTGACCAAGTGCAAACGTCATACCAGTATTAGATTTTACATTTTTCTTCTCGTATATATATATATACATAAAAAAAAAGACTTTCTCCAAAAACTTGTAGAGCTTGTGCCCATATGGTGCACAAAAAAGGAAATGCCACAGCTGAACAGGAAATGAACCACAAGACTTTTTCAGTGGTTTCACTTGTACTGGAATAAAAGCTTAGTTACTATAGAAAAAGCCTATGGTAACCTCAACAGTTTTTGTCCTAAGGCAGCTGGACTAAATTATTCTGAATTGCTTCAAAATTAGACTCTAAAAACTGCTGCACATGTGAACAGTAAACTAGCCAATGCTGGAGGTACAATGTGAATAATGTGGTCTAGCAGCTGATGATTTTTTGAAGCAACAGAAAAACAACACAGTGCCAGTAAAGACAGCAAGAAAAAACTTGCAAGTTTAAGTGTTGTTCACACGTCTGCTGGTGCCACCATACTGTTATATGACGCCTGGTGCGTCACTTGGCTGCAGCACATCATTCTCAGTACAAGGGCAAACCAGGGAAGCAGGTTAATGAAATGTATGACATATATTTCTCTGTAAATATACCCAGTTAAAATACAGGCAAATCAGATAAGACAAAAACCTTTTCAAAAAACAGCCATGCTGACAGCTTAAAAGGATGATCAGAGGTGGGCTACATGACATTTTATTGCTATTGTGATATAAAATATGCTTTTCTACGCATATTGTGGACATCATCAGTACTGAAAGAACTTTGACCAACGGCATGTTTTGTTATAAAGAGAAAATAATTAGTTTAACTGGATTGAGTGCAGTGCAGTATGTGAAATGTTGAATAAAAAACATTGTACCCAGAGTTCTGGGTGGCTGTTTTTAAATGTGGTACTGCTGGTGCATTGTGTACGCGTGTCAAACTATTGTGATTTGTATCGTATTTAGTGAAAATGTCTAAGCATCGTCATATGATGTTTTATGCTGTATGGCCCACTTTTAAAGGTGGTCCAGTGAACCAAAAAGACACTAACTTTAGTTAGCACTTTTGCACAAACCCACTGGTAGACACTGGTGAAAGGAAATATCTATAATTAACAGCACTCAAGATTCAAGAAAAAGAAGAACTGAAGAATGTGCAGGCTATTGCAAAAGAAGCGCTCACCCCACACAATTTTGTAACTATGACATTTAATCTTAATTAAACATCAGATTGACCTTAAGCTCATAAATGATCAGTTTTTGCTGCTGGACCGCCAAGCGAGCCAGTCTGCGAGAGCTGATACCTCGTACTGAGTCACTGATGTCCATTGCTGAAAAGTGCATGCGCAAGCAGCGCCCAAGACAAGCAGCAGGTGGGGGAATGCACTATCAAATGTTGCCCTCACACCCTACCTGCACTATCAATATAAGGCTAACAAATTATGATCAAAAGCAGAAACACATTCATTTAAACACATCATGGGTCTTACGACTGAATAACGAGTGAAATATCACAGTCCTCAGTATTTTCAATTTGAGCTAAAGTTGTATATAAATTTTCAATTTACCGTGCTGCAAAAGCAGCTTTATATCGCTATTTACAACTATAACGCTAGCATTATCATCATGTATACTAGTAGCTAGAAAATGAGTGGTTTTGGCTCATATTTTTACACTCTCAAGAGAAAATATACATTTTGCTTGACTCTATGCATGATTTTGAGTAACTGTAAATATTTGCATGTGTGCATGCAGAAATCATCTTAGAGTCTTATAGATATGTTACACTGAAATAGTCTGTTACTGTAATTTGGACCTCTGGAGAGCTAGCTAATTCATTAGCTCCTTGAACAGCACTGCTATCACAAGAGTCCTGTATAACTGTACAAGGAAACTTGATGTACTTGAACAATTATTTAATGTTATTATTATTATAATAATATTCAATATTACTAAAACTGCTATCATTATCATTTATTCTACTATCTCACACACACACACACGTCCGTTTATATGTACTAAGTACATAGTAGTACCTAAGTCAATACTAGCTAAGTAGCTAAATAAGCAAATAGCTAAATAAGGCTACCCAGAAAACATGCAATTAAAAAAATGAATTTAGGTGCTGTTTTACCCACCAAAATATATCCTTTCCTAGAATGTATATGCATGACAAACACCAAGCAGCTGATGGCAGTCCACTAAAACTTGTCAAATCTTGCTTTTGTTTGGCTTTCTTTTTTGAGCACATATGCTGTGTAGGACTAGGCTTAATCCTCGTCCAGAAAACCAACCTTAAATCTGTTTTTAACAGAGTGAAAGAAGACAGGAGGGAGTGCATATACATGTGCATTTCTGCTGGAGGGAGAAAGGATCGAGTGCAATCTGCTGAAAGGCTGCACAAGTTGCAAAGTGGTCTGCTTCACAATTACTGAATAGTATAGATGATGGCAGATATGAAACTTTAAACTCCCAGCTAAAATTAAGGTACATCTCACCATCAGTGTCTGGGCTTTTACTTGACCCAAGACAAAGTTACTTACATATGTCAAGCATGAAAGAGTATCATGTTTCAGTTGTTGACTATGTGCATTCATCTGAACCATTAGTCAGATTTTCTTTAACCACTCTGTTGATCTTCGACAGGAAGAAGGCAGGAAAAGCTAAATGTGACACCATTATCTCACTTTCTTCTCACCCTAAAGCATCAGATTGAGGCTCAGTCTGAGACTAACTTCATACCATGCATACAGAAGGCTGTCAAAAACGCTGCTGAACAGGTACAATGTCACCCTGTCTGAGAGAGAAAGCAGGTGTAGTGGTGTTTTATAAAGCCAGACGCAGTCATACTGAGCGGTGCCGCTGCAGTGCAGTCATGGATAACATGTCGCTGCATTTGCATATATGAACACATATTTAAAACAGCATGTCTGTGAAGGGAAGGGGGGGGAGTGGGCGAGAGGAAGCAAGAGAGAGAAAGAGAGAGGGGTAAGAGAGCGAGAGAGAGGAAGACAGAGATGGAGGGTGGGAGACAGAGTGAGAGAGAGAGAAGTAAGAGAGACGAGAGAAAGAAAGGGAAGGGAGAGAAAAAGAGAGAAGGCAGAGAAAAAAAGAGAGGGGGAGAGAGAAAGAGTGAGAGAAGGAGGGGAGACAAGGGAGGGAGAAATAGAGAGAGAAAGGAAGACAAAAGGAGAGAGAAAGAGAGAGAGAGAGAGAAAGAAATAGTGGGTGTGGAGCAGAGAAAGACTGAAAGGAACAGGGACAGAAAAAGAATTGAGAGAAAAATGGGAGGGGAATGAGACAGAAAGAGAAACAGAGGATAAAGAAAGATGAGAGAGAAAGAAAAAAGGAGTAGAGGGAGAGAGAGAGATGATTTCGTTGAGTGTGCAGATCCTGATTAGAAAAAGATTGGAGTCAGCACAGTCTCATCTCCTCACCCCCCCAACCCCTTCAGCAGCGACTGTTTCTATGCTGCATTTCTCCACTCCCTCTCCCTCTCCCTCTCTCTCCCCCCCTCCCCCTCTCCCCTCTCTCCCCCTCTCCCTCTCTCTCCCCCCTCTCCCTCTCCCTCTCTCTCCCCCCCTCCCCCTCTCCCCCTCTCTCTCAGCACCCTTCTTTTTCCCCAACTGTTTTTGAACAAGCTTGGAGGTTGGAAGAGTGAGCAGGCGGAGGGTGATTGCGCAGGGGGTGGGGGTCCAGAGCCATTGGGGACATACTCACTCACACCACTGCCATGCCAAGAGGGAAGCCCGGCCATGGGTGAGCGAGAGAGGAGCTCCACCTATTAAACCTCTGCTGGTTAGAACCAAGAGGGAGGAGGAGGGGGAGGGGAGTGGAAAAGAACTGAGGTTGATGGAGGGGGTAATTTGGGGAGAGCAGATGAGAGAGAGAGAGAGAGAGAGAGAGAGAGAGAGAGAGAGAGAGAGAGAGAGAGAGAGAGAGGTAGTGAGAATGAAGCAAGTGAGAGAAAGAGAGGGGCGACGAGACAGAATGAAGGAGAAGAAGCACCGAATTGCCATGTAGAGCAGCAGAAAAAGAGTGAAATAAAAAAATAAAAAGTAGCGACTGACTGATATTACCCTTTGCTGCTCCAGATAAAAAAGGAGAGCATAGAAAGAAGTGACTGGAACGTGGCATAGAAAGGAGAGAAAGAGTAAGGGAACGAAATGATGTGGAACTGATGAAAAGGATCAGGTAAGTCATTTTCAGCATGGTAATAGAAATCTCTAGATTGAGAGGGAGCATGTTTAGTCGAGTCAGGGCTGGCAAGCAAGAGCTCCATACTGAATAAGCATGCAGCAACTATTTCCATCCCATATTCAGCATATAGTCCTTTATTTACTGCACTGTTACCATCTGGTTAAGATTTTACTGAATATTCCAAGAAAGCACTTCCTGACAGAAGACAGCAATGCATGGATTTGCTCCAATTACATCAGCGTATGGCTTACAAGATCACAGATCCAGCATGATTATCAACATACAGTGAATATATGAAATTTCTAGAATCTCCATCACATGCTGGGCATGCACAGAGTGATGGTGTATACAGATTTTGTCCTCAGATGCCCCACAGAGCGGAGAGCTAATGAGGGAGAGGAAAGGACAGGACCCAGTAACGCTAGTAACCAGGCTAACAGCTCACTGCAGCAGCAGCAGGGCAGAGTAGCTTCTGGCAGGCACTCAAACTCCAGCCACAGAGCAAGCAGAAGGAGCACTGAGGGGCTCTGTTCACTTACCTCTCGTTATGCCAAACGACACACAGCTTATGGAACAGTATAACACTGTCTTATGCAACTGTAGCCAACACAAACCCAAATGGCAAGAACGTCCTAGTGATTTGACAAAGAATGCATCTGCACTTCACATTAGGATGCGACTTGCTTTGCTACCTGCTCTAGCATAAACATTTAAAGAATTGGTCGTTTATGATTAAAGCTGTATACCCGGTCACCCAACTAGTAAAATTACATAATTTTACTACGTGGCCTGAAACCAGACATCATGCAGAGAACGCCTGTTGAACCAGCTAATGTCGCTTGTCAGTGAACATATTTAGTGGAGCTTTGGTGACTTAGCATACACAAGACTGCGGAGGGGAGTGATCAGAGGAAGCCAGATGGAGAGGACATGGATAATGTGCTCTGTACAGCCCTCCAGTCTTTAGCTATTTAAATGTTATACATGTCGACTCTGCCCATGAGATTCTGTTATACAGGAAGAGTTATTATTCAGACAGTAAGAGTGACAGACTGTGGTAAGTCAGAAGGTGGGATGAACTAGCCTCAGGTCTATCTGGTTAGCTTTGATGCTAATATCTGCCTCTGCATTCCAACATAAACAATTCAGTCAGGCTGCAATCAAGAACAAAACTGCCTTGTGTAATAAACAGAAATATTTCACTAGTAGTACTATACCACCCCCTATTCTTTGGGATGTCCCATAATTCCATATATTACTTTGTTTTATAGGATGGCTAACACAATGCCTGCATCTATGGTGGCTAGTCTGCTACTCCTGCTTCTTTGTGCAGGATCCGTGCCGGCTATCTGTCCTCCGATGTGTTCCTGTGGCAGGGGCCATCGGGTGGTGGACTGCTCTGCCCGCGGCCTCAGTCTACTGCCTGACAGCTTGCAGCACAACATACATTTCCTCAATCTGTCCCACAACCGGCTACAGGACCTGGACGGGCTCCTCGGCCACTTTGGCCACCTAAGAACTCTGGATATCTCCCACAACCGCCTCAGACACCTTCCTGACGGTCTGCCCCGTGCTCTATGGGACATCCATGCATCGGCCAACGACATTCGCCAACTGGTGAAGAACGACACCGCTTACCACTGGAACTTGCAGTCTCTGGACTTATCAAACAACCAGCTGGAGCGAGTGGTCTTCATTAACAACACTCTACCCAGTTTACGGGCACTGAACCTCAGCCACAACAAGTTCTGGACTGTACCCACCAACATGCCCCACAACCTGGAGGTGGTGGACCTCTCTCATAACTTCTTGTTGCAGATCTTGCCTGGCTCACTGGATCGCCTGCCCCGACTGTCTCGATTTTATCTGCATGCTAACCGCTTTGCTTCAGTGAGCGAGGGTGTTTTCAATCGATTGGAATCATTGCAGCTCCTTACCCTTGGGGATAACCCCTGGGCATGCGAAGATGAGGAAAACATGACCCACCTGCTAAACTGGGTGCACCAGACCCCAGCAAAAGTGCTGGGCTGCCCTTGCTATGTCAGACCCACGTGTGGGGAGGCGCATCTGGCCGCCAGCAGAACCTGGCACTCAGCCTCATACACTGAGCCCCCGCTGGGTACTGACACTCGTGACTCTGGTCACCAACCACCTATACAGGTTGTCACCTCGGTGTATCTGTCCAAATCAGCACTGCTCAACTTGCCATACAACCGGAGCACTGGGAATGCCACTGGGGCAGGTGAGCAAGCACTGACCAAGGGTGGGGGATTTTTGACTTCCACCCCCAACACCCTCTCAACCCAATCAAGCACAACAATTCGCACAAGAAGCGCCAAGAAAGCAATACCTGGCAAAGCTCGCAGCATAAGCATCCAAATGGATACATGCAATCCTCATACTGTCGCTCTGAACCTTCTGTGCACAGCAATCATCATCAATATCTTCTGAATCAGCATCATCCCTTGTGACCTGGAATTTACCATCGGTCTGGGTTTAAGACAAAAAGAAATGCTCACTGATACATGTGGAATGTCAAAGGAGGGTCTTAACTCCTTGGTTTTAACCTCACAAAAACTATTTGACTGTTAGTGCCTCTATGAGTATTCTCCACAATATATACTGTCTGTCTGCTTCAAACAAACTGACCATCCTCTAAAGAATATAGCTGAGTAATGTATGGCTATTGTGCATATTCATATTGAAACCTATCTAAATATATAGCTAACTTACACTACAGACAACAGTTTTCTTGGTGTAGAAAAAAAAAAGAACATTCTCGTTTGTATAATGCTAGTCCATTGACAGAGGCTCTTGCATTTCATGGTTTAAACAGTATGAAACAAACGTAGTCTGCAGTCTGCTGGGATTTTCACAGAGGATGAAATATTCAAGGTCACATGACAGAGATTCCTATTTACATATTGCCATCACCAGTGCAAAGGGTCAGGTAAGACCTGCCAGTTGTTAAATGCCTATAAACTTTTGCCATGGGTTTACGCTGAGATTAAGGCAGCATGTCTCACATAGCCAGAATAGGAGCTGAAGCTGATCATCCAAGAGAAACATAAGAGTCAAACAGTGACCCTGACTGTAGGAGATTGTGGCATGTATATGGAGCTGTGGGCTGTGCTTGTCCCAGCACTAACAGGATGTGATAAATAAGACCCAGGAGTCTGCTGAAGGACCAATTCCTAGGTGGGTGCTCAGTCAATACAAGAGTCAACAATGCTGGCCGGCCACTTCCTCTTGGTGCTCTGACTAAATGAAGGCTGACACTACAGTGGAGGCCTCCCACGTACTCCCATCCAGCTGAAAGTATCATAAAGATCACGCAAGCATTTAGCACTAGGTACAGCACAGAGAGAGGTGACAGTTTTACTCCTGCATAGTGTTCTGTCATATTCTAGTAGCACTCACAACCTTCTTGTGAAACCCCTGAAAGCTTCTTTGTAATTTAACAGATGGGTGACAAATTACCAGGAAAAACCAACAAAAAGTGTCTTAGTAAGGTGCCAGGCCATGACAAGCCACCTAAACAGCTTCAGTGCACTTTGGTACAGATTCCACAAGTATCTAGAACTGTACTGGAGGGGTGGAACACCAATTCTTCTTAATTTTCATATTGGTGGTGGAGAGTGTTGTTCTATGCACCCAAGTTCAAAATCGTGTTCAACTGGGTTGAGATCTGGTCACTACAAAGGCCATAGCATCTGATTTACATAATTTTCATACTCATGAAACTATCCGATGACCCTGTGGGTGGATGCATGGTCATCCTGGAAGAGTCCACTCCCATCAGGACAGAAATGTGTCATCATAGGATAAAGGTGATCAGTCAGAATATTTTTGTAGTGATCATTCTCTCCAAGGTCAAAAGTGGACTTTAAGCCATACCAGCAAAATGCCCCCCACAGCATAACAGAGCCATTCAGCCCGCTAACTATAGGGGTCAAGCATTCAAGCCAGTACTGTTCTCTTAATCAACGCCACACATGCACTCGCCCACTTGTGGACAATATGGTGAAGGATGATTCACCTGACCACGGCTCTTTTCTTCCACATGTCTAGGACCAGTGCCTGTGGTTTCTCCACCACTGAAATCTCAAATGTGCATTCCGCTTTGTAATGAAAGGTTTATGCATTGCAACCCTACCACTAATCTCCTTTCTATGTCGTTGTTAACAGGCTGGTCCTGCTGACACAGTCTGATCATGTCCTATACTGATATTCTCATTCACCTGAGGAACAGCTGCTCCTCTGTTTTTTCTTACATACATAGCACTAATGTACACACAAGATCACTGAGTGTATGCTTCACAACCACAAGCAAAATTTCCAGACTAAAGTGGTCACTTCAGTCACTGTTCCTGTGGCTAGTTTATCCTGTGAATAGTTTTTCCTACTGAAGAACTAGCCAGATGAGCAAACTTTGTGGCTGAAGCTCCTTCCACGTATATGCTAAAAACGAAGGCTCTTTTAATGTCACTTAGATCTTTTGCTCTTGTGAGACTTAAACATGTGGCCAACTGGACCTGCTCAGCATATTTATACATGCCACAGAGCATGGTTGGATGTTAAATGCTTAAATGTACACCTGTCTGGAAGCAGCTGCACTTGTTTCTCCAACATCTATTACTGGTAAAGGTGTAAAGGTTTTTTCCTTTAACTTGCCACCCATCTGTCCGTTGAAATGTTAAGCAGTAGGTAACAGGTATGGTGTGTTATAAAAATGCTGGTTGAGAGGAAAACACTACAAACTCTTCCCCAGAGTCTGAGGCCAAACCAGAGCTAATTCCTATTCAGCATTGTGCGTGGCCAGCCAGAGGACTAGCAGTTAGTCAATAATTAAGAGACACTGCAAGTAGCATAAGTGTGCTGAAAACAAATGCTTCAGATTGATCTCCTTCTTTGACCACATAGCTCATTCTCTTGTGACAGCAGTGATATAACAGGCATGAGAAAATTAACTGGGATGAGCTAGGGATAATCTAGCAGATGGACCATTCTTCCCTAAAGCCACTGGGTATGATAAAGCATTCTTAGTGTTGATAAAAAGCTGCCATCAATTAAAAGACATTCAAATGAAAGGTATGCAGTAAATAAGTGTGTTTATCAAAGGAGACAAAGACAAAAAATAAATACAATTTAGGTTTACTTCAAGAGCAAAGGGAAGTTTGCAAAGAGCAAAGATGTAGCTTTAAATCTGGCAGAGACTGACACAGGTAGTGTATAGCTAAAGAAAAATCAAATGCATCCTGTCACTCGAGCAGATTATTTGCAGGCTATGCGCAGGCTATTTAAATCTCTTCGGTCACTTTCTGGAGTTTTCTCTCTCTGGCATGTGAAACACGCCTTAGATTGTGTGCAAACCTCAAGTGATAGCTACACTGATGCCAAGCATGAACCTCATTGCTGCTACAAACCACTTCTGCCTACAAAACCAATTTCAACAAGAGACAATTGGGTTACAATCTGCAATTAAAACAAATGTTTGAAATGCAGCATGCACTGATTGTCATTTATAATCATTCCCTACGGAATGACACATTTCAAGTCATTATTTTGTGTCTACTGATTACAATGAAGTGTTACCATTGATCTTTAGATTTTACAGGCCATGTGAAGTTTGTTGAACAGTCATTGTTATGAAGCAAAGAACATCATATTAATTGGAGGCATTAAGCTTCCATTATGTCAACAAATTCATTCAAGCTAGTGCTCTGAAGATGCACTTTGTGATTTTAAAATACTAGAGTTGTGACCTGGCTTTTCAATTTACAGGGAAGTTATGGGTCAGTGGTGTATTATACCACCGAAAGAGCTCCAAATGCAGAAACTAGAAATTTGTAAGAAAAAGAAACATTTTGCAATCCTCATTTAAAGGCTGAGGAGAGAGTGAGTTGCCCTAGACGTCTAAAATACTTTCATTAAGAAAAAATGTATACAAATTGACAAAAACAAAATCACAGAACGTGGCTTTAAACAATACCAAAAGTATACTAAAAGCATTTGTTTGATCTTATTTACTCTTATCTTTTCTATTACATTGCTATCACATCATCCAAGAAATAAACATTGTTTGTTTCATAGTTGTGCTGATAAATCATTAAAACATCTTACCTGCGAGCGATGTAATAGAAGACAGGATTGCCATTCTTAGATGTTCCTGCCTGGTAAAAGATGTTAAGTGTCTTTAGAGCTTTAAATTCTTCTTTTTCATGGACTTGGTGCCTGAGGGTAAAGAGATATTTTTTGTCTAATATCAGTTACACTTAAACAGTAAATTTTTTACAGTCCCATTTTCTATAGAAACTACAGAGACAGACCTTAACTGTTTCAAAATATAATAGCACTTTCACATTAGTTCCTGTGGCATTAAGTAGGGGGAAAAACAGGACTTATTGCAGCTTGTATTCAAAGAGAAAAAATAAACACAGTACAAAGTAATCCAATTACAAACATTCTGCAAAGACATTTTAGATTTTTTTTTTAACACAATTTTCCTCCCAAATTCTATCAGGGATAATTCTTACCCACTAGCAAGATCTCCATTACACGATGCTACCAAACAGGGAGGGTGAAGGCTAAGACATTTCCTCCAAGACATGCAAGGCGTCACTACATCTTTTTGAACTACCACAAATGCAGCGTTACTGGGCAGCTCAACGCGCTTTGAGACGAACACTAAATGCCAATTTTGTTACATTCTGCGTTTACTAGCTCTGCGCTGAGTGATGGAGAAAGACACAGCCATTATATGCACTCTGAGAAAGAGAAGCCAATCATAATCTAGATATCTGTGGGATTGCCAGGGATCGAACTCGCAATATCCTGATGCTAGAGCTGATGACTAGATGACTGTGCCACTCGGGATCCCTAATGCCTTTTTTAATAGGGCGTTCAATGACAGCATCATAAAACCTAATGATAACTACAGCACAGTCTATACTCATCTCAAGCTCATTTCCTTTCAAGGAATAAAATGCTTAAGCAGAAAGGCTTTCATTTTAGTGCACTTACATAATCTTTACAGAATAAATCTTGAAGTATAAAGTTTTTGCTTCTGCAGTCATTTCCATTTGCCTTCTAAAATCTTTAGAGCCCCAGAGAACTTCATTAACTGGCCATAAATAGAGCAAAGAGGGACTCACCTGGTCATGAACTCCTCAAACTTGGAGCTGGTGAGGTTGAGACTGGACCAGTGAGTGTCAGCTACAGGTTTGTGCTCAGGGGGGCCGAGGTAGGCCAGGAGGGTAGCCATTTTATCAAAAGGTCTCCTACCCACAGCCTTGTGATCTCTGCCAAACACAAATCAATCATACAGTTTCTAATCTCTTTAAGACTGAAAACAGTAATAATGAGAAACAAACCTCCCAAACCAAAACAAAGAAAATATTGCATCAAGAAAATTACTATGATGGGCAAATAAGTTTTCAAAACTTTGTCACTAATTAAAAAAACAGTCATACTGTGTATGACTACACTTCATCTTGAGCAAACTTTCCTATCAACTTTCAAAAGACGAATTCTGTTTAACAAAAAGCAGAAATGTGAGCAGACTTAGCAACTTGAAAGGCATCAACATTTAAGGGAAGTGGAAGAATGATTGTGCAAAACAGGAGGAAATTTTGAGACTGTGGGCTTTAAACTTCCTCTGAGCTAAATGTTAATACTCTTCTACCTTCATCACTCTTACTATGAGTAATGAAAATGTTAACTTGTTTTTTCAAATGTCTCTTTATCCAGTTAGCTTGCCTGTTGCTGGACAGGTACTGCCCAATTCTCTCTTGATTGTTCCAGAGCAGGCGGTGGAGGGCCAGCACATTTCCATCACTGATGAAGGACAGGCTGTGGTTCACTGAGTCACTAGGAGGGGAGTCAGATGCTATGTCTAGGAAAAATCTGGATGAGATAAAAATAATAATAATGAGGGCATGACCTTTACATATTACTTTGCAAAATACTAATGCAATCCAACACTTGAACTGACAAATTGCATTAGCGTTTGAGTCGCTAAACAAAGTAGCCATAAATATACCTTCTTGCTGCATCAAAGTTGCTTTTCACAAAATCATTAAAAGGCCTCATATGCTCTTCTTTAGTGAACAGGACATGATTTGCGATACTCTGGAGAATCTGACAAACAGAAGAAATAACAATAAGACCAAGCTCCCTCTTGCATCATTCTTTTTAAAGCTGCAGTCACACTGGAAATTTGCAGTTTGTGTTGCCTTGCCCTGCTAAACATGCAAGACCAAGACTGGACCAAAAGATTGTAAATGAAAAAAATCTACATTTTTGGTATAGTTTGAAAGCTAGCTAATTTGACAAAAATAAACACAATAGTAACATTTTGAATCATTACATTTACACCAAAAATTGTAATGCCATGAACACTTGCATAGTTTCCTGTTGTGTAGCCCTGGGTTTAATCAAATACACTGTCAAATTTAGTGTTTGATTGACCATTTCCATTAATGCTCCACTGTAAATTTATCACCAAAGTACATAGTGTCTGAAGTAACATTTATAAACCACACACATCGCTGAACATCATCATCACCTAAGGACGCTGACAGACTACACTTATCACGAGAAAACTATGGACCAACAACCTGCAAACTAACAACAGCAATAGCAAAGTGGAACGCTTCAGTTCTCCCCCAGTAAGATGTAACGTAGTGGTATGAGAGCGTGGGGGGCTACGATTGCGGAGGAGGAACACACAACCACAGTTGCTTTCACTCAACGTTGGTGATGAAAACTTGAAACTGTGTTCACCAAATTTTCATGTTCACTCTGCTTTCATGTGAATGTTCATGTAAGAGTTGAATTATTGAAAGTAAAAAGTATATTCCAATAAATATATCCTGAGTCCTTTATAATTACATTTCAGCAAATAAGACAAATAATCATGATTAACTATAATAAACAAATGTGATTATTTTAATCCTTTGACCTTCCTGTAAAAACACAAAATTATATATAGTTATAGTATCTAATACACTCTCCTAACTGACCACATATCTTGCAGGATCTCTTTTATGTGTTTTATTATAGTCAGTGGGAAAGAAATAAGGTCAGTATAATAGGTTGTGCTTAGCCTTTGCTAAAATTAGCACTTCTTCAGTGCTGCTACACAAAGCCTCAACCTTTCAGAAGTCAAAGCAGTCAAAGCTGTAGAATGCAGGATAATGCAAATTTTCATGTCGCATTCCAAATTAGTCAGTCAAGTCAAGTCAAATTTATTTGTATAGCGCTTTTTACAACTGATGTTGTCACAAAGCAGCTTCACAGAAATCCATTAAGGACAAAGTTTTAACATGAAATGTAAATCCTCCAAGTGAGCAAGCCAGGGGCGACAGTGGCAAGGAAAAACTCCCTCAGAGCTGAGGAAGAAACTTTGGGAGGAACCAAGGCTCACATGGGGGGACCCATCCTCCTCTGGTCAAACTACCTACAAAATTATTATACTACTAATATTAATAGTAGTAGTAGTAATAGTAGTAGTAGTAGTAGTAATAGTAGTAGTAGTTAGGAGTCCATGAAAACTTCAGTGTAGAGTGAAATTAAAATGTATTATATCTGTAAGTTTATACCAATCTTGGCAAACTCTTTAGAAATGAATGCATCCTGATTCACAAAATTTCCCTGGCAAAAAGCTACTGTGACTGGGCCTTAATAAGAACACACAATGCTGCAAATGTACCAGCTGGTTAAATCCCATACCTTAGACATGAGCTTCAGGCCTCGCTCAATCTGAGGAGGGGGCTTCTTGTCTAGGATGCCTGCTTCATATGGAGACACTATAGCAGGGTTAATGAAGCGCAGGAACATGGCACTGCCTACAGCACCAATGCTGTTCTGTGGGAAACGCTGACTGACCACCTGCATACAGACATAGTGGGTAGAGGGAGAGGGGGAAGGGGAGGTAGGGGAAAGGGTTGGGCATGGAAAATGCAACACAGAGGAGACAGACAGACATAGACAAGAGTCAGATGAAACCAACAGAGGTCATAAAACACCTCTAGCTCTCTGACAGTCAAGAGTTTTGTATAAATGCTTAATATGTGAAAAAAGAATCAGAAAGATAGATGCAAGAGAATGAGTGGAAGCATATTTAAACAGATATGATGGACAGTACAAACAGTAGGCTTGCAGTATTTACCATGAGAAAAAAAAAAGACTGAATGGAAGTATGACATTACTCAAAACTTGAGTGAAACACTGCTCAGTGAATCTGCAGTAAAGAACACAAAAATAAGGCACTCTGTTCAGCCCCATCACCTTGCATAACGGGAAACATGCAAGCGAATATGCTCATCTTAGCCATCCAACCACCTCACAGTACAGCCACCAAAAGCACACAAACACAAACATAAGACCGCCTTCACTGCTAAAAGTTTTACTGTGGTATGAAATAGATATTTAAGGATTAATGACCATACAAAAGACAAGAAGGAAAGAACTCACAGACAACATGGCACAACTACAGAGAGCATCACGATTCTACTGTACAGAGCCCACCACAGACACAATGTATGACCCAGATTCATTTTAAGGTACTCTGCTACTTTCCCATATACCAATGCAACCTACTCTTTTTGACTAGAACAATACTTGTTTTAAATGTTCCTAATAAAACGTGTTGCCACGTTTTCAACATTTCCAGAAATAAACTTTAATACAACAACCTGAATGTGATGCAAAAAAGGTAAAAAGTATTTAACATATGAAACAGTTAACATTCACTTATTATCATTACCTAAAGAAATTCATTCTTCCTAATGATTCATTTTATATATATGTACATACACACACACACACACACATATATATATATATATATATATATATATATATATATATATATATATGAAGGAATAAACAGTATCCATCATTAGATGGTACATTTTGGCTGCAGAGGTAATTCACAAAATCACTAAGATCAATTGGTCACAATAACCAATATGAAAATAAAGAAAAAGTGCCTGATAGGAGAAAAGGACATGCAATTAAGTTTCTCCAGTTGGCAAGATGTGCATACCCAAGATCATAAAACCGATATATACAATGTACAACATTTACTACCACTCCAAGAACTGTGAACATATTCAACAACCCCCACACAGTACATGCAATCCTATATGAGGTGTAGTGAAACTACTGATCCATCCCCTAGTGTTTCAACACACAAGCACATGCTTTATCCACATTGCACACCAAGTATAAGGTCACTACCAGCTTATCTGAATGTTGGATCTATTTTTGACAAAGTAGAATCTGAAGCTGAAGCTTTACATCAGTTAAAGTAGTACATAGTGCACCTTCCCTGGAGCAGCAGGTTTACAAAGCTAATCAATAAGAAAAGGAACTGTAAGCTACACAGATGTAGCATAGCCAGTAATGATAATTAAAGCCTTGCTGTGGTTAATGAAGATACCAACAACTTATATTTTCTGCATTTTAAATTATGTATAATCCATATATCAGTGGAAAGTGGGTTAAAACTCTAAAGATTGATCATTGATTAGTTTTACATAGCCATGTGAATTGTGGTAAACATTTAGATATTTAGCATTTACAGTGGCATAGTGGAAGTTGATTTTATAGTCAGTGTTATGACCATATTTGGAAATCTGGGTCTAAGCAGATTTCAGAATCTTTGGGTGGGTAGGATGGCCCCCCGTTCCCCCACCCCAACGCCCAGCCAGCACAGGTGTCAGCTGACGTAACAGAACTGCCGGCTGACGCATCCTCCGAGCGTATTCAGCTGTCCAATGACTTTGTGTTAGCAGCAGTTCGGAAAGACGCGGTGGCTCGCTTTACAGGTCTCAGAGGAAGCCTGTGCCCGCTTATGCTCTACTAGAGCTTGTGGTATCGTGTAATTGGGGGAGTCCTAATTAGTGGGTGGAACCGGACATGTTTAAATTGGGGAGAAATTTTTTGGGAAACAAAAAAAAAAAAACGAAAAAAACCAACAACCATGACTTGTGGTAAAAAATGTTGCAAAGCTGATAAATTTTGTTCTATCTAATATTTTCAGCAAGTGTCACTGTCAGTTACAAGTACGAGGTCGTTTAGCAGTCGAAATACAAACATTGCTACATATATACATGCTACAAACACTCCTGCACATTGAAATGACATCAGATGTGAGAAAGTCTACTATTTAACTTAAATATAACTATACACAAACTCCAGCTTATAAAACTGTATGATACCACTGCCAAGCAACCTAACGACCATATTTGACATAGCTTGCTGGTTTGTGCAGTTTTATGATGTTAATTCAATGTGCAGCAGTGTAGCTTACATGTAACAATAATCATATATCGACTCTTTAACAACCTTGCCATTCAGAGGATTCAGTGACATTTGAAGGAGTTAAGCACATACGGTAAAACGTATCGGCTTTGGAACATTTTTGTTTATAACAGGGCAATACAGTGGCAATTTTCTAAAACATCCATTTATTTTTCCCCACAGAGAAATCTGCTTAGGCCTGGAGTTCCAAATTTGGCCATGATTACACAATCTCAGAGGTCTGCAGGCCAAAGACTCTTGATTGCTATAGCAGCACCGTTCCAGCCTGGACAGCAATAGGCCCTCCAGTATGCTGTGGTGTTATCCACTATGCTCCACTGTAGTGAGCCTAAAAAGAATGGAAATGCCCACAACTAGTGACAATGAGTATTGGCAGGTGCACGTGCCAAAAGTAGGGGGCTAAATTCATTTGTATTTATCGGCTGTAATTCCAACACTGGGCGAAAAATAATAATGAAATTTTTTCCTTCATCTGTAAATAATATGTCAACTACCCACATCATGTACCCCTAGAAAACTTTGACGTCAGTTTAGATTTCCTTCATTGGAAGCTAAATGTTTGAATGTTATGTGACAAGGAGGCTATATTCAATTTGATACATGAACAACGTTAATTTGTCAATCATCTGAGTCTGTTTAGCAGCAGTATGTCAAAGCAACTGACTTGAAGACATTCGCTCTCATTTGACTGATGAGCTAACAAACTCCAAGAAGAAGCTAAACTTTAAGAATATATTAGTCCAGCAGCCTTGATTTGCTGAGTTTTTGGAACTTTGGTTGAATTCAGCCTTTGAGTCTTCTCCTGGTGTGCAAGGACTTCCATGGCAGAGGAGGCTTTTCCTCAGCAATGGAGAACACATAGAAAGGTAAAGCTCATCTGTATGGCGTCATACAGACAGATGGAAAAGCTTGACCAGTCCCAAGAGTACACCACACAGCTAGCCCTCTCAAATCCCATTCCAGACCAGAAAGGGTCAGGACACTGGTGATCCACAGAGCTACATTGTTTCAACCATGACTTTTGAGTTAGTAAGTGATTAGTAAGGCTATGCTGTAAACAGGATTGTGCGCAGTGTTGCTTATGAACATGTTTTAAGGCAAAAAAGCTCAAAAGAAATTTTAAAAACGAAAGGAACAAAATAAATTGCGGCTTTCCAGAATGAATAAAATCAACCCAAAAATGGTGGCTAGAAAAAATAAAAAGTTCTGGGAGACTTACGGATTTTTTGTTTTCCTTTTTTTCTTTAACAGTGGCTTTATTCAGTAGGGAGTGGCAAGTAGCCTACAGGGCAGAGATGGGCACAGAGAGGTCACAGCAGCGGCTACACAACACACAGTGAGCACAGCGCACACAGCCATAATGCTTACACGCATACACACAGTTTCCATTTGAGCACTGCGTTCTGATTCGGAAAAACTCTACTACTTACCGGCTATCTAAAGTAAACCATCAGAAGTTATGGAAAACAACACAATTCTACCTTCTGTGTGAGCCACAGTCTTTAAAGGGCCCATATCATGGAAAAACAAATTTCTCAAATTTCTTTTTTGAAATGAAAGAGTTTGATGTGGTATGTAAACATTGGCAAAGGTTCAAAAAGTAACATTTACTGTTCAGTCCACACCCTCCACATATGGAAATGAAGCTGCAAACATTAAATTTTGAATTCAGTTTTTTCGTGATGTCACAAACACCAATGTGTTCACATACCTCTGCTTTTTAACAGAGGTCATTTACATATTTTAGTCTTAAAGGCATAGTTTAAAAAAAACAAATAAAAAAAAAACCCAGCATGTTTAAAACAGCATGTTTAAAAGGGACAAAGAGAGGTTGGAAAATGCTAATGTAAAAATAAATTGACAACATTTGGTTCATAAACCCACACAAATGTCATAAGACAGGAAAAAAAGACAAGCAAAATGTAGGAAATGGGCCATTTAAATACTACATCAGGAGACAGCATGTGGGAGTGCGGTTTTGCTGAGGATGTGAGTGCGAGAATGAAGTTTGGTAGAATACAAAGCATGTGGGCAGCAATTCTGTAGTGGTGAGGAGGTGGATGAGTGACTGACTCGACTGACTGTGTGTTTCTCAAATGAGAGTGGAGTTGGCTGCTCAGAGATGCACACATGCAGAGTAAATGGAAAGGAAACAGGCAGCAGGTGACAGGCCTGAGCCACTCCTTCCTCCTCATAGAGTTGTGCTCAGTGTGCACGAACACTACAGGCTTTGTATAAGACTATATGCCTATAGCCAGGTTAATTCCCTGCTGTCTCAATCAGACCAAATATTCACCTTTTACTCCACAAGCTTATGCCTATAAATATGCAAATGCACTAATACAAACACACAGACAGACATACAAACAGATCAGAACTACTGAGCTTATTCAAGTTTGGCCATAAGAGTTCACCACTAGCATAGCTGTTCTGTGAACTACAAGAAACCAGTGGTAAGTTTTGGGTAAAAATCAACTTACAAAGCTCCTCCCCTTGGCCCAAATGCAATTAATCCACCAAGAGTGTCCGACATTTGATTCATTAGTTATGCACTGGAGCTACGAGGTTAACATGGCTAACAAATAACGAAAGCTTGCAGCCTCTTCTTAGCAGTGTGCGAATCCCTAAATTACACACTTAACTCAAACCATATTAAGTAATCGCAAATAGTCCTGCTATTGCTGCTGTCAGAACAAAACCTTGTATAGCCATAAAAGTAACTTTACAGGAGAAGGAAAAACAAACACTCTCAAATTTTAGTGAAAGTTAATGTAACAAAACTTTATTCAAAGTCATTTTGGACCATTTCTATTAGTCCGTTCATCATGAAATTTTGGAACAATGTAAAAAGCGTTTGGCACTTTAAAATTATGTAAAGAAGAAGAATGAAATAAAGAAAAGACAGCAAAAATAGAGATTTTGTTCCAACAGCCACGTTATATGGTTTATGACACAGTATGACATTGTTATCTATAAATCTGGACTTCAGTCTTCAGTCCCACTAGGATCTGAGTTTATGATCGTTGCATATGTAGCAATATTTATTCTTTGTTATTTATTTATTCTTCCGGGAAGCGCAATATAACCCGATATACTTTTTTTTTTAAATTTGTTTTGAAAGCAGCCTTGTTGGTTTGAGATTAAAACAAAGGAAAAACAAATGGGAAATCAAAGAAATCAAAGCCTCAAAGTTTAAAAAATAAAATTAACAATAGTTCAATTCTCAAACAAAAGGCTTATATATTTTCTATTAAAATGTAATGATGCTACACAAAATAAGCACCATGTCTACAGCCACCTATTCAGGAAAGCTGAGCAAAACAGGTAAATAAAGTATAAAGCACAGGCAGACTTGTTTCTAGTAGTACGTCCAGTAGCAATGTGTGACTTGAACCAGGTCTAAACAATATAAAAAATTAATTAGTATGATATTTTACTGTTAAAAATAACCAAGATTATATATTATATCACTGACAAATGGGCTCATTCTTGCATTAATGAAGGCTGACTGGCATACTGCACAGAAGATGCACTTTTACAATAACTTGTGATTGAGTCACAAATAAGTGCAAGGTGACCAGACAAAATTGCAAGCCCTTAGATGGTTAGTTGAATCTGTATGAAACTGTGATCACAAATTCCTGGAGAAACTAAAAAAATTGAACAATGTGTCATATGCTGTCAAACACATGGAGTGAGGTAAGTGTGTAATTATTTAAGCATGTAAGGTAATTATAGAAAAACAGTACATTTGCAATCACTTTGACTTGCATTGGGTTTTTCACCTGTTCATAGCAGTTAGTGACCACAAACACATTTAAAGTGTTCAAAGTATTTCAAATGAACAAGCTGATTTACTAACCTCTACTTCAAAAACATTAGAAGATCACGATTTTTAAATGTTGAAGAATAGACGTCTCACCACAGAACAGGATAGAAGAGAATTCACAAGATAAGGACAAAACAGCTCTACATTTCATCATTAGATCAGATCCAACCTATAGGATAAAACTGACTAGGCCATGTAACGTTGTTCGCAAGATTATATTCTTGAAGATTATATTATGTGATTGTATTCTTGCATTTTGCTCTTTGAAATATTAAACCATCTCAAACACAGACACACAGTTATCACGCAGATACGATTGACTGTGCACACACAGAACTGGAGAGAGCCAACAATTAATCAGGATGACTTGCTGTGTAACACACAAACCTTTACAGTGACGTTCACCAGATGGAGCAGTGGAGCAACTGACAAGCAAATGCCTCCCTTATCGAAATATATCACTTACAAATGTGTTTGACACACAAATAAAGCACATAAGTAGATAAAACAAGCTGAATATACTTAACTAAACTGTGTCAGGAAGGCTGAGTGTGTAAGTGAGTTAGTTGTGACTATTCAGCAAGCTCTCCACTGAGAGAGCAGGCAATAGCATGGTGATGGGTTACAGTAAATAAGAAGCAGTTTGGCATGAGTCGCCATGTAGTGTGGGTAAAACAGAACAGTGCATACCTGGTACAAACAGTGGCAAACACTGCGCAGCTGAGGCGGAAACTCGCTGGAGGAATTGATGATTGCCAGGAAGAAGCGGTCTGTTATTTGCAGCAGGTTCCTCTGGTTCTCCTCCAGGTTCTCTGTGGGTTCCAGCCTACAGAAGATAATTGTTTTTAAAGAAATTCTACCAAGGAGCAACAGTCAGCCTCAATTTTTAAGACATACACTTTGTCACAGTCCAAAGAAAAACAAGTATCTCCAAAACGGTTACAGGAGAGGGCAAAAGAGGGCAGTTTTCCCAGCAGTAGCAGCCTCTACCTTTCTGGAAGGCATTACACCAGATCTTAGAACATTGTTGTGAGGATTTGATTGCATTTGGATACAAGAACATTAGTGAGATCAGATACCAATTTTGGAGGATTAGTTCCGGATCACTCTAATGCATCCCAAAGGTACTGAATGTAGCTCCAACGATCCAGAGAATGCAGCTCCACTGCTCAACAGCCCAGTGCTTTAAAGGGCTTTATACCTCTTTACTCAATGAACTCAATGAGCTTCAAAGTGTCCGATTCTATTAGCAATGCTTTTCTATGGCGTTTACACAAGCTATAGGTGTGCAACACCTGTGCACTTTATAGATGAATTTACTAATAAGAAGAAGTCTATACATTTTTGAAAATACAATGTAAAATGTACAAGGAATGTAACAAAACAGACTTTGTGTTTTCAGCTATTTTAATGTGTTGACGGTTGCTATACATACAAATATATACCATAACACCATAATACAGGGATTAAGAGTACAAAAATCAGTCTGTGCACACATACCTGGTGGGATCCACCTCAAAACTAATGTGCTGCCACTCAGGAGTGGTGATGACACCTCGCAACAGTGGTTCCAGAAGTTTCTGCAGATAGGCAGCTCCGTACACCTACATGAAGAAAGTGAGTCCCTGCTCTGCTTAAACATCACCTTAAAGTGCATTTTCTTAGAAAAAGAAGAGAAATCGCAGCAAGGTATAATCAAGATAATGAGAACAACTAAAGTGCGCTGTAAGTGTGCTGTGCAAGCATTTATAAACTAAATTTTACCTTAAAGCAGAATGTCATGATCTTGCTGGCCAGACTGTTTCCTCTGAAGAGAGTCTGCATGGAGTCAGCCAGCTCCACCTCTTTAGAGAACATGTTCCAGAGCAGCTGGTACAGCAGGTGCCTGGAGTCAAATAGTGTCACCAACACCCTGGCCAGCTCGTCCTGAAGATGACAGCGACATCCTCTCAATATCCAACCAGAATAAGTGCCTTAAGTTTTGTGTCTAATCAACTGTATAGTGGTTACTCACCCACTGAGAGCAGGGCACCACATTGGCCAGCGCCATGGCGATGGGAAGCTCCCCTTGGTCCCCCATCATAGTGACGAGCTCTACTAGCCTTTCAAAGCGGTCAGCCAGAACGGTTTCAGCCAGTGTGTCAAACTCTGTGCCCTGTTGTAGGATCTTAGTCAGCACCTCCATAAAGGTAGCCCTCGTCTGCAGGTCTTTATGGTAGCCCAGGCCTGTGGACAGACAAAGTAATGACTCTCTCACTGGCAGCATCACTTTTAGAGTTAATGCTCAATTGTTAATCAACGATGTACTGAACAAAGAAAAAATAGAAGCAGAGAAACAGACTCCATAAAAAGTCTATAAAAAGAATCTCCCTATCACACAACAACGACAGCAAGTGCCCCAAGCTGCAGTTTGGCACATGTTGAACACTTCCCACATTTATTTCTGGAATGCAGCGGGATTTTGTCATCACCTTTCCAGGTCAAAAGATTGCATAGTGTTTATACCTTGTATACGATTTCGTGTGCAGTGTGCATACTGCTACATCAACAATCAACAGTTTGCAAGTGTTGAAATCGCTACAGTATAGTGCGAGCAGTATAGCGATTCTGAGATTTCGGAAGTTATGTAGGGTCCACTGCATTAACTGGTCATGATGAATGAAATGTTTTATTGCTCTAGCCCTGGACCCCTTACTCCCTCCCCTTTGCTACTTTACCCATCACGTCCTGAAAATATAAAACTAACTATCCTAATCCTAGAGCATTCACCTATGGAGTGCATTAGGCCACTGTCTACGTTGGCATTAAGCAGGTTGGACATGGCCAGCACGGTGCAGTGGCGCAGGGAGGCAAGACGCCGGGACATTCCCCGCTTCCTCTCAGCCACCTGCTGACCGTCTTCCTCCACTTCACTGCAGTCATTCAGCAGATTCATGAACAATGTGAAGTACCTGAGAAAGAAGGAACCGGTATCATTAAGGTGAAGAAAATGACTATGTTGACAATCCAGCTGTGATGACTGATCAAACCTCCAAGTCTTGCTTTACAGCAACACAACAGGAAATAATTATAATCAGTTTGAGGCATTTCAGAGTTTGAAATTGTCACTGTGATGTGAAATTCACACTGTGATGACAAATTCTCCAATGAGAGTGAATTGTGAATTATTAGATAAAATACCACATTGTGATTATACTAACAAACACAGCGATTGTGATGGCCAGTATATTAAATGGAAATTCCACTGATTTTCAAAGTTACTGCATAAGTAAATCTTTCATATTTCAACAAATGCTCTATTTAAGAAAAAAATACCAGGTCACAATTGTCCACTGTGGTGGTGATAGGAACCAGACATTCAAGACATTTGCTTTTAAAAGCTACCTCAGAGAGTTAATACATTAAATGGTTGCAAAAATGCAAATTCCCGAGACATTGTTTTATGAGAGCTTTGAAATAAGGTTATGGCCTAAAATATGTTTTGGATAGTACATAAAAACTAGATTTTAAGATCTAGTAATTATGACCCCTGCTTCCAATCGCCACCACTGGGTGGGGGGAAAAAAATAAATAAATAAAAAAATAAAATTACATCAAACCACAGTGGAATTTTCATTTAAAACACATTGGTAAACTCTTGACGTTGCATGGTTAAAGATTGGCTTGTCTTATTTTGACCAAATTGCTACATTTGTCAGATCATGTGACTGATTAAAAGACACATAGAAACCTTCACGTGGGATGTCTAGGTTAGTCAAGACACTCACAACGCACAGTAACAAATTCAATTTGTTAGAGCCTCACTATGCAATACCAGTAATGCAAAATTTGTCATAATGATTAACAAATGTTATACTGTATAGCGATACAGTTATGCGAGTTTGTGTAGGGTCCTACTTGAGGAAGAGCTGAGATTTCGCCTCCATCAGCTCCACTCCATCTCCCTCCTCAGGCTGCAGAGGTAGGCCAGCCAACAGAGAAACAACTGCCTCCATACTTGCCTGGTCCAGATCCCTGCAAAACAAACACCCCAAAGAAGCTTTGCGTTATTACAAGGCGCAAGAGATCAAACAACTGGGAAGAGTTCTAAGATTAATTGACTTTACCGTGTGAGATATTTAACATCATCATCTGCTGCTTGATTGGAGGTCCCCATCACCCAGTCAGTTAAATACTCCACCATCTTATTCCTCAAAAAGGACAATAAATCACCTTAATACACGTAACAGCAATGGCAAGCTAAAGGACATGCACTAAAAACAGCACTGAGAACACTAAGTAGTGTATTTACCTGAATTTCATCTCTTGACAGAAAGAAAGATCATCCCTGCGCTCCATCATTACCTCCACTAACTGGCACAGTTTGGTTTTAATCTGAATCGCATGGACTCCATTTCCTAAAATGCGGACATACCTATGGGGACAGCCAGGCAGTATGTGAAAAGCAGATTGTGAGAAGCAGAAAATGTAGCTTCTAAGACTGAACAGAGAAATTCCAGCAGATTTCTTGTGATGCTGTATAAGAAAGTGTCCCAAAAAGAATGGAAACTGTAATAAAAGGTGAGCGATGGACACACTTTTTAAAGTATTTAAATACTAAATACTTAAAAATAAATAAATAAATAAAAAAATTAAAAAAATTGATATTACGTTTAAGTTTCATTAATTTGAAATTGATGCAAAATGAAATAAATGAAGGGTGATCTTTTATTTGCCACATTGTCCACGTGCGAAAATGTTGAAATCATTAATAATAAGCACATCCCTACTGTTAATAATATCAGCTCTCAGTGGTTCATCCTGACAGATCAACAGTGAATTTCTCGCTGCTCAGTACTCGGCACATGGTTTTGAATGAAATGGCTTTGAAATTGTTAACGGACAGAACTGTGTGTAGAAGCTGCATTTCACACAATGTGATGGAGCGTTTTTGTACAGTGTGAGTATGTAAAACTTTGTCTGTACATGATGATCTATTCAAACGTATGGAATCATCAAAGAATAAGATTTCTAAAATCACACAGTGTATGTCTGGATTTAGAGAATTTTTAGCTTCAGCTCAAGCAGCCAAGACGCCGAGAGGACAAAACTTGACGTGAGCTTCTCGGATGCAAGTCCTGCTGACACTGAACTACAGAGACTGATGTTAAAAGATACAGATGAGAAACAAAACTACAGCTGTACAGAAGCGCTTTTCTGCCGTGGAACTAAACCCGCTCTTCTCTATTGCAGTGCTACTCAATACAAGGTTGCGTTAAATAACGCAGCATAGCACTTCACTTCAATGCACTTCAATTTAATTCTAAGTAGTATGTTACTCAGTATTTAGTATAGGACAGTAGTTACTCAGTATGGTATCAGACTCTGTATCGATGCATCCCTAGTAAATAAAATAAAATATATTCAACTCAATAAAACTAAAGCTAAACATACTACATTTTATTATTATGATAACAGCAAGTTTCCCAAAAGCATCTCTATTTTTTATTATATCAAAAAACCACAAAAGAAAGAGGAGGAGGCCAGACCTGACCAGGTTGAGCATCATTGTCTCAATGCTGGCCTGGCCCAGATGCTCAGAGCTGCCCTCAGTGTGGCTGTCCAGCAGGTTCTTCATGATGGCAATGGTCTGCTCCACAAACAGTGTGTTTGTATCAGTGATTGGTACCTAAAGCAGGACACACAGCAATGTGTTAGAAATTACGCAGCTAATAGTGAAAAGTGAAATTTCAAAGTATATATTGATGCTGTATTGATAAATCCGGATAATGCAACTCTGCCCTCTTGTGACCAAAACTGCTTACTGCAATAAACATCTTAAAACAGAATGTGCAGTAACCATCCAAAAACAGACCATATGTTTTTATTTGCAACTTTTACTATCTCTAACAAACCAGCGAAGAAAATGTCCCTGTGTGGCAGCACAGAGGTGTCTAAGGAAGTGTAATAACAGGCATCACAGTTTTGTGGGGTTTTTTTTTAGCAGTTTCGAGGTATTTATTTGTGAAGTATCAAAGACTTACGTTGGCTTGCTAAGTGTAAGAAAAGCTGATGTTTCTCACCGGTCCCTGGGTGTCAAAGAAGCGCCCTATGCTGTTGCGCAGCTTGGTGAAGAGCATCGGGTAGAGGGCAGGGCTCAGCTCTAGACCCACCAGGTCTTTAACGTTGGTACGGATTTGCAGGCCCACCTTCTCATGCGTGCAAACCATGAGGGACAGCAGTCGCTCCAAGAACCTGCTGAGGGGTGTCTCACTGTTCACTTCACAGGAGGCCATGGAGATCATGGAGCCCTTGCGCTCACTCAGAGGGCCCATGGGGGGGCTGTAGGTGCCCAGGCTGGGTGTACTGCGTTGCTGCAGACAAACGCCACCCAGAGCACACAGGAAACCGGTCATGTTGATCCACTCCTGAGATGAGAGAGGAGAACCATGTGTGATGTGGAGATGCATTCAATACATTCAAGAAAATAACTAATACCAATATTTATTATCTGATAGACACTAAGAAAACAGGGCTGGGCAATATAGCCAACAATTTCATTCACTATCAAAAATCTTCAGTTATTACTGAATCCATTTCCGAATTTTAAGTCTAAATAGTATTTCAAACCCTTTTTACACCCCAATGTCTCAAAACAGAAAACAAGGCTACCTCCTCCAACTGTCAAATGCGAATACAAAACCGAAAGGTACTTCACTTACTTGCCCATCTTCAACTTTGTTCTTTGGGTGGTTTAGAATTTGTTTAGTTGCTTGCTCCCATTTAGCATGTGTATCCTCCCAAGCCTGAAGTTGGTAAGACATGAACAGTCAAATTAAATCAAGAATAAAAGAAAAGAAAATTACAATACTGTGCAAGTCTGAGACTACGCTTCATTTATGTAATTTCCAGCCAAATCAGCAATTAAGCACAAATTAATTTTTAAGTGTCAGGAAAAAAGCAGAAAACACATTTTAATAGAGAATTACAAAAGCGCCTCAATATAAATATAATTTCATTTTTTTTAGTATTTCATGTGTTCGTCCTTTGCCTTTCTTACAAATATGGATACTCTTTTCAGGAGACTTGATTTCAGTTTTTCATACAAATCTAATCAAAGATATTTTTCCACACCTCCAAAATTCAGAGTTAGAAACTTTGCACTTTCTGCTTCTCATGATCTAAGAAATCCCAGACATATTCAATGTTACTAGGACCCTGGGGTGACCAGCCTGTTATTCAGAGAGCAGCAGCTTCTTTGACCGATTTGCAAATTTTCTTCTTTTTTCTGTCTCCTTTTCTCATTAATGGCGTCTTGACAGCTACACATCCTTTCAGCTACGCAGCACTGAGTTGTCTTCTCACAGTGGAAGGATGGACAGAAACACCTGTGGATTGAAGCTAATGACGAGCTTGATTTTCTCTTATCCCTAGAAGAGGAAAGCTTTAAGTTTGGAGTTTCAATTTCTCTTTGTCTTTTAACCATTTTTTGAACTCCATTTTTAGAACTATTTTCATTTGATGAACCATACCATATATGTAGTTTCTTGAGAAATGTCCCCTGAGAATTAACAACTTTTTTGACTGGTCTCAGCCTTTTGCACAGTACTCTAAAAATAAAAGACTAGAGAAACATAGTGAATGTCCAGGAACTAGCACTCACCTCTATGTTCCCAGCTGTTGGATGCTCTATCCTCCTTAGCAGAGCCATCACTCTCTTCTGTAGGGTAGAGCGACCTACATACATAGTGACATCAGAACATTGACTTTAATACTGAACTTTCAAATGAGGACAAGCAACAACTCACCACAAGCCAGAAATCCAGGAAAGAGTTAACTACCGGGAGCTCTATGCTGTTTGTAAAACTGACCTGTGGCCATCATGTTGCTTACGGAGGCAAACTCCATGAAGGTGTTGTAGTTGGGCAGGACCGTATGTACGGGCAGCTCATCCACACTGCAGCGGATGTCTGCTTCCTCACACAGGTGTCTAAAGCAGGACATGGCCACCAGCACAGCCTCTGCATCCGGACTCCACAGGAACGAGTACAGACATACCTCCAGCTTGGTCTGCGCTTGCTTGCTGATGGGGATCAAACTACCCTGTGTGGCGTTCTCCTGGGGGAATAGAGGGAGTTTAAGATGTCTTTTATAAAGAAAGGGAAGTGAAGAACCTTCCACATTTGTGAGATCAATTCATGTTTGAAGATCAACTAAGTCATCCAAAACAATCCATTTCACTGCTCCACTACTTCTGCAACTGCCTTTAAGATTTTTCGTTTAGTTTTTTTCCCCCACAGAATATTTTCTTACATAAAAACATTTCCAGTATCACTTCAAATTAATTCATTTTGAGGGTGGGTCTATTAAAATAAATTACAAATCAACACAAAATAAGGGCACAAAAAGTGCCATTTGTTTAAAAAAACAAAAACAATGTTCTTCGTAAGACAAGCCTGATGACTTAAGGACGTTAAAAACTTTTGTAAGGCACTGTGTATAAATGACCTCCATTTTGATCAGCTGCACTGTTTTGTGCCTTATTCAAAAAGCAGTCTGGGCTAAAAACACTGTATAACTTCAGTATGAATGTACAGAACTAAACCGCTGTAAACAAAATAGGAGAATATATGAAAATGCATTGTTTTTCATGACCTCACAAAAACAGTGATTTTAAAATGGGTTGTTTTTCCAGCTTATTTCCATGTATGGACTATATGGACAGGCGGAGTGAACCGCATGTTTTGAAACTTTAACAGTGTTTACATACCACATCATACTCTTTTGTTTAAAAACAGTAAGGAAACTCAGTTTTCCATGAGATTGATCCTGCCTTTAAAATAGAATGGGTAATCTGCATGACAGTGCCCTCCGCTGGTCAAGGAAGACAAGTCTAAGGAGTTTAAAAATATATTATTTGTCAGGCCCAAATTTCAGTCCTAGAGTGCTGGGTCTAGCACAATTTGATAATGTCCACACCTACTAAACCTGGCAACTAACAGCTGAGTCGAATCAGGTGTATATGAGCAAAGAAATCACCATTGTGTGCAGCTGACACTTACTCTAAGTTCTAACAGAAAAAACAGAAACTGGCAATTTACCTTTTTAGGAGAAATTTGTGAGAGTGGGGTTTACTCACTTTGTTCTTCAGGAGGAACTTGTTCCTGCAGATGAGAATCTCCCTCAGCCACTTTAATATCTCTGTGCTGTTGATCATCTGGTGGCCAATCAGCTTCTTGCAGATGAGATACAGGACCTGGGAGCTGCAGAGGTTCAGAAGATCAAATGATCAAATAAGCACACAACTCTAAGCATAGTTAGTACAAACAAAACTAATAAGGCAGTTTGCTCAATAACCAACCTGATGTCCCAGAAGGTCTCAATAGGTGTGTCAGGGTTCCAAAGCTCAATGGTCTCAGGCTGATGCAACACCAAAAGTGCCTGAGGGACAAAAGGAACATTGTGAACACACCCCACCACGTTTAATATCTTTGTCAATTAAACATCACCATCTCTATCCTCACCACAAGGTCAAAAAAGGACAAAGATGATAAGAAAAAAAGGAGCAAATTTGATACCTCCATGGCTTCCTGAGAGAGCTCTGAAGTGTGTGTGAGGGGCACCAGCTGGACCAGGCCTATGATGAGTTCAGTTGTGCTGTTCTGGATCTCCTGGCCCTGTTTACCAGGGTTCTAACAAAAAACACACAGACACATTTTCTTTACATGCATATAATTCCAAATGAATCATTTTAACAAAAAATACACTGATTTTCATTAACCTGCTTTGTCTTGATTAGTTCCCAGACACAACTCTTTCTGTTAAGTTCAGGACCACAACCACTGTCACCCATGTTCAACATATTCACTAAGTGCTGGTTTCCCAGACATAAACTAAGCCTAGGCTTGGTCTAAAGTGCAGTGCTAAAGGTGATTTTCCACTGCAATTCTTTTCAGTCTAGTATTAAGCTTAACCTGGGTGTCAGAAACTGGGCCTGGATGTCCAAAAGTTTGCAGACTACATTTATTCAGAAATCAAAAGGTATTAATACGGAGTGTGTCCCCACATTGCTGCATTAACAGCCTCTACTAATCTGGGAAAGCCTTACATTACATGTGGGAATACTACTGTGAGGATTTGATTGCATTCAGTCACAAGAGCATTGGTGAGGTCAGGAACTGATATTGGATGATAAGTTCTGGATCACAAAGGAATTGGATAGTGCTCCATCATGTCAGAGAATGCAATTACACTGCTCCACAGTGCAATGATGTAGTGCTTTATACCCTTCAAGCTGGCATAGATATTGGGCACGGTGACATTTAACTTCTGTGCGGCTGCTCCAGAGCATCCCATTCTATTTTCTATGGATACTATACAAGACGTGTGTGCACAACCAAGTGCTTGTGTCAGAAATTGGTGCACCTGGAGCAAGATTACTACCTGAGCATAATAATTTGAGCTGATCATAATTACTTAAGACAACAGAAATTACTTTCCCCAGTTGTCAGTTTTCACAGTAATGTGTTTACATCACAACATTCAGAATGCAAATTGAGTGTTTATCAGTTGGCTTTGATTCAAATACATATACATGTAAAATGAAATTGTAAATGAAAACAGAAAACAGTTATGAAGACACATCATGGGTCTGACAAAAACAGCAAAAGCTCTACCTTCAGATTTGGTGCTAGAACACGTCTGGGGGCAGTGGTGAGTAAAGTGGTTTCTAATTATTACAACTGTCAAATATCAATAGATAGGAAGTCAAGTCAGTCAGCCAATGTGCACACTTTAGATTTTTCGTTTAAGAAAGACTATTAGACTGTTAATTGCAATTATTTATATAGCTATTAATCATTAAAATGTCATGATTGTGTCCTAGTTGAAGGAATTAATTAGAAGGGGTGTCTGCATTGTCAATAAATGTACAATATAACTAGAAACAAAATCAATAGTGCAAAATCTAGAAATGAGCATTACTAGAAATATTAGTGGAAGAGGAAAGATGTACTTACATGTAGCATTAGTTTAGGGTCAGCATGGATGAGTTTCACCAAAGCCAATAGGAGTGAGCGAGAGTCCAAATCTGCAGACTTTTCTTTGAACTTCAAACTAGTTGTCATCTTCTCCTTGAATGTCAGACTCTGTGAAGAAAGGTTCATCGCTATCATCTATTTCTTTCAAATACAGTGAGATCAGAAAAATTTGCATTCATAATACATCAAAACCCCCCTGGACTAAATATCATATTGTGATTATGTTGTTACATATCTCCATGGTGATAGATTTTGAAATATTAAAGCTGTCGTGAAACCTTGGTGAGATGACAGCTTGCAGTATTTTGAGAACAATTTACCTGAACTATATGATGTTGGTGAGCATACACACAGCACACACACACACACACACACACACACACACACACACACACACAAAGCAAATAAACAGAATAAACCACCAAGTTCTTATTTGCATATCACACTCTTCTAATCTTCTTTGATTTCAGTATTGGAAAGTATTGGGGAAGTACTACAAAGGTACAAATGTTGCTGGGAATCACTACTGCTACGTAACTATGCCATTATATAAACTAGTTCAAATGCTAGCTGAAGCCTAAAGTTGAATTTTAACAAATAGAAGAAGTATGAGGCGGTGCGCATGGAAAGCTGGAATAAATACAGGTCCATTCTGGGTCAAGCTCGCACAGAAAATTCTCCTTTCTTGTGCTATTAGCCAGGGCTTGCATTGGGCACTGACGTGCAACTTGACGTGGCATCGATTCAACAAGTGGACGGAAGACGTCTGGGGGGAGGTTTAGCCATGCTGTCTGGATAGCCACCCACAGATTTGTGGTATTTGCAGGTGCAGGATCTCGGGTGCAAATGGACCTCCCCACCACATCCCACAAGTGCTCGATTGAGCGAATCTGCAGGCCACATTCTTCAGAACTCTCCAAAATGCTCCTCAAATCAATTCTGGACGACTTGGGCTTGATGGTATGGTGGATTATCCTGCTGAAATGTCCCATCATTGTGATGGTACATGAAGGGCTGCAAATGGTCACCCAGCAGTGAAACATAGTGGTCCCCTGTCAACGAAATGTTTACGCAGACCAGTAATTCCAACTCATGCCATTGGAACACAGCCACACCTGTAAGGAACCACCACCAGCCTGCACAGTGCCTTGTTAACAACTGGGGTCCATGGCTTCATGGGGTCTGTGCCACATACAAACCCTACCATCAGCCCGAAACAACTGGTACCGTGACTCATCAGACCACGCCACACGCTGCCTGTCCTCTAGAGTCCTGTTAGCAACCTCACAAACCCAGGTAAGGCACTGTGTCTGGTGTTGTGGTGTTAACAAAGGCACTCTGGTGGGTCTTCTGCTCCCACATCCCACAAAACCTAAAGAACGCTGCACTGACCTGCAGGATATGTGTGTGAGGCCTCCTGTATTGAATGTGGATGTGATTTCTACCAGAGTTGCTTGTATGTTCGCATGGACAATTCCAGCTAGATGCCACCGGTCACAATAATTAAGCACCCGCGGATGGCCACTATTCCCAGCACACACGTGACACTATGGATCGAGAAATGTTGAATGCCCACATAACTTCGGAAACGGAAAGTCACATCAATCTGGCAACGACTATCATGCCTCAGTCAAATTCCGTTAATTCATGTCTCTCTCTCTCTCTCTCTCTCTCCCACACACACACACACACACACACACACACATATATATATACACGCATACACAGTACTGTGACAAAAAAACTGCCCCTTCCCCAATTTCTTCTATTTTTGCATATTTGTCTCACAAATGTTTCAGATAATCAAACTACTTTTGATATTAGACAAGATATCCCAAAATGCTGTTTTAAATGATGATTTAATTTATTGAATTTATCCTGTGTGAAAAAGTAACTGCCCCCTTAGCTACTAAATCAACCAGGTAACCAAATTTAATTGACTACTGGGTTCAATTTCACTAGACACACCAGGCATGATTTCTGCCAGACCTGTTGAACCTAAATATCACTTAAATAGAACCTGTCTAGCAACGTAAAGCAGGCAAGAAGTTCTCAAAAAGCAGTACATGATACCATGTTCTAAACAGATTCAAATGCAGATGCGAAAAAAAGTTTTTGAAATCTACCAGTCTGGAAAGGGTTACAAAGCCGTCACTAAGGCTCTGGGACTCCAGTGAACCACAGTGAGATCCATTATCCACAAAAGGAGAAAACATGGAGCAGTGGTGAACCTTCTCAGGAGTGGCCAGCCTATCAAAATTTCACCAAGAGCACATCAACGACTCATCCAGGAGGTCACAGAAGAACCCAGTTGAAGATCTAAAGAACTGCTGGCCTCACTTACCTCAGTTAATTCCACACTAAGAAAGGCACTGGGCAAAAAAGGCATCCATGGGAGAGTTAAAAGGCGCAAACCACTGCTGACCACAAAGAACACAAAGGCTTGTCTCGCATTTTCCAAAACCATCTAGATGACCAAGATTTTTGGGATAAATTTGTGGACTGATAAGTCAAAGGTGGAACACCACATTCCACCATAAGAACATCATACCAACAGTCAGACATGGTGGTGGTAGTGTGACTGTCTGGGGCTGCTTTGTTACTGCAGGACCTGGATGACTTGTCATAATTGGTAGAACCATGAATTCTACCCTCTTTCAGGAAACCCTGAATGAGAATGTCCGCCTGTCATTTGGGTTATGCAGCAGGACAATGGTCCGAAGAACTCAAGCAAATCCGTCTCTGAATGGCTCAAAAGAAGTTTTTGGAGTGGCCAAGTCAAAGTCCTGACTTGAATCCCACTGAGATGCTGTAGCAAGACCTTAAAAAGGCAATTCATGCTCAGAAACCCTTCAATGTAGCCGAACTAAAACAATTCTGCGAAGAAGAGGGGACCAAAATTCCTCCACAGCAATGTAAAAGACTGATTGCACAGTTACTACCAACAGTGGCACAATCAGTTATTAGGTTTAGGGGGCAAATACTTTTTCACATGAGGGATGTAGATTTTGAATAAATCTTTATCTTCAATAAATGCAATGATCATTTAAAACCTGCATTTTGTGTTTACTCTTGTTGTCTTTATCTTATATTAAAATTGGTTGGTTGATCCGGAACATTTAAACATGACAAATTAGCAACAATAAAATTCGGGTGAGTGCAAATACTTTTTCATATGTATGTGCAAAATGGACAAACATAGACTTTGTTGCCTTTTGTGGATTGAATTTTGAAACTTAGCACTAACAGTACTTAACCAAAACTAGTATTCCAGTGACACACATTCAGTTCCACATGTGCAAATTCACAACTAGCTGATATGAACAAGTGGGTGGAAAGTGTCTCACCGGGGTCATCCTCAGCGGTGCGTGGGCACTGAGGCTTTGGACGACTCGGCTTTGTGTGTCTGCAAACATGGCACGCAGCTCTCCTGAGTAGCAGTAGATGGCATCGATCTTTGGCCACCAGTCCAAGTGAGACTGCAAGTCAGAGGGAGACATGAAGGTAAGATTGTGACACAGGCCCAATGTCCCATCTGTTACTTAAGATCCTGTATGCATGATCAGGTGATGTCAAAAATTCAAACACCAAACTCCAGGAGAATATGCTTTTCAGAAGCAAAAATATTTCACTTTGCACCAAGCTATCCAAGTCAATCAAGTCAGTGTTAACTTAAAAAACTTAAAAAGTTGAATTTGCTGGCCTTGGATGCGTAAACCAACAGAAAACAAGAGCTGTGGTTTCTTTTCTCTGCTAATTACTGCAGTTTCAGGAAACGGCATTCATTTATAGCAAAAGTAAATAAATAAACTAGGTAGCTACCATCAGCTACTCACTGGACAACTACATTCCCATAAATCACATCACACTAGGACTACCCATAATCATCTGATTTTTGCCACAAACCAGCACTAACATAAATAAATGCAAGCAAATTTCCAATAAACCACAGTTCCTATAAAAATATGAGTTTGCTCATAATAAAGCATATATCAAACATTTTAGATTGACTTTGAACCTAGCTCAAGCAGTCAGCATTTACATCTGAAAGTTCTATAATTGTTCTAACAAATATGTTTTATATCTGATATTCTGATGGGTCACTTCCTTGGTTTTAGCCCTGTTGGTTAGCGATTAAACACCACCTAATGATGGCCATTTACTGGTCAAAAGAATTTGTTAAGAGCAGTTTTTCATCTCAGGATTCACTCACATTAGTGATGATTTTGTGCAGAGAGTTGACCAGGACGAAATGAAAGGTTGGAGGGGAGGTGGAGGCCAGACACACCTAGGAGAAAGTGGAGAGACACTTACATATTTACACACACAAAAACAACAACACTGTACTAATCATCAGCAGACAAACACGGAGCATCTCATATTGAAGCGGTAAACACTGCACAGTAGTAAACAGCAGTGAGCCTTCAGACACATTCACCCACAAAACATATGAAGTGGATATTCCACTGAGCTCTAAAAATTAAACAGACAAATGTTTCTAGCTTTCAAATGGACATTTAACCTTGACCGACCCCTACAAAGCAATGCTACACTAATATTAGTCATAACCGTGAGAGCCACGAGTGAGTAAGCCCTGGGAGAGTGAGGCTGACCTTGAAGTGCTGGTTGTTGTGTGGGTTGATGCGGAAGCAGGACACAAAGCAGTCGATCATCAGGTCCACGTCAGCACTCTGGCACCCAGTACCTCGTGAGAATGGCTTAGTGGGGTTGAACAGGAGAGCCTGAGGGACAAACACACAAAAAAAAAAAGTTGGCACTGACCCAGCTTCGCAACAATATTAAGAAAAAAAAATAACATCCACATTTCTCACAAACTTACTTTGAGATCCACTACAATGGACTGCACCAAAAGGAAGATGACAGAATGATCCTCCCAGTTAATGTATGTGGAGGCTTTGCACAGTTTGACACAGGCAATGGCTGCACTCTCTGTCAGTTGCTTGCTGCTGCCATGAACTGCTAAGGCCTTCCTCAAACTCTCCAAGAACAATTTCTGCAAAGGGACAACACATTCAGCTGACTGTGAGATGTTTTGAATTACTTCAATTTTTTCCATTTTTTAAGGTGCTACATATTATGAATAACCAAAAGAGTTTAATGTACTATGCAAACACTGTTACTGGTTAAAAATTTACCTTTCACTCCTCAGTCCATGCAGTACATGCGTGGAAACTAAGGTTCAAAAACAATCTATTTTAAATTTAACTTGGTTGTGATGTTGAAAGCACAAATCACCTATACATATCGCTGTTGGCAGAAGAAAACCTCGCATCTCCACTTTTGACATTTTTCAGCTTTTGACTTTTTTGGCCACCAGTCAATACCTGATACTCTTCATATTGTACGTAAATTTCATGATGAATGGACTAAAAGAAGAAGAAGGTCAGAAGAGATTAAACCTGCTGATGTGTCTGGAACTGAACCTCAGGAGTCAATGAGACAGAAAGAGAACTCTTACCTTGTTGGCCTTGCTGTCCTCCACCACTTCTTTGGAGATGCTCTGTGTGATTTCAGGACAGAGGATGAGGAGGATGATTTGCAGTGGCCACACAGCTGCTTTCCTCTTAGCACTCTCCGCAAAACTGTCCACTAGGTCAAACAGTTTCTCTGCGGAGTCTACGTCATGAGGACAGAGAGGAAATTAAGCCTTCACAGACTAGCTTAGGACACTTCATAAGTCTATAAGCAAAGTCCAAATGTCTGACTGTTAAATGATGCAATAATCCCAATGCAGCACTGAAAAAATCTGCAAATGAATATTCAGAACAGCGTACTGCAACTTAAAATTGTTTTGACAGTCTCTCACATTTGCTATCATTGAAACCATTACCAAAAATCAAAATTAGGCACCTAGGTGCATCTTTCCTATTTTTCTATTGTTTATAGCCTAGTTATAGCACAGTTTATTAAGTTCACTATTTTGCACAATTCAGTATTTTGCTAAATTAAAGCTCCATAGAATCAATTTTAACACATAAAATATCAAAAATCAAACTTGAGTGCTGACATAATTAGAGATGGCAAAACACCACTTTTACTCTTCAATGCTGAAATTTGTATTGGTCAATACCTATATTACATCATACACCATTCCTATGTGCTATATCTGCTGCTAAGTGCAGCTCTTTTTTGCCAGGCTTGTAGTAACCTTTGACCAGCTGCAGTAATCTTTTCGTGATTCCTTATTTGGCCTAAACAGATAAGAAACAAAATGCAACATACAAGCTCTCCACTGCCCTCTGGTGGACTACAGAGTTTAAATATGTCATGGGTCTTCAACATGAGAACGTATAACACTGAAGAGAGGCTTTACTGCCTAACCAAAGCTCAAATTTGTGATATAATTTTTAAAAATTTCATGACTATTTTGCATTTTTCTTGAAACAGATTCACTCTTTTTTCCCCTCCAATATCCGATCCAGCATTTTCTAGCAATATTGGCCCGATATGGATACTCCGTATCGGATCGGTGCTATTTGTACTCACGATGCAAACTTGTATCAAATCTTAAAATATATGTTTAATGTTACAACCCTACTGACTGACACTTCATCTTCACATTTTACTCACCAGCCATATCAGCCTGCGGTCTCTGATACAGCATAGTAAACTCATCAGGGTAGTACTCCACCCAGTTCCAAAAAGCCTAAAGATCATAAAGATGAGGACCAATTAATTTTCCATCATTTGTAGCATTATTTCATCGCCAGAAAAGTTCCTAAAAGACATACCTTTTCCAAACTATTGATGACAGCAAGCTGTGCAGGCTTCTTCAGTGCTTTAAACTTCAGTACAGTTTCTGTATGGATACAAGCATTAACACAAAAAAACACTTAAGGTGGTTTCAGAAAAAATCTTATGCACTCTTATAATGCAGCAATAAAAACATATTCTAACATGAGTTCCATTTACCTTGCAATAATCTCTTTAATTTGGAGCAGTCCACGTTGATGTACTGAATAAGCTCTATGTCATGAACATCCACTGTGTCCTCTGTGCATACTGTGAGCTCCTGTAACCTTTGGGATGTGAGAGAGGAGAGACAACTAAGTTTCAACTTTTTTGATTAATTCTTAGTTCTGTCATTTTCTGTTAAAAAAAAACACAAAAAAAACAAAGAAACAAACCAAAAACAAAAAACAACATGTACGTGAGTGGCTTCCATGAGTCGAGGTATTTTGACTGGTTGTTTGAGATCACAGGATATGTAGTGAGGCACAAACAAAGATAGTCGAAGAATACAAAGACAATCAAAAGCATTCTGCATCTGGACCTCGCCCTCCACCACACAGAAAGGGTGTGTGTGTGTTTTTTCCTGCTCCCTTCCAGGAATCATGTTGAGATTGGCTGTTTGAAAAAGACAATGACTGCTTTACCCATGAAATGGAGCAGGAGTCATGGTTTAATGAACTGTATCGCTGTGTTGGACTCTTCATATATACTGATCCCCTCGATTCTTTCATGTGGGACAAAATAAAGCATTGAAAATGTATTACATATAGCAGGATAGCTATATGTAGCACATTTTAAACGCTTTGTAAAAATATGCCTGTAAAAATTTAAATCCAGGGTACATGTAAAACATTACGTAGATACATTTAAAATGTTTGTTTTTTTAAGAATATAGGACTACACGCTGAAAGAAATCATTTATATACAGGTGTTTAAATGTAGCCATAAGCCAATTTGCTTCTGCACTAATAAAGCATGCTCTTATCGGGTGTTGTGTATGACAGCCTTCTAAGCTTCTTTAAACACATTTGACTTTAAGGTAAAAACCATGAAGAGTGGTTTGAGAATGTGATACGTAGAGTCATATTCAAAAGTCTGAATATCCCTGGTCAAATTATGTTGAAGTGAAAAAAAGGTTAACCTCTGCCGGGAAAAACAAAAATATGGCATTTTTTGCAACTTTTAGTGCCGTTTCTATGTATTCGCCGAGTTTAATGTACTGGGAAAAAAATAAAACATAAAAGGCCACATTTTATGTTGCATTTTTTCCCAATATGTTAACTTCAGCAAATAAACAGTAATTGCGCATTAAATTGTGCAGAAGTGTGTTCTCTGTAGATGATGCGCACTTACTTTCACTTAGAAACTCAACGAAACACGTAATTTACGAGAAAATGGCAAACGATGGCTGGATTTTTTTTTTTGTATTAGGTTTATTTTTGTATTTATACCCCTTAATCATTCATAATCAATTTTATTTGTTTGTGTTATTCAGTTACAGTCCACAACACTCACAAGTGCATCATTAACGTCAACAGCCTACTGAATCATTCCTTTACCTTCAATGGCACCAAAATTTCCTAGCGAAAACTCTGCTAGAGGTGTCTAAGACAGTGCACACCGCTGAAGAGGACCTCACTGTGTGGGACAGTACCTTGTGGAGATGCGGCTGAAGACGGCATTGAAGTTGTTGCAGCTGAGGGAGAAGAGCACGGCGGAGGCGGAGCTACGCAGCTGGGCCGCATGCTGCTGGCCTTCACGACACGAATGCAGGAAGTGACAGATTTCAGGGAGCAACTGCTTCACCAGCATAGCCTCATCCAGCCGTAAGCAGTCCTTGGTTTGCTGCAGAACACATACATACATTCGTTAGCATCCCAGTTACATCTTGGAAGTAGAACTGAGTAACTGAAATAACTATTTCTTCTTTTAAACTCTGTCACAGACGCACACAGAAAGCTCCAATTTCACATGAAGATACATTTAATCATGAAAAATATGATATCACCACCGTTTCCATTAGAAACGTTACATTTAATGTTACTTGAACAAACCATAGACACAGGTTGCTTGCACCACTGTGGAAGTTTAACATAATAAATATTATATATGAATCTGAAAATGACATTAAGTTAACTGATCCATGACATTAACCAAACTTTTTTTGACTGTCCTTTTCACTATTTGATATTTAAATAAAAACACGCAGGAGCAGATACTACATTTCAAAATAACCTGTAGGTGACTGAAAACCAAAGATGAAAATTAAAGCCAGAAGACCAGCAGCAAGTGAGGGGAAACTAAATTCACTGACTGAGCACCCAACACATTAATGAATCAATGCACTCACTCTGATGAAGCAAAGCCCAGAGTGCTAAATCTGTCAAAGTATTGACTGATCAATCACTATGCATGTAGTAACAATGGCAAACAATTCTGTGAGGCCACTTACATTAACAGAAAACGACGATCATTACTAAAGAAAACATTCAATACTGTCTGACTAAGTTTATTCTTGTGTAGAGTTTAATTTACAGCAAGTATCCTGTTAAACTCTGCCCCAGACAGAAAGAAATGACAAGCTGAGGAAAGTGAGCAGCTGTCTCACATCTGACAGCATATTAATGAAATATCTATACAGGAAAATCCTGCCGATCCCACTGGAAGCAAAAAAAAAAAAATGCTAACTCAAGATGAGGAAACACCTGCAAATGTAATCTTCTGCGGAGGCAAGTCTACAGGCCTCTTTTTGGACGAGCAGAGACTACAAGCTTTAATTGTATCAGCAGACCATTGTGTCCTAGACCCGAACAAGGCGAGCCAAGATTTAAGACAGACACCAAAGCATTTTCGTTCACTTTATGTTGCTTTGGATTTAAACAAATTGAAAAAACTAAACAGTGGAAATTTGTGAAAATTTGTCACTATCCCAATTCTATAAAATCTACAGCTGCATATGTGATTGAACTGTATACGACTGACTGGGTATGTGAGTGAAAATAGTCGATACTGAAACATGACTGACTGCTCACCCCTGCCAAGCACTTCTCCAGAGTGTCCAGGATGATGAGCTGGGAGAGGTAGAGGTTCTTTTCAGCAGTGTCCCCAAAAATCCGCTGGAAAAGGGAGACAAATGCACATAGAGACAGTTTCGGACAACGGTCAATCACAACAAATTCTCTTTGCAGAGCAGACATAGGCTTTCCATGAGTCAATCAAATTAAAGCAACTTCACAACTAGTAGTGGGTAATCCAAAGTGGGGGTCAAAAAGTTTAAGACCACAGTGACATTGAGATTTTTTTCATATAAAGGTGAAAATAAACGATAGAAAGTTTTAGAAATTTGAAAATGTTGAAAGAGAAATGTTATGACAAGTGAAATGAAGAAGAAATATTCAAGATTATACACTATTTATGGGTTACTATTCAAATGTAAACATATTTTGACATTTGTCCATAAGGCCTTTGCACAAAAGGTCAGTTTTTAGTCTAGCGGCTTTTTCCACAGACCTGCAGAGTCCAAGCCAGCTTGAGTTCATGCTGTCATTAAAGCAAATATTAAGACATTCATGTTAAAAGTTTAAAGATTCTATTTTTTACTTACAGTTATGCCGATGATATCGTTTGTAATAAAAACTTGTACATTAAATTAGGATAAAATACAAACAAAATCAAACATTTTCACTAATGGTCTCAGACTTTTGGAACCCACTGACTGTTAAAAGAACAAGATCTTATATCAAGCACTTTTAGTGCATTTCTATTAGCCTGTTTGTTAAAAATTGTTGACACAATTTATTGTGTTTTTATTGGTTTATTTAAAAAAAGGAAAGCTGAGCTATAAAAGGTTTGCACTGACAGTGACGATATGTAAAAACACTGGGGACTTTCTCTATGGGGAAACAGGTCATCGTCTGGCAGTTTCGCAAACCCTAAAACACATGAACTTACCATATTGTTAACATTTTTGAGGATGTTGGTCAGGCCATTGATGACGAGGGAAAACTTGTATTTCGAGATGTTGATCAGACATTCCTTGTTGTGCTCTGTGCTTACTTTGGTGTGAGTGTTCTGCTGTCCTGTCTTAATAGGGAGCTAAAAACAGAGACAAAGAGAAGAGGAAAGAGAGAGAGATTGGACAGACGTCTGAGTGATTGATGCATCTGTTGGGTTCATGTAAGGAAGCAACACAACCATATGAAACAGTTCAAGTGCATTACTCAAGGCACTGGGAGCGTCATGGTGTGTAGGCATAGGATTGAAAGAAATTGTGCTTGACACATGGAGACTTCTCAAGACCCCACCCATTCCCTCCAAGCCAAATCTCCCACACCTAAAGTGTTAAAACAAAGGAGTCAAAGCACTCCAGACTTCCGATTTCCAACCCCAGAGCGTGGCTGCACACCTGCAAGCCAGCACATCTGCTAACATACACACAAAGCATGTGTCTGGAGCCAGGCCTGCTGTAAAGCCAGTATAGAGGTGCTTACTTCAGAAAGCATGAAAGCACACTTGGCCTGCCTGTGTTAATGAACCATGAGGAGACTGTGGGGTGGTGGTGGCGGGGGGGACTTTCTTCCCACTAAACGCTCCCTGATGTGGACTCTTTTGCACTTTCTTTTGCAAAGCAATGCATTCACCTTTGTGTCAAAAGCAGTCTGTGTGTGTAGGGTTGACATTTAGCAGGACGTTTTACGCCCTTACCATACGAAACGATATGAAATAACTAAAGATGGCTCTGATCCGATATTTACCATCGGTATGGATGAGTACTAGCAGAAAATGCTAGACTGGATATCGGCGGTAGAAACGAAAGGAACAAATCTGATAATTCTCTAACAAATCTAGCCTGTCAAACAGTCGAGAATTGCACATGGCACAACATAACTTAAAAGTGAAGTAAAATAGGTCATTTGATAACAGCAGCCACTGGGGATGGAACCATAAAACATATGTTAGCTTGTGGCTAGTGTGTTAGTTTGGGGCTCACATATTAGCCTGCGGTTACAGTGTTAGATTGGGACACTGTACAGCACCACTTGTGTTCCACATGATGCACTTTTGAAACGTAGAATGCTACAATAAACAGAAAATGGAAACATTGATATAGCTCACGTTTTTAGCCTTATTTATGTTATATAGTATCAAATCGAGTTTTGTGAATTATTACACCCCTAGTACCCACATATGTGGGAGCTGCTGTGTGGAAAAACTTTTCACTAAAGCAAAAGTAAAAAAAAAGTATTTAAAGAAAAATCGTTGGACTAATATTAGCCGACGTTCAAGATTTAGGAATTGAATCAGAAAAGAAAAAGCGATTTTGTGCCTCACACCATGCTGATCGTTCCACACTTGGACAGTGAATGAACAGCTGTGGCAAAAGATGATCTAACTAACAGATAAAAGTTTGCAACATCTGGCACGCATAAGCTACTCGTTTTTCGTTTGCCTTAGCAAATTCAGAACACTCAATCTGATCCACAACAAGATACAGGCAGCTGATTCTCAAAGGGGCGCAACTATAGAAATGGCCAGTGTGTCTTTGAACATGTCAGGAAGAGAGCAGGAGAGGCCCCTGGGGTTCCCTTTCTCTCCGCGCCTCCGCTCCATAGCCCTAAGGGAAAAGCGCGTGGCTGCAAATGAAAGTCCCAAGACCAGGGAAGAGTCAGGCTTCCGGCGCACACACACACACACACACACACACACACGCGCGCGCACACACGCACACACGCACACACGCACACATACATACACAGCCCGGCCCTGCTGACATCCATTTTAATGCAGGATGCCAAGAGACAGTGAGCACTTTGTTTCCCAGGCACGGTTTAAAATTCCTTAAAGGTCACGGACCAATCATTTCCCTTATGTGCACTTTGGCAGAGTCTGCTACACTCATATGCGTGCTGTATGGATAATGCATGGGCAGAACATACAAAAGCATACAAGGCATGATGGCAGATCAAAAGTAACTTTATTTCAGAACCATTTCTGCAATACTAGTTTTGAGAATTGCCGCACGTACCAGTCATTACTTCAACCAAATGTATTTTCCTGCATGGCAGAACTCAAACACAATAGAATTTAATCAACTATGGGTCTATATTTCACACAGCATTAATGAAACCCAATCTACCAAAAAACGGGTTGTGGGTCAGACCTGGTCAAATACCCTATATTTACTGAAAAAAAGAAACAGTACATCTGCTAGAAATAAAAAGGCAGGATAAGGCAAATTGCTTAAAAAAAAAAAAGCTTGCAGCCTCCGTGACCAACAGCAAGCCAGATTTGCAAAGACTTCAAGCCAACACATAGCAAGTACATCTGTACATTAAGTGTTGGAACAAAAGTACATACTTTTAATGACTAATGCAACGGCAAAAAAGATTATGTATCTGATTAAACTATCAGGAAACAAAGATTCCCAAGCGCAACAACAACGATGGCCTTATTTTGCCATTCCCATTAAATTCTTTTCAGATTTGTTTTTAAACATACATGTTTTAGTGGATACCTATCCTGAGTAGGCCCATCTATCTTTTGTGGTATTTAAAGAATACAAATCAACCAGCTCCCATTCCTCAGCTGTCTGAGCTTTCCCCAGAAAGGATAGATTGGTTTTCCATGACCATGCACTGGCATCTGGGAGGTCATTGTTTCAAGGTGCTCTCTGCATTCATACTGCTGACATAGCAATAGGCACCGCAGAGGACTATCACTAACAAGAAAAGAGCAAAGCCACACAGAGGAAAAAATAAACTAGCACTTGGTCTATTTAGGCGTTCACCTTTTGGCAGTGAACAATGCTGGCTGGCTTCAGTGTACAACACTCTATTGCTGTGGAATGATATTTTTTCATGATGACAACACTGTGAGCCTAAATGTTATATGATAGTGACAAAAGAGTGGGTGACCAAGGGAGGCAGGGGCTTGGCCGGCCAATGAACTTACCCTAGTCAGAACAACTGTTTAAAGTCGTCTTACTTAAAGAGCTCTGAGCTGGCTTAGCAATAAACACAGACCAAATCCCTCATTACACTTTCATCAAACTGTTATGAGCCTCGGCCAGGCACTAAGCCCCTACACAAGCACCAAGAGCCGGAGAACGGCCACTAAAACCAGGGCTTTCCACTAGCTGGTGGCGCTGGGTAAGTAGACTTGACAGCTGCTGGAATTAATGTAAGTTAAGCTAAAGTCAAGCTGGCCTCAAATGCAAAAGCGAATAAACAGTGCAGCAGAAAGCTGGCCTTTTCATTGACAAAGTTTCTTTCCGAGTTGCAAACGTCTTTAAACAAGTCGTATAAAGGCAGTAACGTGAGCGCTACGCAAGTCTTCAGATCAGATCTGATCAGATCAGTAAGAATCAGATCTTAGCTCAATGAGCACAAGTTAGAGACCTTAGCATTTTTTCATCAAAAAGGCACTAACAACTCAAACACAGAGCCCATCCACTTCCAAATCTTGTGAGCTACACCCAGCCATCATTTCCAAATATTCAGCGCTACATTTAGCGATCAGTACCCCGCAGATATGCACAGCGAGCCGCCAGATTCACCCAGAGCTGCACGGCAACTCTAAGCTAACGTTAGTCTTGTCAACAAAACAGTGCGTGGCCACCAAAACAGCTCGGTGACCGCCTTTTGTTTATATGCAGTCAACCTCCAGGAGAGCTCCGCTCCCCTCAGGCTTCAAACAGCGAATAAACTGTGAACGTAGCCGAGCAGCGCTCCTCAAAGTTGCCTGCTCCTCAGGACTGACTAAGGTTAACGTTTACGGGCGAGAAGCTAAAGCGACAGCGGCTAGCAACCACGACGCTTAGCTTCCTAAACAAGGCGGGCGAGAGCAGCTCATCACCGCCGAGCGGCTTCTTTTCACCCCTCTGAAGCAGCAACAGAGCCGCGGTGGCTCGGGGCTCCTGACTGTGAACACCGCCTTTGCCTTTGGCCATTTCTCCTCAACATCTCCACCAGCAGCAGCTCCATCATCCTCCTCCTTCTCCCTCAGTCTTTCTTACCTGCTCGTCGAATCTGTTAATCACGGCCTGGACCCACTCCACTGGTTTGTGCGCCGCCATGGTCAGGCGGATTTGGACCGTGGCTCTCTCTCCGCCCCTGGGCTCCAACCGGCCTCGTTTACCGCGCGAAACACCCCGCAAGCGCTCCCCAGTCTTGCAGGAGGAGAAGAGAGAGGGAGCGGGGTTCAGTTTTTCACTTCAAGCATAGTCCACAGCGCCGCCATGACACACCACCGGAAGTTTGAGTCCTTCTCTCCAGTCTGGCGCTGCGCTTGCGCGGCTCTGCTGCTGCTGGAGAGACATGGAGCTCAGAGAAGCGGGAGGCTGCAGACACCTGCTCATCAAACAACGCTGTTTTTTTTCTCAGGAGTGTTAATATTGAGGTTGTCTTTGCTGCAGTAACAGCCTCTACTCTTTTGGGAAGGCTTTACACTAGATGGTGGAACATTGCTGTGTAGATTTGATTGCATTCACTCACAAGAGCATTAGTGAGTTCAGGTGCTGATGTTGGATGATTAGTTCTGCATCCCCGAGATATCTGATGGAGCTCCATCACTCCAGAGAACGCAGATCCTCTGCTCCACAACCCAAGGCTTTATACTCCTCTAGCTGACACTTGGCATTGGGCATGGTGACCTTAGGGTCACGTGCTGCTGCTCCAGAGAGTCCCATTCTCTTGGTCAGTGTTTTTTCTATGGAGAGTATACAAATTGTTTGTGCACAGCTGAACACTTGCGTCAGCAATGGGTGCACCTTAAAAGAGGAACTCTTTTTTAAATTTCTACATAATCAAATGGTTAAGATGTAAACATGGTCATTTAGAGTGGTTGACCAAGTCAGAGTGGTGGTGATAGGAACGTCAGTAAGTTGTAGCTGACAGATCTCTGAATTGCTAACTGCAAAGCTAACCTTACTGCTGTTTGGTCTGAAACATTTTACAATTGTATTATATTTTACAATATTGTGAGGAATATTGTGTACTCAAGCTTTAGCAGAGCTCAGTAACACTGGGCCTCATTCACTAATAACTTCCTAATTTTTTTCTTAAATTTGTTCTTGAGAAAGGTGCTAAGAAAAAGTCTATGACAAATTCCTGATGTGTTCTTTAAGAGCAGAATTGTTCACACTTTTGTGCTCTTGAGTGTCTGTAGATTCTGTTCTTACCTAAGAACAAATCTCAAATAAGAAATCACTGGTGAATGTTAGAATCTTCATAAAACTGCATAAGTGGGTTTTAAGAAGAGATTTTCTTCTTAAGAACAGTTGGTGAGTGAGGCCCACTGAGATTTATCAGTCAATGTTTGTAAAGAAGCTGTTTATAGAGGTCAGAATTAGACTTACCAAAAATGTAAAAAGTAACTGTATTCTGAATACTGCCTTTACAAAATGTAACTTGGACTAAATACAGATACTTAATTTCTTATTCTGAATATGTATTCCCAATACTTACATTCCCGCTATATCCCAATCCTGTGCATAATTAATAAAATAGTTAAATTTGTGTTGCAGACATCCTGACCCCTGGTTTCCATCATCACCATGTTAAAGATATCTAAGTCAACGAGTTTCTTTACAATTAACCATTTCACATCAGACTACTCTAAATGAATTTGTTTACATGTTAACGATTGAATTATGACAAATTTTGAAACAATCAATGGAATTCTCCTTTAAAATAGCTGAATTAAAGGTGTCTGTGCACTTCTGGACAAGTAGTGCACCTACAGGACCCGAATTTATATTTGTCTTGGAAGTTAAGGGCTTTTGGAAGCTGTGTAGGATGACTGTACATCGTAAATCAGTCACAGGATCTTTTGTTTTTCCATCAGCACTCCTACACAGTGTTCATTGGCCCTGGAGTAAATGAAGGGAGTGCAAAGCTGGGATCAGTGTTTCCACATCCAACCCAGACCATCCTTACGTTAAACAACCTAAATGTGAAAAATAAAGCAGGAAACCATCAACTATGACTGATTTGTCCAGTAGAACTTTGAATATACAAAAGAGTATGGTAAGCTTATGTGTTTGAGATTTAAAGGGGAATTTCACTGATTTTTCAGAATTTCTGCATAAAATAGTTAAGATGTAAACAAAGTAGTTCAGAATGGCTTGATGTAAAAGGTGTCATTGCAGAGCAACTTACAGAGTCAGCATTGTTCACGGTGGTGGTGATAAGATGCCTTTAACCCCTATGAAAGCTTCATCACAGGTAGTTATTACATGAAATGGTCATAAGGATTTCTGAGACATGTGATAGTTTTGTGATTAGGTTTTGGCCTGAAATGTAGTTGTAAAATCCATTCATGGAGGAGAGGTTTGTGTAGGGTACTGTAAGGCAAAACTGTACCCAAAGAAAACTTTTTTCCAGATCATTACTTAACAGTTACCAACATCACGCAAGACTTACAGAAGACATGTTATTCACTAGTCATTTTAGATGCCAAATAAAATGGCTATTCTTGTGTAAACATCACAACCTATGGTTCCTATTACCACCAAGGTAAAGAAGCCCAAATCTGTTCATTTCTTTAAAATGCACATTTTACATTAGTTTTGTGATCATTAGGCCATTAAATGCACTTTACTAAAGTGCTGTCCAGCCTCTGCACTCAAAAGAAGCTGTAGGCAACACATCTGCAGCTCTCTAGCCCAAAACAAACAGTCCTAAAAGAAGAATTTGAAAAAAAAAAATCTCCAGACTTTTACTGTGAGCATATTTGACGTTAGCTAAATAGAAATGAACACATTTGCTTGAGTACTTTTTTGCTCGTAAAAAAGGAAAATGCTAAAAAAAAATCTTTTGACCCATCGTTGCAAATTTCATGTGTAGCAGTGTAAAGCAATCGTATAACAATTGAAATTGAATTTTTGATCCTTTAACTTGAAATTGCAGTGCTTTTAATTGCCAAATAGCAATAGCAGATGAATAGGCAGGAAAAACATACAGTATTGTATGCATGTGCATCATTTCACAGTACTGAACATGAACATCACTGATCACAGTAGCAACGTCATAATTTTGGTTTAAACCCACAAGCAGGAAATTCTAAAACACCCAGTTTATGTGTTTGAGAAAGCTGTGCGAACTTAGGAAATAAAATGACAGGATCCAAATCCGATAACAAAAAGCGATTAATTTACTACAGGTATGGCCTCTTGTTTACCTTATTGTTTAAGGCTGGTGCCCTGTAAGTGTCTCATATCCTTTCTAAATGTAGTGAGTCAGATGATGCAAAGTCTTTATTTGAATGTTTTTCAGTGTACAAGAATGTCCTTTAATTTGGAGTTTGCACTTGTTTCTGTAATGCCATATTACAAAAGAATAATAAAAAAAATGGATATAATCTTATATAACAGAACATATCGCTGTTGTTGGAAGAAAACCTTGTATCTCCAAAATGATAACTTTACAAGAGAAGGAAAAAACCTACTTTTAATTTAAGTCAGTGGAACCAGACTTTTTTCCAAGTCATTTTTTAGCTGTTTCTTTTGGTCCATTCATCATGAAATATGTACACAATGTAAAGGGCAAAAGGCATTTTTAAAATATTGCAAAAACTGAAGAACGACAAAAAAATGGAGATACAAGGTTTTCTTCCGACAGCAGCGAAATACATATGTTGACTATACCTAACCCCTTGCATCCAAGGCTTATTATTCAGTTATTAATCTTAAGGTTTATTATTATAACACCAATGACTCTTTTGATTTCTTCTGTAACTACTGTGAAAATAGGTTATGTAGTTATGAGAGTGAACTGAAGTGTGGGCCCACAGACGGACCCTTGAAGATTAAAGTGTTACAAATGTAGAATTAAAAATATTATTTTAATATAACAACAGAAGACATACAGATGTTGATTTTATTGTACTTAATCCCAATCGCTCTGGGGATTTTATTCAGTTATTAATCTTAAAACTTACCATTCAGTAACTGCTGTGAAATTTAGTAGGTTATGTAGTTAAGAGCACTCCCTTATTTACCTAATCTACAGAGTTTCGCAGCAGTGGAATAAAGTAGACTAACAAAGAAGACAGGAGATGTTTCCATTGTTCCCTTTTTGAATAGATATATACTCCCCCTTCAGGCGAATGCAGATATAGCAGAAGAGCAGAACAATTATAGGCCCCATTTCATTACAGTTATCGAAATTGACTCATCAGCTTCTCCTGGGCAAGTAAGGAGGGTAAAGGCTAGTAGGAAGCAGATTTTTCAGTAAGAAAAGTATGATGTACCCTGTTGAGGCAATCTGCAAAAGTTTCTTCAAAATAATGTGAAGAAAGTACACAAGAGCATTTTTAGATAAAGTTTAAAAAGTTCGCAGAGTAAGGCTGAACCCAATTTGAATGTAGCAAATCAAATGTTATATTGTTATATTTACTTCTGAGGTTTACACAGTGTTCAGTCCTTCTGCCCTTCAAGGGGTCATCGAATTTAAGCTGATAAAATAATGTTACAGAGGTTTCGCCCAAAAGCAAATCAACAAGGCCATGGTAAATACTATAATGAACAGAGGCCTAAAACACATTGCAACTGAATACAGCTGTTCTACTGTCCGTGGCATAATACAATTTATAGGACTACATAACGTCAATACAGAACATTGATATGTATGATATAAAAATCAACCTTATTTGGTAGCATTCTAACATATTGCAGTTAAAAAAAGTCAAATGAAGTAATTAGAATACAAACAATATTATTTTAATGATTACATTTGAATATAAGGAAGATTAAATGTAAGCATGAGAAAAGGAATGAAATCAAATCAAAGGCCAGGCTCAAAGACAAATGTCAGATAACAGATTGCTTGTACAGCCATCTACGCTAGGCAACATTGTCAAACAATAAGGCTATACTAAATGCATGGCTTACATGTAAAATGTGATGAACTGGGACCTGAAAAGGTTGTACAGGAAGTTCCACACACAAAAAAAAAATAACTAAGCCACTACAGAGGTCAAGCTCAGGTCACCAGAAATTTCCAGAATATCAATCTCGTTCAGCTTGTTGAAGCGGTGGTTGTATGTATGCACTTGCGTGCCATTGACAAACACATTGTAATGGTGGGGATTGCAAGAGATGACCACCTGAAATACACATGCAGGTATGAGACAAATAATATTAGTTCTCATTAGTCTTTACTTAAAATGTCTGAACTAAAGGGAATGTTCTGTTTTTATCAGCCACTTAGATTTTGCTTTAAACAAAGTAAAAAATTACAAAAACACTAAAAGCTCAGTTTTCAAACCACTGTTCGTACCTGAAAGGTTTGTCCCTTGGTAAACGGCATGCCTCCGTGGCGCTCCTCTGGGCCCCACACATCACCCGTTAGGGTGTTACGCACTACAAGATTCTCATCAAAGCGAGGGTTATAGTGTAAGGCAATGCCACCTTTGTGACGCAGGTTAAAACTGAACCTGTGGATACAAACAGTAAAACAGAGAAAGATTTTTGCAGATCATTTTCAGACGCAAAACAACAGTTTGTAACATTAGTAAATCCCAAGGATTGTCTAAAAATGGCCCAACTGACATTTTGGCCAGCAGGTGGTGCTAGTGAGTAATTATTGAGTCTCACAATCACAAAAGTGTCACACCCCCAAAACACTCTGTTTTCCCACCTTGTTTGCTGAAGTTGTTTTTTGTGACATTTTGTCTGTTTTAAATTGGTTTAGTTGGTTTCACTCTGCACTCTGCTGAAATGCACAAAATAATCAAATTATGTTTGTGTTCTTTGGCTTATTTGATTTGTCAGAAGTATGGGATACAACCACTCTTTTACTTTTACAGTTGCCTCCATTAAATGACCATTTTTTAAAACTTTTACTAGCCGATCATAGCACTGCTGAAAAAAAACATCATAGACCAGCATGAATTCCACTGACCAGAGTACCAGCATCCAAAACACAACCAGCAAAACCAACCAACAAAAAACAGACCTATCCCTACTTATATTCGTGATAAAATGTATTATCATGCCCATTATTTTCCATGACAATAAAGGTACTACTTCTTTGTGACTGATTTGTTTACAACCCTGTTTTCAAAAAAGTTGGAAAGCTGTGCAAAATATAAATAAAAACAAAATGCAATAATGTGCAAATCATCTAAACCCTATATTTAAATATTGAATTTGATGCCAGCAACACGTTTCAAAAAAGTGGGTCAGCGTTCATGTTTAGCACTGTGTTGCAACACTTCTTCTTTTAACAGCTGTCTGTAAGCGTTAGGGAACTGAGGAGACCGACTGCTGTAGTTTTGAAAGTAAAATGTTTACCATTATTGCTTGATACAGGATTTCAGCTGCTCAACAGTTCATTGTCTCCTTTGTTGTATATTTAATTTTATAGTGCGGCAAATGTTTTCCATAGGTGACAGTTCTGGACTGCAAGCAGGCCGGTTTAGCACTGAGTACCACAGAGATTGGATACTTGTCAATGTTACTGGTATTTATTCTAAATTAGTGTTTTTTTCTGAGGAAATAATTACTGATCAAACAGCTTTTTAATTCTCAGGTCCTTAAACCTTTTGTAGTACTGCATGTGAAGCTCTTTTGTTTCACATGCTGTTCACAGATCGCCACACGTAAGAAACAAGCTGATATATCAGAGCATCACACACTAGAATATAAGTGTTGTGCTGCAATAATCGGATTGTTGTTCTATCTGATTGGAGAAAAAACATTAAAACATGTTGAGTGTAACTTACTTAAAAATACATTAGCAAAGATACAGTTACACCTCGATCTCACCATGCACAGGATACTGCGACATCAGAAACGTTTGGTGCTGTTTGATCATCGCAGGACACAGCCTGACTGCTTTCTCTTTCTCTTTCTGTCTGACTGCCTTTGATTGTGTTTGTCTTTCTTTAACTGTGAAAGAGAGTTATTTAGATGTGAAATAAAGTAAAACTAAAATAAAAAAAAACAAAACTGGATAAATTACTGATGTTGATGATGTTAATGTTGGAAAGGTCCTATATGGTATCAGGGAATTTATACAGTTTGGAGGCTGTGAGAAAGGCTGTCCACTAAGGGACTGTGCTTAGCATGAACATAGCACTTCATGCTGATTTTCCCAAAGGTTTTACTGAAGGCAAGACAACACATTATTTTCAGTCTAATGAATGCAACAATGCTCTCTATTGCCTGCACAATACAGTAGTATATGCTCACCCTGATAGATACTCAGGTTCATGATCTTGAATTCTGTAGGTATAACAACTGACCTGTGAGCCTGAGAGTTAACCACTCCTTGGATGGAAATGTTTTTGCCAGGCCATAATCCACTGTTGATGATACTTTTGTAAGGAACACTCTATTGATAAAGCACAAAGCTTTTATTATTAGTGGTTATCATGAGCTTCTCATTTTAGCATAAAACAGAATGTGAAGTGGTCAGACGTTCTTACATAGACAGTTGCAGGGGGAAATCCAGGTGCCTGCGGTGAACAACAAAGCTAGATCATTTCTCTTAAAATAACATGTGCTTGTGCAGATGAGAGAAACAGGAAGCTGCTGGTTGTGGCCCAGGTTGCCGTCATCACCTTAGAGGCATGTGATCCAACGTAGCAGTTTATGATAGGAAGTAAATCATTACCTAGCATGCTTTGATCTCATGAATGCTATATTTCTCTAACTGTCTACGCTGGTGAAAAATCCCCTCACAGTAATAGCTGCAGCCCTTGGAATAAAGATAAACCAATACTGCAGCCCTACAAATATTGCAACCACATTCTGGTAGCTGATTCTGTAGAAGGCAGCTTTTAGACCACTCCACTGTTATCTTTTAGCTTTCCGAACACTCTCTTTCAGTACAAAGAAAAATATAAAGGACTATAGAGTAAACACTCTGTGACAAAAAAAAAATCTTGAAAAAAATTTGGATTATCATGTATTATGGGGAACACTGCAAAAACTTGTACCGAAGTATTTTTGATTACTATATTTCTAACTGAGCATTTGTTTCCGATTTTATGCAGGAGAAATTGTCACAGAACTTAGGATTTATAAGCTTAAATGAGAGGTTACTTACAGCACTTCCCACAGGATAAGCATACTGTGCCTAAAGATAAAACAGGAGATATAAGATGGAAAATATCATTATAACACAGCAGCTTGAAGTACTGTGGCTATTAAAGTATAATTAAATTACAGGATCTTTCAGAATTTTTGAAACATTTTTGTTTCAGCTTCTCTGAAGAAAATCATATTCAAACATTTTTGAAAATGCCTACTAACACATACCTGGAATGCTGGCCCGGCAGGCATAACACCCTGCACAAAACAAAGAAAAAGCAAAAGAAAAATCTGATCACCATTTCCATTAATGAGATCCCCTTTTAAATATTTTAACATCAACATCTCCCACAATAATCCCTTAAAAGATGACTTTGAGACTACTTTTTAAAATTTCTTCTACACATAAATTTAAACCTTAATTCTAAATGTGAAATGCTAATAAAAACAGAAAGCGATTAGTAAATTGTTTGACCTGTATTCAATTAAAACTATTACTATATTTATTACACTATACTATATTTACTATACTATACAATATTTATTATTTTTCCTTATGAACTTTTTGTGAATGCACGCTCATTCCAAATTTGACGCCTGCAAAACATTCCAAAAACGTTTACACAGGAGGTTGTTTACCACTCTGTTATATCACTTTTCCTTTTAATAATAATAATAGTTTGGAGACTGATGACATCAATTGATCCAGTTTTGAAAGTAGATTTTTTTCCATTCTTCCATTATATGTATGTAAGTCTTCATCTGTGCAGCTGTACGTGGCTTTTCTTGACACGTTTTGTGCTTCATAATGTGCCAGACATTTTCAACATGAATTAGGCCTGCACTGCAGGCAGGCCAGTCCAGCACACGCACAGTCTGTTTACATAGCCTTGGTGCTGTAACGTGCAGAATGTTGCTTGCTGTTATTATTTTGAAACAAGCATGAATATCCCTGAACATCATCTAGAAGGCAGTATATGTTGCTCCATAAAATATGCCTTCACAGATGTGCAAGCTGCCAATACAAACCTCAGTTCCAAAAAAGTAATACAGAGCAGTGATTCGTAAATCTACTTTGACTTGTATTAAACAAAAACAGTACAAATAAAAGATATCTAATGTTTTACTTACCTTATTATCTTCATAGTTTTTTGTAAACATATGCTTATTTTGAAATTGATAAATTAGAATTAGAACATGTGCAGTGAGAGGGCAGTAAATACTTACTGGATAAGATGGCTGAGAGAAGTAGGGCTGCAACAGGAGAAAAATGTACTTCTGTTATTTCCTCAATCATTTGACTACGACATAAGAGTATTTCACCCATAATGAATAATGAGTCATAATGTTAGTGCGAGCTGGTTATGTGTAAAGGTAAGAGGTGTAATATGTTCAAGGTCGTTCTCACCGCAGGGTTTTGGAAAGCGATGGAATTAACCTCCACCATTCCATCCACCACGATTGTGTCCACCATGTGGAATGGGATACGATGATTATACTCCATGATATGGCTCCCATTGACACTTATCTATGAAAGACATTCTGTCAGATTAGGATCCTGCACCGCACATTTATTATAAATTCTGCATACATATCCAGGACCTGAACTGAATTCAAAGACTGAATGGCCCCAGCTAATGACAGAAACAGGATCCTACAGATATTTTTCTCTTTATCTGGCTTTATAGAAGCTTCAAGCCTGACTCATTGCAAAGGTGCCTGACTCATGCAAAGGAAGTACAGAAATATGCAGTGGTCTACTAGGGCCCATTCCCACAAACAAAGAAGTCACATGAATTAACAAAACCAGTTCCTGCTTTGTTCCTGGACAAAAGAATAAAGTGAAACTGACCTTGTATGAGGCCTGGCTGACCAGTATCTGCAGGGTGAAAGGGCTACCCGCGGGGAACAGAGCCTGATATTTACGTTCCTCTGTGCCCCAGTGAGAATACTGGTAGGTGTTCGTCACTATATACCCAGGCCCACTATCATAGCGGGGGTTAAAGTGCAAGGCAATATCGGCTGCATGACTGGAACCACACTGGAGATTCACATGGAACCTGGTGGGAGGATGAGGTTAAGGGAAGTAAGAGTTGTCACATGGCCTGCAGTATGCGATAGTTTGTCATCAGTTATTTCTGTCAAATTTGTCCATAAACTGGTTTCTATATTTTATTTCACATCTGTAATTAATTTAAATACCACATACATTTTCTATCATTTCTTCTACATTTGTTTCTGGTTACCCCCTTCTACCATAGTCTTATATTCAGTTATTGATCTAAAGACTTAAGTAACAACAACAAACTATGAAGGTAACCCATGAAATAGACTTTCAACAGGCACAAAATAAATATGGTTTCAAATGGCTGCAGTACTGAGTGCATAGAGAAAGTGAAACCAATCAAAATTGTGAGGTTACACGTCTAAGGAAAAAAACATGACTACACACGTATGAGAAGATGCAAGTCTGAACCTGAGGCCCCTGTAGAATAACGCTAGGTGGCCACCTCAGATGGCAGCCACCTGAAACCCGTTATTCCTCACTGAACGCCCCGACAGGAACACAGAGAGACAGTCTGTCTCATCCCCCTTCTTCACTGAACTAGCATTATAAATGTAACCACAAAGACACGGACAGCAGCAATGATGGCAACAATGCTCAAATAGGTCAAAAGCCTGCAAAGGAGAGCTATTTTCAAAAACAATAAGATGTAAACATTCAGAGTGATTTGGTGTGAAATGCTTCATTGTAGAGAAACCTATCAACTTTTCTTCACAGTGGTGGTGACAGGAAGCAGGGGTTGTGCTGTGTAGAGCGCAAATTTTATTTACTATCCAAAACCACCAGTGAAACTACACGTGTCCTTTTTTATGTTTCTATATGTAATGTTGGTATGGGTAGAATAGTACTAATTCTGAAAAGAATTAGGTGACTTTGGGTACTACTTTGCCTTACCAAGGCCTGTGTGTACCCTTCCACCTTAAATGTATTTTAAGAAAGCACAGTCCAAGATCTTTTCACAAAACTGTTGTGAAAGAATGTCTCAGGCATCAGACAGTGTTCTTGTAACCATCTTTTGTAAGAATTTTGTGGTGAAATTGCTTTTAGAGGCGGTTAGAGGCATTCAGATGTCCGGTTCCTATCACCACCACTGTGAACAATTCTCAGGAAGCTTCTCTAGAATAGCACACTTTATATTAAAGCCGCTCTGAATAACTTTAATGATTCTATTTTTAACACATGAAAAAATCCCTTTTTAGCAAATAAGCTTAATAAAAAACAAACACCCCTTTCTCTGACTGCTAAGTGTGGAATATTAAGTCAGTCAGTATAGGGAGGTGGACCTCTGGGACACTAATATCTGGGTTCGAATTTTTCCGCTGCTCTTTACAGACTTCAGTCTATTGCCCTTTTGCCCTGGTGTTTTCCCACATGTCAAAGTTAGATTTTTAGCCTCAAACATCCAGTTAAAAAAAAACTAATTTCAAGACACTTTAACATTTTTTTTATCATTAACCACTGTTAACCGCGTGCAGCTCAAATTACAGAGAACAATTCCTGGAATTCCTGACCCCTTCCAGCTTTTCCGACTGTCTGGGAGAACGCAATAGCCGAGAAAAGAGGCTCGCCAGTCCCTGCTCTTTGCCTTACCTGTTGGCTCCTGGCAAAACCCGTCCACTTATGATAACACTCTTGCCCTCCTGCAAGCCTCCTTGGATAGACCCAGTGAAAGGAACTCTCTGAAAAAAATGGCAGAGTTATAACGCAAGTAATGTTAGAGAATGAGAAGATAAAGAAGCGCAAACAAGGACATTAGATAGCAAGTTCCTCATTATTACAGTTTTACTTACTTTTCGAAGCGTTTTCGTGCCTAAATGGTGACAAAGTATAGCTACAAAACTGTGTAAAGAGTATCATTCGTAGAAAAGGAATATGAGGGAGAAAAAACTAACCCCATGATTTTTTCCCCATATTTCCAGCCAGATGTTTTGCAAACAACTCACACATCATCAAAGTGACTGAGCTTTAATAAAACGTAAGCTGTGTGTCATCAAACTGACCATTAACTGACCGATAGTCAGTTTAAAAGCCTGATAATTAATTAAAAGCCTGATTGCTAATGTTATAAAATCATTAAGCTCTTTCCAGAACAAATATGCAGCTCGCACACATATAAACGCTATAAGGATAGTAGCTATGAAGACGAATTGTCAACAATTAAGAGACTTACGGGATTGTAGAAGGGCTGTTGCTGCTGGTGGTATGCCATCTTTCCGCTCTCTCTATCTCTTCAGCAGAAAAGAAAGAATAGCTGCTTGTGTTTCCGTTTGTTCCGTTTCGTGTGCGAGGTCTGCACAACACACATCAGTTCAGAGTCCGCTTTGTGCGCCGCTATTACAGACTTAGCGGTAACTCTCAGATAGCGGGAAATCAAGGCTGCGCAGGCCTGGACTTCAGGCAGGCCAGGCCAACACACGCACAGTCTGATTACACAGCCATGGTGCTGTAACGTGCAGAATGTTGCTTGGCGTTATTATTTTGAAATAAGCATGAACGTCCCTGAACATCGTCTAGAAGGCAGCATATGTTGCTCCATGATATATGTCTTCACAGAGCTGCAAGTTGCCCATACCATGACGGACCCAAGCTTCTGAACTTTATGCTGGTAAATATCTGAATGATCCTTTTCTTCTTTGGCCCCATCGTTGATCTTCTTTTCGCCAATTACGCACAGAGATTATTCCAGATTCCCTGAATATTTTGATGATGCACCATAGAGGGTAAAATTCCAAAAGTTCCTGCAGTCATTCACTGAGGAACACTTCTCAAACAGTTGGAATATATAAGTGATGAGTCCACCCATGCTTGCTCATAAAGGACCAGGCCTTTCCTTGATGCTTCATTATACCCAAGCATGATTGCCTCATTGTTTAAGATATGGATCTTTGCGTGCCTGGTGACGGGCGGAAGTGGCGGCTCTTGTGGCAGCAGGAAGCCGCCACTGAGCAGCCACTTCACGGCCACTTTTATTAGCAGCCGCCACTTCACCACCACCGCTCTGTCACTTTTAAATTTACATTTACATTTCAAATAAATTGCAGTCATCTCCAAAATACATTCCAAACACAAAAAAATGCATTTCAGGATATAATGCCAAGTTAATAATATTAGTAAATATGTTTAGAAATATACAGAAAAATACCTGTACGTAAATGTATTTATGAAGTACATTTGAAAATGTATAAGAATTGCCAAAATACTTTGTCTAATGCACTTTATTGTTTGGAAACATTTTGAAATGAATTTGTATCTTTTGGACTAGAGTCCAAGTTTTTTGTATTTCCTTTCCTACTTTCTTTCTTCTTTTGCTGTAATTGTTTTGGTAATGCTTTGGTAATTAATTTAGTAATTAATTTGGTTAATATTTAAGGATTTAAGGTTTCTCTTTCTGATAAAGAGAAAATATGAGGGACTTTTCATATGAAGTTGTGACAGGTCCAGCAGACCTTTGATTGCATTTAATACAAATGAAAACTAAATTCATCATTGGTGAATGATGAAGTTAAACTAAATTAAACTAAAAAAAATGAGTGTTAAGAAACACAAAATTCTCAGTTTTCATTTTGGTGCATCAGCTCAAGTGTGTACCTCTGTGTAACTGGCACCCCACTGCTTACGCCTTACTGATGTAATGTGCTAAGTGCAGATAAATTCTCAAGGCCCTGAGAAACAAAGTGATCCTGGATTTCTGCCACACAGAGCTGCAACTTGAACATAGCTCTAACCTTTTCAACTACATGAATCAACTTTCAGCAGATAAGAACAGATATAATACATATAAAATTGTACAATTTGTTTTAAATCTTTTAAAATAGACTATCATACAAGCTGAAATGTTCACAATATGATGAAACGTACTTGAGATCAAGTAAATGTAGAGGATTAACAGTTAAATCAGTATGTATACTTTTTTTAAGGATCACTAGGTTTGATTCACGTTGGTCAGCAATTAATGTAAGTATAATGTATTATTTCATTATTGATATTTATTTTAGGCTACATCATCTAATAAAATAACAATATCTATGAATGTAATGTAAGCTATCACATTATGTACATACATTTTAATGTATGTATAGTTCATGTTCAAAACTAAAACATAGGTTAGCCTTAAATGGGCTTTGATTATCACTTTACATTGATTCAGCACTTCAGAGACAGAGCCATAGGCTGTGGGACAGCCATAGACTGTGCACACATGTGTGCTTCCTGACTCACTCTTTGTGTTGAAAGTGTGCATTAACCATGTGCAACATTGACCATGTTGATGAATGTTTTTAGTTAACAAAAAAATGACATCAGTGAGTTTTAAAAGTAATTTTAATTTATGTGTAATTAAATTTATTCAGAAAATGAGGTAAAATGAACCAATGCTCAAATTGACAGATTTTGTCATGATTTTTTTCATCTCCTGATAGAACATCCTGCTTTTGTGACTCCCATGAATCACAAAACCCAAATAAATATTTTTAGTAATATGTCCCATGACTTTATATGTTGCATAGACATCTGTATTGAGCTTATTTTATTTAATGGACATGAACCGGTCGATGATGAAAATTCTATTTTAGTGGAAAACCATGGTGATGAGATTATAGCAGTGAACGGCGATGATGAGAATGATGCTGTCAAATCAATAAAAACTGTGACTGTGAGCTGACACCGAATACCAAAATTGACAAGGTCAAATTCAACCCTATAGTAAGAAGTCAGTCATGATTCCTACTAGCTATATCAACCGACTTCTCTAAGCAAGTGCTTTTGATTCAGTATAATTCTTGTATGGTTAGTCAGTTAGTTAGTCAGTCAGTTAGTTAGTTAGTCAGTTAGTCAGTTAGTTAGTCAGTTAGTTAGTTAGTTAGTCAGTTAGTTAGTCAGCTAGTCAGTTAGTTAGTCAGTTAGTCAGTCAGTTAGTTAGTCAGTTAGTCAGTTAGTTAGTTAGTTAGTTAGTCAGTTAGTCAATTAGTTAGTCAGTTAGTCAGTCAGTTAGTCAGTTAGTTAGTTAGTCAGTTAGTCAGTTAGTTAGTTAGTCAGTTAGTTAGTTAGTTAGTCAGTTAGTTAGTCAGCTAGTTAGTCGGTCAGTCAGTTAGTTAGTCAGTCAGTTAGTTAGTCAGTTAGTCAGTTAGTTAGTCAGTCAGTTAGTTAGTCAGTCAGTTAGTTAGTCAATTAGTTAGTTAGTAGCATGCAAGCAAAATAGATCAAAACAATGACGTGAATGTCTACTCTCTTCCAAGACTAAGTCCTTTAAGTAAGTAAAATTAAATGTATTTTTGTATTTTCTACATTTTTCCACACAGTCCCTATCATCAGGAGATCGCGAGTTGGATCCCTGGTGATGCCACAGCCATCCGTAGCCGGGTGTCCAAGAGAGCCTCGGTCTCTCTGAGTGGGTAGGATGGCACCCCCCCCCCACCTCTCCCCCCATCACTCAACGTGATGCTACACAACGCAGGCGTCTGTTTGCTGACGTAACAGATCTGGCGGTTGGCGCTTTCCTCCGAGCGCGTTCAGCTGTCCAATGACGTTGCGTGAGCGGCAGTTCGAAAAGAAGCGGTGGCTGGCTTCACAGGTCTCGGAGGAAGCCTGTGTTAGCACTCGCCCTCCTAGCGTTGATAGTATCGTGTGACTGGGGGAGTCGGGTAGAATTGCACATGACTAAATTGGGGAGAAAATTGGGTAAAAAAATTAATAAAAAAAAACAAAACGTGAATCTGTTCATCAATCATTGTAATAGTCTGCGTGATTCAAATGGTGCAGAAACGCCCCAGCAGTGATCTTTTAAACAATAATGCTAAGAGGTCTAACATCATTTCTTTCTCAAACTGTATAATTAGCACCCTAAATCAGTTAGTCTGTATACTGGATCAATGTCTGATTACAAAATACTCTAAATGAACACAATACATGCACAACTCTGAATCCAATTTTATTAGATGCAGTGAATCTGCTTAATGACAGTCTGTCATTACCTCACGAACACAGTTCAAACTTTGAATCTGTAGCATCTCCTAACAGTGCCTTAAAAATTACACCAGAAACCCCACATGATGTTTTATGTCAACTAAACTAAAGTCTGTCAAGGTTACAAAACAGAGTTTGTCAGTACCTCATTAACACGACTCTAATACAGAGTCAGTACCACAGCCTCACAATATTTTTTATTTGAACTAAACCAAAGTGTTTTGAGATTAAACCAAGTCTGGTAAACTTGTGTCAGGACTCAGCCAGTCCACTTCATGATGATGAGATGATGAACTTTTATGTCTGATAATTAATCTCGTAACCCCCTTCACCTAATGCTGAAAGAGAGGCTGAACTGAATAATTCCTCTCCTCCTTCATCTAACAATGGCGATGATCAAATGGGAAATGGTATAGACCCAAATATCATCATAAATCGTCTGTACAGGTTCAACACCACAGAAATTAGAAGGTGGGTAAACCTTTCCTCACCAGGTAATGTTGATAGTTTAGCTGAGATTTTAAACCAAATGCTGGATGCGGCAAATGATGAAGTGGGACTGACTGATGTTGTACATGTTGAAATTCAAGGTGATTCACTCAATGTTTCATTGCATGTTCAGGTAAACAATGAAACTGAATTTATTTCTGTCGTTGCTTGCAAACGCCATTTAGAGTAAATTTGAAATACTTTCCGATGAAACTTTACAACTAGTGATTCAAATTTTGAAGGGGGTGGATGGCAAAAGCAAACTTCAACTCAAAAAAACAACATGAAACATCTCTATGTTTTTCACAACAAAAACAAACTATGCTTTGCCTTCAGTGTTTGCCAATTACTGAATCCTGATAAAAACATTTTTCAAGTAGAACAAATTGCAAGGCAGCTGCAACTTGAAAGTATCATTAGTAAATGATATGGTTAGCTTTGCTGACATAGCACATTTTGAGCAACATTTGAACTACAATTTGCAGTGTTGTACTGAGCCATTAACAAAAATGGTTACTCTTTTGACAAAAATGGTTACCCCATGACAAAACCATTTACTTGTTCTTGCTTAAAAACCACTGTTATGGAGTGAAAAATTTTCAAGGTGTACTAGGTACATCCTACGTCTGCCTTACTGTTGTGCAGGACTTAACAATGCAAAACATCACAAATGTGATTTCTCTTGCAATGTATGTCCTATGATTTGTAGATCGCAATATTGTTACGATAAACATAAAGAGGCCATCAGAACGGATGTAGAACTTTGTGCAAAACTAGATTCTAATGTCCTGAATGCAACAGGATCGATGTAACTGGTCCTTGTCTTACAAGTCTGTGTAAACACTGTGGTG